GCAGCAGTGGCTGCAAGAGACACAAGGGACTGACGGATCGGTGTTAATATTCACAGTCGTCATTGTTTTTCTATTTCTTTTTCGTTTATTATTCATGCAATTGTGGTTGAAATTTCAATCTGAATGTTTCATTTCTTTTCCTCATCCTTTTCACATTTGTATCCTCCAGGATTGTTGCAAATGAAGGGCCTCTGGAGGACTGAAGGTCAGTGGGCTGAACCTGTGTCTCCTCCAATAATACAGAGGTGTCTAATAAACTTTCCAAATTTACCTCCAGGGCATTGCCCTTGGTAAGCTGACAAAGAGGTTAATAACAGAAGTAAATGCAACTTCCCTGAGTTTACAGTGGAGGTTATAACATGACTTCCACGTGCCGGTACAAAACTGCGGCATCCCACTGTGTGTCACATATTACGTTACGAATACTAAATAACACCGTCTTCATACTTTAGCCGAAATAAGACAAAAGTATGAAGACGGCTCCTATTTTCTGGGGGTGTGTGCAAAAAAAGTGAATGGATTCCGCCTCAATAGTTCACATACTGTATTTGTCCTATCAGCCAATCCATTTCTGAGTTTTTTTTCTCCCCACACGCGTTTCCTCATCCTGTTCAGGCTGTTTGACGAGCAGCCTTTTATCCTTTCTTATATTTACCAGGTGTGTCACCCCTCTTTCTCTTTGCACCATGTCCGTTGGCTGTTGTGGGATTTACATCGCGGGCTGGACAAGGGCTCCACTCTGCCGTGGCACGGAACTTCTTCTCCAAATGCTCCTCTACCTCTGCTGCATCATGCACAGCCTCTCCTGAAATTACTACAGAACAAGATACACTGTAAATAGATAAACATCTCATATTACCATTGAACATGAGTAGGCAGAGGGAAGACTGCCAAGGGAATCCAACTATTTTTTTCCCAACACTGTTATGTTGTTTTTTTTCTGTGCTCAGTAAGGAAACCGGTTTGTTTATCCAACGATATCTGACTGCTCTTAATGTTCAGCTCAGTTACTAATTCCTTATTGCGATTTAGCTCCAAAGGTATGTGTCAGATTCTCGTTTCATTATTGAGGATAAATCATATCCAGGTGGCTTTAAAAGTTTTTTGTTTCCATCATATCAATCACATAATGAAAAAAAACAGCAGCCCGAGCATATGTGGGAGAGAAAAAAATGTCAAACTGTAAATGCCAACTGAAATCTACCTGTCAGGGGAGGCACCTGTCCTCCAACAAGGTCAAGAGCCAGACATGACGGGCTTGGCTGCACTGAGCTCCCCGGAGGAAGCCGCGTGCTGTTGATCAGCACATCAAATTTAGTACTGCGGCAGGTGTTGCTGCACACGGTGTCATGCTGGTAGAAATCTATCTGGCCCGAGTCCATCATTTTCCTGCGAGGGGAAGAAGCAGGTTAAAAGAACACTACAGAGTGCCGTTAAACAATCTCAGTAACTTCCCAGAGGTTTGTTTGACACGAAGCCCATTGATCTGACCTCTGCAGGAATAAAGATCACAAGGGCAGATATTGCCTATTGAGTCGGTATATTGACTCACAGTAACACTAAGAACAAGTGCAAACACGATAAAAGAGTGAGAAGTCTCACTCAGCAGCTTGTCTGCGTGCTATTTGATCCTGCTATCATAATAATGCTCCTTACAGACTGCCTCTGGAATGCCTTGGCAAACCCCAGCACAGACAGACTCGAAACAAGTGCAAATTATATGAATGAGATACGTTGTTGACTTCATTCGATTGAGGTACTTCAAGTCTGACACTTTAACCCCAATGCAACAAAGTAATTAAAGGTCATGCAGTTTTACAGTTCGCATCAGTCAGCAGCTATAGGAGGAACAGGACAGACAGAAAAATAGTGTTTTCATTGTATTTTCACAAGTCTACCTGAGCATTACCCCTCCCAGTCTGATGGCCCTCTTCCAGTCCTTCAGAGTGGCTTTCCCTGCCAGATGCACAAACTGCTTGGGACTGATGAGCTGGTCATTGAACTGGAAGAGAAGAAGAACACGGTGTATGTTTATGAAAGCCGTTATAAGTATGCAGAGAGGAGAATAAGACAGAAATTGCAGACACAAATGTCTGGTTGAGTGAAGAAGGTTTAACTGGGTCGACTTACTTTGACACATCTGATGTTGATTCCAGGGCACACAAACTTCTTAAATAGTAGAACCGCTCTGCTGTCTCCACAGGTGATGGGGTAGCCATACTCAGTCTCCTCTCCTTCTGCTTTACTGTCTTCTAACAATCACAAGCCAAAAATAAATAAATAACCTGCAGCAACAGTGTTATATACTCAACAGCAAAGCATAAGTTCAAACTATGATTAAATGCACTGTCTCAACAAAATAGCACAGCATTCCTGTTGTAGTTTAATATCACGTACCATGATGTGTCTCTATGGCCAGGACTGTAGTGCCAGTGTCAGCAATGTCATCATTTATCCTGCAGAGGGCGACAAAATGTACATAACTGAATAAGGATTTCATGCAAACTGAGAGTTGAATATTTCCATATTTTAACAGCAAAATATGCGAATAGCCACTGCATATCTAACCTTTTTGAAATGTAAATGCCCACTGTCATAGTCTTTATTTCAAGCCTTCATTAAACTGAATATGAGCAGCATTGATGTAAAAAAAAAAAAAAATGTAATAAGATATTCTTAAAATTATTATCATGATAAAAATATGTCTCCACGTTTACACAAATATGTGTGTATGTTTAAATGCGCCTCTCTGTTGTGTCACACAGCCAAACATCGACTGGCCCTTTAAGGGATAAGCCGTGATGTTACCCGTGCAGGATGGGCTGCAGGTGCAGGATGACTTGAGTCTTATGGTTGTTGCCACTGGACTCCCCTTCCTCCTCCTTCACCGTCGTGAGATCCCCTGAAGACACAGTGACCTCAGCAGCCGCCATCACCCCTCCCCACAGAGCTGCACGCAGAGAGGGCCGAGCACGCACGTTAACGTCCAGATCACACACACTCGCATGCAGTAATGCTATTTAATGCACACACACAAGTCAATAAAAGCCTCCCCCAACAGTCTTCTCTGGCATGCAACTGTTATAGAAATGAATCCCTACTGGGCTTAAAATGGCATAATCCTCAAATGGACTGGGCCTTGCTTCCTACATTGCTCTTGAGAATGCATTAATATCCTATGATAGGAGACGGCTTACAGTTTTAACTAAAACCTGGGTTATGAGGACATAATTCTAAAAATGATGAAGCGATATAATAGACAGTGGAGCTGATTGTTTTCTTCAGAGTGAAATTCTCAAATCAAATAATATCAGCACTGTGTTATCCAACCTTGTTGCATTTAGGCCACTTCTTTTGCTATAAGTATGGCACCAACAAAAGACCTGTTGAACAAATATAATCTGCTCCAGTATTGTTAACAAGTCATGTTAAGCAATCATTAAATCCTAGTTATTTATTTTGTCAGCTGTCATAATGTTCAGTAGGCTATATAGCTTACACCATTTCTGAAAATGGTATTTGAATTACGAAGTCAGGTCCTTAAATACTGGCTACATAGATGTTGGGAAATAAACTCATTATGTGTCAAATGTTATTAAAGTGTCCACTGGGCTTCTGTCAGCTGAATTGGGGTAAAAAAAAAATAGAAACAAAGTAAATTGCCTCCCCGGTAAACAGTTAAAGAATAATGAATAATAAACTGTCACTGCATTCATTATGATTCTGCTCATAATATTATCTCAGTCCTTCACAAGCAGCAGCTGTGGCGTTAGAAACACTGGGCGACAATATCAACAAGCACAGGGAGAAATGAACAAACTGTCTCTTAGGTTAATCCCATGGTAGAAAAACAAAAACAAACACGTCCATGCATTGAAGAGCATACTGCAATACAGTGATCAACATATTCAACACTATGTCAAGTAGCCCTTGTTGGATCAACTCCTACACGGACAGTTGCGTGTCTTTCTCACCCTCCTTCACCCACTCACTGACGTCCGTCGGTGCGGCAGCACGCACACCCCGGCCAACAAGGGTACGACGGCGCGCGCTCCTGTCCCAGAAGAGTGTGCACAAAACCCCTCCGGGTCTACCCTAAAACTCCGTGACACGCTAAACCGGCTGCTTTAAATAATATTGTCACAGTTTTTACTTACCGTTTTTACAGCAGGGGGTAGTTCATCATCTTGCTTGTCAGAGAGACACGAGAGCATGCGCCGTGTGCTGCTTCGTTACACTTCCTGCAGTGAGCAGCATTTGCCTGAGAAGCATCTGTCCCGCTGTCACGAGAAGCGGTTAGTTTGCACGCGATGTGTAAATCGGTCAAACGGCTCGTGTGTGCAAGCGCGCGCGGCTTGGTTTGAGCTCTGAGGCACGGTGCCGCATATGCTGGGACATCCCGAGCTTCACAAACATGTTTTTCAACCCAAAAAGAAGTCATTCATTATTATTATTTTAATGGACAGATCCCTCTTGGCAGGTTTTAGGCTCGACAACATGTGCCACTTGTGTGGCCTCATTTCGTGGGGTTTGTCATGCAATAAAAAGCTGTTCAAATCAGTTGAAAATAGTGTTGTGTTTTTGTTGTTGCCTATATTTCACCAGCAGGCGGCAGGCTTTGCACTTGCAATTTCAGTAAAGCGTGTTAAAACGTCACAAGATATTTAAAAATGTTGGTTTTAACCATATTGACTTTTAAACGCATTACTTCACCATCTGTATTTTCTAAAACAGCCATATACATAGATAATAAATATGGAAATAGCTTTTACAGAAGAACATGGGATCCAGGTTCAGTGTTGCCATATTAGCAAACAAGAGTAAATCATTACTATCATTGCCGAACGACTGGTCTCAGATCAGCCCACCCCTATTTGGGAATGGAATGCTTGTGATTCTGTGATTGACACTAACGGAGAACCAATGACAGGTCGAGCTTACGTCTCGTGGCCAATAGTAAATATCTAGTACTTCGTACCATAACTTTTTACTGCGGACAGTCCTGCTCGAGCCATCGAGGCTTGCACCTTACTTTTTCCCCGCAGTGTTTTGGAAATCATGCTTTCAAAGTGCGAAAACATCCGAGATGCTGTGAAGTCTCTTGTTACGGTTTTCTGGATCACTTATAGCGTCTGTTCCGTTGGTGTTGACGGCGAGGAGGGTAAGAAAAAAAAACCTATTTTGTTGACGCTTTTGATAAGATAAGATGAGGCGCGAGGTTTTATTTCAAATATCTTGTTGGTCGTTTTTACTGAATAACAGTATTTATTACTATTTCTAAAGGCACTGCTCCTGGGTACGAATAGCTGATAACAGATGCATTGCTGGTTTACTTTAACTCAACGGATATGTTGTGACATAACTCGTTAAACAGTTGCAGAAGTGTGTTAAGCGCCAGTGATCAACAGGCTTCATCGACCTCTTCATGCACACGTCCTATTATCGTATACTAAATGTAGCATCAGCAACTGTCGTGCTAACTGATATCACCATTACCTCGGCTTGTAATGGATTACACACACAAGGACTAAACGTTTTCATATCAATTTCTGCTGTCAGTTCTACTTTTATGGTATGCACCATGAGAAGCTTGATATATTATATTTGTTTATGTCAGTGGCAAAATACAGTATTTCAAAGGAAGCAGGCGCAAAGGTCGACCATGTGATGTCATGGTTGCATTCTTTACATACTCATCCCTTGTTCATGTTTACCTGCTGATCACAGCCAGCAGCTTACCTTTCCCACAGGTATTTCTTTTTCAAAACGACCATGTGATCACTGTGACCATGCACACACACACAGACGAAATGAAAAGCAGTTTACTGGCCTGCAGACTGTGACACTCAGCCATACCACAAATCTTTCTTTTGTTTATGTGTGTCTGTCTCTCGGGCTTTGGTTTCCTCACATCGGAAGATGATTAAGTCCAGGGTGTAAATGACTTATTCTGAATCACTTTTTGATTTCTGGCAAGTATGCAAAGAGCTTCTGGGGGGGGGGGGGTTTCAGCCACGGTGCATTCTTGTTCTGTTGTGATTGACACACAAGACAGGCTAAGGCAATGTAGTGACAGGTAGCACAGGTGAACATCCCATCTGCCGGTGAGGACCTGTAAAGACCTGCCAGCAAAGCCTCAAGTGGAAAAACAATGTTGCAGGGCCTGCTTTAGATGGACTGTCTGCTCTGCTGCCACCCAGCTCCACTCCAGTTGTCTGTAATTCACTTTCTAAATTGTCTAAAACTGGTCAGAACAAGTCAAAACACACATCCCTCTCTGAATGAAACTAGAAGCAGATAGTCCTGGAGACAGAGTCTAGGTGAAAGGGTTCGGTGAGCAGGGGGGAGATTACCGGCCACCCAGAACTTCCCTTTAGCTACGCAGCCTCTGTGGCCTCCCACCGGAAGGTGACAGATCCACGCTCCGTTGCTCACTGTTCCAGGGAATCCTTTGGGGACTTGAGGAGGGGCAATAACATCCAAAGGTTTATGGTATTAGGAGCTGAGGAGCTGTCGGTGTGATGCAGGATGTGTGTGACACAGGGTGAGTGGAAGGTTATCCTCCTGTTTCCCCTCAACAAGCCTCCGGGAGCCTTATAAGGAAGACGAGGACAGGGATGACGCGTATAGGCTTAGATGGACCCTGGTGCCTTCTTCATGTTTTGACCATTCTTGGAACACGTCATTACTTGACTTTTTTGGGGGTCAGCTTTTGAGCCCGCCGCCCCCGCAGCACTTATCTCTGTATGACCACTGTGGGAATCGACTTATTTTCTGTGACACACGGGGATGCTAGAGGATCTAAATATTTGTGTTTTCCATCCCCGTTAAAAGTGTTAGTCACAGCGACCGCAGGTCAGAGGATGTAATGAATCAACATTTGGGTCAAACACTGTTCATTAGGAAAGTAGTGCGTAAAGAAATAAAAAGACTTTTGATCGATTTTCTTGTCTTTTCTTTCAAGAACAGCATCTCTTCAAATAAAGTTTAAAAAGTACACATTTTGTATTTATTCTTTTGCAATATATTCAGTGTACAGGTCATGGTGTGTGGTGCGGAGTACTTCCCTCACAGACAGTTGTGTCATCAGAAGAGTATAAACATGCCCTGTTCAGAAGAGACCTATTACTCATCTGTCCTGAAATGGTGCATGAACAAAGCCCTTAATATTCTGCGTGTTTAGTTTGAGAATTAATGACTAAACCGTCTGCGGTTATGGGATCTTATTCCGCTCATAACTCTTTTCATGTGTTGTAAAATACTTCAGCTGTGTGAGAATTCAATATTTGTTGTTGAGGTAGTAGTCAGTGCCTGTAAACAGGATTAATATTACGCTGTAGAACGGAAGCAATGGGACGATTCATAAATGAGTCGATGAACAGAGGATTAACAGGCTAAATGTTTGGTAGTTGGTTCATTATTTTACGTCATGCTAATAAGGATGAAATAAAAATTTCCAAAATTCACTACCTCAAGTTTGTCGATTGTGAATATTTGCTGGTTTCTTTAGTCTTCTGTAAAATACAAGTGAACACCTTTAGGTTGTGAATTGTTGGTCAGATTTAACAAGTTATGTTAATATGCCAGATTGGGCTGCTGAAAATTGGGCTAATTGGCAATTTTTCACTATTTTTTGACATTTTGAAAAACCAAATGATTGAGTGAGAAGATAAGATTCCTCGCTAATTAAAAAAGGCATTACTTGCAGCCTTTGTACACTGTAAGAACTGAATTTTGTTGTCGAAAACAATAATTCAAATTCAGTCTATTACATCAGTAATTTAACTTTTGCGCAGTCAAAAAAAGAAAATGGTTCAGTCCTCATAAAGACATTTTTGTGATAAAGGTATTGACAGAAAACATGAAGAATGACTCTTTACTTCAGCTTCAGTAGCCATTTCTAAAGAGCCTCTTCATAATCAAGTAGCTGGCATCTGAATCTGGAATGAACCGTCCCTAAACATGTCCTAATGTTGGATCTACCTCATGAACTGACGTCTTTCCCCCCATCACAGACTCCCTTCTTGTGCTTGTATCATTTCAGGCAATGGCTGTGGACATTCACTGCTGGCCACAGAGTCTGGCACATTGGCCTCTCAGAACTACCCGGGCACCTACCCCAGTAACACCTGGTGTAAGTGGAGGCTCCGAGTGCCAGAGGGGCGAACGCTGCGGCTGCTGTTTGGGGATTTTGACATTGAGAGCAGCCCAGGCTGCAGGAATGGCTCTCTTGTGATCGCAGACAAGAGCGGAGAACCCAGTCTGGGTAAGCTTGTTCACCCATGATGGATTCATCAGGTTTATATGATGATCACTGCGTCTGAGACATTACAGAAGTGCTCCCATGTCTCCTGTGGAGATTCCTTTCTTGCCTGCTGATAGACTATTAATGTTCCATGTCATTACTGAATACACACTAGGAATGCCATTACTCTGACACATTGACTGAACCCAGTTTTTCAACAGACACATGCACGTTCTCCAACCAGCTGTATCAAGTCGGGTCCTGAGGGCATACAAAATTGACAAGACACCAAAATGACGGAGATAGAAATATTGTGTGAGGCTGCCTTTAGTGTTTATCATCGGATTCCTCACAACCTGGCTCATGATTTTTATGTTGTTTTCTCTGCTGGGGAGGAGTTCTTGCATGCAGTCTACGTGACTCTGCTCCTGACTATACAGTTGTCGGTATGACAGGAAGACAATAGTGGAGTAACACTGACTCAAATCATCAACTTCTGTTGATAAATGCTGATAAGGGACTGACGATATATTTCACTATTCAAGAATGTCATTCAAATCATGGTGCCAGAAAACAACAAGGCAATGTGCTTTTACACATGTAGTTTTTGGATCTGCGTGTCCACAGGTCCAGTGTGTGGGAAGCTGGATGCATCACAGAAGAATGTGACACTAAAAAGCAATGAAGTGACCGTAACGTTCAGGTCAGGCCCACACCGCTCTGGACGAGGGTTTCTACTGTCTTATGCCACAGACCAGTATCCAGGTAAGGTATTCGTAACTGGTTGATTACTATTCGTGAGGTGCTTACATGGTTATAATAAGTATATGGGCACACTGTTCAGTTCACTACTGTGTTCAACTTTACGAAAGGCCTGAATTATAGTTTGAGTTCAATTTCTCAAATGGTTTACACTGGTTTAATTTTAACACCAACGTCTGTGTGACTATTTGCCCTTGTGTATTGTGTGTTGACGTGTATGCGCGGTTGCGAGTCTATGAGTCACTTCTTATTGGCATTCATCCTCCATCGCTATCTTTGCTGTGGCGTGTTTGCTCAGAAAGCCGGAGTAAAAACTCCTTCTCTCTCAGGCTGAATGGAGTGAGGCCTCAGGCTTCGGTTTGTCGCTCGGAGTGGCTGGAGTTCTTTTTTCCTCCCCCCTCCTCCCCCTCCTCCTCTTCCCTCGCACGTTAACCAACCATCGCGCTACCATCCCGTGTTTGTTGGAACCTAGCGGCCGTTGATTTAGCAGTTATTTAATCTACACAATTCAACTCTCTCTACCAATGCAGATTGTACACATACATGTTTCTGGATTGTACAGATTCAATTAAAACAAATGACACACTGGTTAAGGTTCTTCCTGTGTGTCATTTTAATAAGCAAGTGGACTTGTTTGGTCTGAATGCTAGTCTGTACTTAGAGATAATTTCCTTTTCTCAAGATGAAGTAATCCGTACTGTACAGTATGTATCATAGTTTCCTGTTTTTTCCTGAGTTGTTTATGAAACCCGTCAGTGTCTGGAGCTAAGCCCATGTCCAGACGTACAAACCACTGTCTGTGAATTGTGATCACACGAGGACCATTCACTGTACTCGTGAACTGTGACAAAGTCACAGCAACAAAGGGCTTAGTCACATCAACAGCGATGACCGCTTATCCCCTAATATAGCACATGTAGCGCATGCTAACCATCGCACACAGAATCTGTGTGTGTGCCTGGTTTAATGAATGGTGGGGAGGGTATTATGTAAGCCCGAGTTACTGGGTCCCACTCCATACTATTCAAATCCACCAATACATATTCAAGAAAGTTTGAAGGAGTTCTCAGGAGTGTTGATTTTAATGTATACCCGTCTGTCTTTCCTGTTGTAGATCTCATATCTTGTTTACAACGAGGATCTCATTCTAGCTCGCCGCTTTTGAGGTAAGTGGTTGACCTCGACATTTCCCACAATAGATTCAGTCGAAATGTGAGTGTTTCTCACGTTTATTTCTGTCTTTTTCTCAGTGTGTACTGCCCTGCTGGATGCAAGAATGTCACAGGGGATGTTTGGGGAAACTCTGAACAAGGTTACAGAGATGTAAGTAAACCACGTTTCATTTGGCCAAACTTAGTTTAAACTCGCCGTAGAAAATGACGTAATCGCGGCCCCACGCGCCGGCCCGTGATTTTCTGGCAACTGGTCTCGGCACTTGTATTTTTGTAACTTGGCGCCCGTGATCACTTGACTGTCATAAATAGTTCACTGATAAAAGCCCTATTTCCTTGTCTAGGAATTAAACAAAGAAGGCCAATTATCTTTTAAATGCTTTAGAAACAGGTGGTCTTTAAAATCTACATTTGAGTATATATTTTGCCAGCCAAATCAAATTGTCTACAGGATATTCAACCATCATTTCTTTATAATGCATGTAATACATTACTCTTTTCTTTACTGGGCTTGTACAAAGGCAATAAAGTAGTCCATAAATATGAGATATGGGTTTACAGATAACTACAATCCCTCCTCGTCATTGTGGAGGTTGCTTTATGGCTTTTTGCCAGTTACACCTACAGTCTATGCGCCATATATGGGCATATCTATGAGTTACAATCGTTGTCTTTTTGGTTCTTCACAGTTCATTCTGTTTGTACACCCTCTGGCATTTCGGAGAATAATGCAGTGCATCGAGTATAAACACCTCCGTTCATGCTCGGAGCTCGTACGCCATCTGCGGAGGCGCCAAGCACGAGAATAAACAAAGTTTTAGGCTTTTTGTGACTCATTATCAATTGACTTGATGTCTGAAAGTGGTCCATGTGTTTCCTCTGTTACAGACCTCAGTTCTGTGCAAGTCTGCAGTCCATGCCGGAGCTGCATCTGATAGTCTGGGAGCTCATGTTACTGTGAACCGTGGGAGAAGTCTTACACTTTATGAATCCACCTTTGCCAATGGAATCCTTTCAAAAATGTGCGTCTGCTGTTCGTGTACTTGAAATGAGAGATCACATTAATGTTGAGCCCTAAATGAATTTATATTTGATTCTATGTAGCTGTATTGACCTTTTTAACGGTCCTCTTTTGACAGGGGATCATTATCTGAAAAGAAGGTGCTCTTCAGTCAAGGTATGAGCAAGAAATTACATGTTGTTAAAATTTCAAGGGGCACACCCATTGTTTTTACATTTTATAAAAGGGATACTCCATTCACTAAAATGTAAAAAATGAATTTGTTGATTAATGCAATTCATTGCAAGCTCTGCAGTAAAGTATGCATGCTTTGTAGTCAATGTTGCTGTGTGTATATAATCAGTCCATCCTTTCCTCTGGTCCCCAAACAGACTGCAACGACATCCTGAGTGTTTCTGGTTTAAATGCCTCATCTTTCTGGGATAAAGACAGCCAAGAGCACAAAATGTTCTGGTCCTCCAGAAACATGGATTCTAGCCACGAGTTCTTGCCCTGGGCTGCAGATGGTAATGATCTGAACCCGTGGGTGGAGCTGGGGCTGAGTGATAGAAGCACTATCGCAGGTAAAAATGTTGGAAATAGCGTATGAATATGTGTGCAAAATGTGCTTATTTAAAAATGTTTATTATACTTTAATGTAGCTGTGTAAAGGACAAGTCTGACGACCTTCTCTATTGTTTTATATTGCCAACAAATTCCATGAAAAGCCCAAAACAAACAATGTGTGTGCGTGCGTCCAAAACCTGGTATACTATAGATTATAACTCTGTGCCACTGACCTCTATTAAACTATTAAAAACACATCAGTGAGTTGCACTGGTTGACCTGTTCCCTGATTAAGATAAACATGGTCACAGTAATTCATTAGTAGTTAATCCCACAGGGTGAGGAAGTCTAAAAGTAATGACAGGTGGCTCAACACATTTGGATTTATTGACAATTAAAAAAACGATATCATCAGACTTATCCTTTGTTTAACTTGGCTAAACTTGTTCTACCAAATTTCAACAAAGTGTATGGTTTTCTTTATGTTGGCAGTATCTTACTGTATTATGTATTATGACTTTTTTCAGGGATAATAACAATGGGATCAAACGACCACTACATAGAATCCTTCAGTCTTTTTTTCAGCAAAGACAGAAAAACGTGGAAGCTTTACAAAGGTGCTCTCAGCAAAGAAAGAAAGGTACGCATTGTACCATGTTCACTGATGTTCACCTGAGCACCGGAGCTCACACTGTCGGCTTCCTGGTGTTCTCTGTGAATGAGTAACTTGGTTGTTGTGCTTCCCAGGTGTTTCATGCCTATACTGAAGGACACCTCAGGGTTCTCAACAGCTTTTTCCCTCCTGTGGTGGCTCGGTTCGTACGGCTACAGCCACTGAGCTGGCACGGCCGAGCTTCAGCTCGGTTGCAAGTCCTGGGCTGTCCTGTCGCCAAGATCACACCGAGGCCACGCTCAGCCACCGGTGGGTAATATCACTACTTATCCGGGATCAACTTAAAATGTTAACATGATCCGTCTCACAGTGCGAGTTCATGACGTTACGATGTCCTGTCCTGCTTGTCCGACAGAATCTCCAGCCATCAAAGTTAACATGGGTACACCGCGGCCCAGCCCCACCCCCACCCCCACAGATGGCGCAGTGCTAGTGGAGACCAGACTGAGTGTGTACTTGTATCACCCTAGTTTCACATGTGTAGGATGACATTTAATGCCAGTCTATTTTAGAAAGATTTCATGTCAGATCAGTGAAATAATGTTAATATATTCTTCTTTTACACTCGACGTTGCTCAACACTTGTGCAACTGTTTACTTACTCGGACACTTGCGTTCCTGTAGGCTCCAGTCAACCAGTGATAGTGGCAGTGGGCGTGGTCCTGGGGCTGATAATGTGCGGCAGCTGTTTGCTGGCTGGAGTCTGGTGGAAGAGAAGGTACTGTATTTTAAAACGATTTCACTTTTTTTTTTTTGTTTATTTTGCACATAACTCATGGAATAATGTCATAATGTATAAAGTGTTATTTTATTCATGCATAATTACTTTTGGTGACTGGGAAAGATGCTGAGGTTGATGATTATTTTCATTATTGATTTATCTGCTGATTGTTTTTTCAATTAATAATCATTTTAATAATTTTTTAGCTTGAAAAATAACTGAAACAATGAATCAATGATTTAAATAAATTGTCAATTAATCTGTTGTCTGATTAACGGACTAATTGCTTCCGCTCTAGTGGTGATGCTCCAAAAAGGCTCAGCACACGTCAGAAACTGTATCCAGTACGTACGAGACTTTGATTCTGTGTTCATCTCCTTCTCCTTGTAGGAAAAAAGAGTCACAAATGAAGTACTCCTTACCCACAAGTAAGTCAAGTGCTCTTTGATCATTTTCCAGTATTTTTCAATCTTCTCTCAAAAAGCCTGACGATGTGTTTTGGTGTGTCAAGTAGGTTGTCAGAGTTTCCAGGCAAAGAGTCTCTCATGCCCACAATCGGAGCTCATCTCTTACCCTCTGGAGCGAAATGTCCATGATGCTCTACCTAGCCCTCCTCTTAATGGTGAGAATTCATAGAAATATGTTTTCCTGCTGTGTCTCTGTGTTACTACTGTCAGGATCAGCTGCTGTCTTTTTTTGCCGGTTTTCGTCCGTTTCCGGGTTTACTGAGTGATCCCAAGTGGGGCGCTCTGCCTTCCCTCCTCCATCCTTCCTGCTCTGACAGTCTTCAGTGGTCAGTGTGAGGGAGCTCATGCCAGGCCTGACAGGCAAACAGCTCTCTCCGCGGGCTGTCCATTCTTTCCCCTGGCTCAGCCCATCACCCAGACACAGTATAAACATTCCTTTCTTTGGTCCATGGAGCCTCTCTGAAAGAGACCCTTTAATTGGAGCTTGATAAAGGGCGCTCAGCCTACACCCCTCCCCACCATCACCACCAGTCCCCCTCTCTGCCTCCCCCATCCCCCCCCCCCCCAGCTAGGGGGCCCTTCACTGAGAGGTCCAGTGATAAACAGGACAGAGGGTCAAAGCAAAGACAATCACAGCCCTTCTAATTAAAATAGCTCCGGCTCTGAGGCTTCCTGTAGGCTCATAAGTAAGGTCTAGGCCTCCCACACCACAGCCTCTTCTGCTGTGGCGAAGAGAAGGGCTCTGGTGGAATCCAAGAGCTCCACTCTCAGCCCCCATACCGGTGATTGGAGCAGACATTGTTGGTGGCCAATTATCTCATGCAGGGGCTCAACATTGGTCTAGTGTGAGGCTGCTTTCAGGGAGAGGAGAAGCATTTCCCCAGAAACTGCAGATGCACATCAGCAATTGATCCTAAAAGAGTTCTGGTGGTGTTTAAATATGAACTCACAAATTGTGAAAATTTGCAGAAACCTCTTGCAAGACTCGCTATGTGAGGGGCATGTCTAATCTTAACCATCTCGAAAGATACAGTTGATGTTTTCATACCCATTTAATAACGTTTTTTTGAATCACAGTATTTGCGTATAGGTGGGGATGCACCAATGTGTTTTAAAGCTCATTGATATTTCCTTCCCGTATTGGCTGACCCTGGGATACATTTTGTAAGAGCCTGTTTAAAATGTGCGTCGAGGTTCATTCTTGCCCTTGGGAAGGCCTACACTGTGAAAAACTTTCATGCTCAAGGTTCCCCTACTTATTAGCTATCCCGAGGCTCGGGAATAGCCGAGTAGTTGAACCTTGACTTCAGAATTTGATCACAGTATTTTAAAAAAGGTACTTTAAGGTATCAAATGGTTTTAAAGATTTGACTTTGATCCTGGATAATTTAACAGTAATATTTGGTGACAAGTGTAACAAGTTGTAGTAGCATGATGAAACACTGCATTGCAACCAAGAGTTTAAAAAAGTGATTCCTGCAAGATAACAAATAAATGATAACAAGGACAAAGATATTGTATAAACAGTCACTTCCTGTGATTAAGGCAGACATTTGGTTTCTTGGAAAGAGTTTGATAGCTTGTGTCTGTTATATAAACACTGTACAAGGCTGCAGCTAGTGGCTAAGGTTAGCACAAAGACTGGAAACAGGTGGAAACAGCGAGCCTGGCTATGGCCAAAAGTAACAAAATCCAAACCTCTCCAAAGGTCTCCAATCAACAACTTATGTCTTGTTTGTTTCCTCCGTACAAAACCTTTAGACTTGTGTGCCGGACTATTTCTTCCCTGGGACCAGTAACCTTCTGGAGTCTCTAGCAACTGCTCAGAGCTGACAGTATCTACAGTACCATGCCAATGTTTGTTGCATCTTAAACTAATAGAAATACACTCTCAAACTGTTTGTTTTTTTCCTATTTATTTGTCCTTCCAGACTATGCAGATGTTGCAGCCATTGGACAGAAGGTTGGGTCAACATTCAGACCCTCCTCAGATGAGGGCTACACCACCCCCTTTGCCTTCAACCATTACGACACTCCTGGCAACCTGCCAGAGTACGCCGAGCCTTTGCCCCCAGAGCCTGAGTATGCCACCCCATTCAGTGAGCAGCCCTCGGAGTCCATGCTACCAACTTTGACGGGGATCGTTCACAGCAAAACACATGGACCCCCTGTACCAGCACCTACCGCTGGAACCAGGAGGACATCCAGCCACGCTCAGTATGACTGCCCCTCACACAGGATGCTATCCAATGGCTACTGCACTCCCGCCCTACATGCTAATGGCCCGAGGCCGATCAGTGTGGTCTACGCAGAGCCCAAGTCATGCGACTCTTTACTACAGAAGCACACATATGAGGAGCCTTTGTGAGCACAGCGAGCTCAGACATGAAGGGAAAAAAAGACTCGCCTGAACTGAAATGTGTGTTGGGAGCAGAGGATTACTTGAGGTGATCTCAAGCGGACAGAAGACATTAAGCTGGACAGTGTTGTCCAGACAGTACTAATGCTGACAGAGCTGAACTTCCAGTGAGTGATGTACCTAAAGTCGATTAGTCACTTGGACCACGATGCATATACGAGGGTACACAACTCAGATCTCAGCCATATGCACACAAGTATTTCCTTCCAGGAAGTATGTCGTTAAACAGCGAAAGTATCCTGTGATGCACAAAGAAGATGCAGGTTCAGTTGCCCCTCAGTGATACCGTTTATTAAAATGTTTATTCACAAGCTGCACTTTCAGAAAACACATACAGCAATGTATTTAACAGGTTAATGCAACAAAACAAAAAAAGTGGATTATACGTTACATGTCCTCACAAAGCATTGTATTCACAATGTATATTTCAAACTATAAATGGCACACTGTAACAAAGTGGTAAAGACTGTTGCTGTAACGTTGTATCACCACTAGGTGGCTCTCTTGAGCTTTAAACTAATGTGTTGCGTAATTATTTGTCTGCTGGTTCTCACTCCTCAGATAATTGTCATCCATTTATAACATGTACAGTAACAAATAAACATTGTTTTAAAATAAATGATTGTATTGTAGTATAACACAGAAAGGCACAACAGGCAAGGTGGCGTCATGATTATGTGAGAGACACAAAACCGTATCATTAAACATTCCAGTATGTGGCCTTATTCAACTTTTGCCACAGTACAGCAACGAAATGTCACTTAACTCTGTATCTCCTAATTTGACCTAATGTTCTATGCCAATTTAAGATTTTCACAGATTGTTGTATGGAGAATACAAACTACTAAAGAAATGAATTCAACTAAACTGAAATGTCATTGCTGCTGTTCCCATTACGAGGCGTGTTACATTATAACGGTCAGGTGACAGTGGCAGTCCTCCATTCTATCTGAAAACATTACTGAACGCAGCTCCAAAATGTAATTGTAATTAAACTTTCTAGAAATGCTTCTACAAGCTCTGTGGTGTCACAATTAGCGATGACCTCGCTGACCTCGTCCCCTGCTGAATAAGGCACAATAAAACGACTGTTTTAAGAAGAAGACGTTGGCCTGGTGTTTGATTGCAGCAGCAAAGTGTTAAAGGTTGTTTTTACAAAGATGTGAAGCCTGTAGCAGTGATGCATTTGCAAAAACAGGCAGCTGGACACTTTACTTCTAGAAAAATGGCAACCAATCTAAAGTATGAACTCCTATCAAGCTAGAAATAGTGCCGTATCAAAGACCTTTCAAGTTGAAAAGAGCAAAACTTAAAGTTACTGTGAGGAACTTTTAACTGATTATGAAACAGTCAGTTTAACACTGCTGCCTTTATATGACCCATACAGTATATACACAAGTAAACAAGACCATCAGCGAGAAGACTGGCTATTTCTATGTAGTTATTCGTAATGCCATCAGTGCCACTGGGTTCAAATCCCCGCAAAACCAGATGAAATCATGCAGGGTTCACCAGAAACTGCTTCGGCTCAGAACCACAATGGGGCCTTCGACAAGAAGCAGCCCTCTGTGGACAGACTCTTCTCCCTGCTGATCCGCTGGGAGCCGACTCGGACGCCACGCTGCTGGAGGCCCAGGCCGTGTTGATGGGCCCGCTGGAGGGAAGGGAGGCACTAGAACCAGGACTTGAGCGGGGCAGACCCCAATAAAATGGCTGGTACTTGGAAACACTTCACACTTTTGTCCACAAGGACCACCAAAATCATCATGAAATGAAAGTTCCTCGAAGTAGCTTTAAATGTGCAATATATGGGATTCAGAGCATTAACATAACTGCAAAAAACTACCCGAGCAAAGTTTCTGGTGGTTGCATAAGCGTAGCGCCCGCCCTCTGTTTGCTCTCCGGGTAAACACCGTTAGCTCTGTCCGCACCTTTGCCTTAGTTTGCACTGCTAGCACCGTTAGCTGCTAGCCGCCGGCTATTGAGAGGCAATAGAAATGCTCCCAATCCTGTATATCGCACCTTTACCTACAGCATATATTGCACGCATATTGCATGCGTTCTTTAATCACTATTTACTCTGGTGTTTTGATGTTGTTTTTGTTGTAATGCACCAACAGCATGAATTCACTCTCCACTGTTATCGTGGACCCTCTTGTTTGTGCTTAGCTCTTCCCTCTGCCCCTCTGCCTCCTCCTCCTCCTCCTCCTCTCTCCCCTCGGACGAGTAGTGCATCAGAGTCTGGTGCCTGTTTCTGGACGGGGCGTCCTTAAAGCGCAGGCCACAGTCTTCACATGCATACAGAAGCCCCTCTCTGTTGCTGCCTGGGTTTGCTCCCTGTTTGCTCCCAAAACCAGCATGAGCAGCAGTCAACACAGGAGACTCTCCGGACTTTGGAGCTGTGTGCGAGTTGCTGTCTGAACTGTTGGGCGTATTCAGCCCAACGTTGGTTGGAGGAAACGTCCTGGGACGCCCAGGTGGCCAACTACGGCCGGCTGCTCCCCGATATGCATCCCCAGCTCCGGCTTCTCTGGTGTGTTCGGGGGCCAGTCCGTGGACCGTGCGGTAGTGGAAGCGGATCCCGGAGCGGTTAGAAAAGCTTTTCTCACAAAAGCTGCAGATGAAGGGCCTCTCTCCTGTGTGGATGCGCATATGAATCTTAAGAGCTCCTGACTGGGTGAAACATTTCCCACACTGGCTACAGCAGTAGGGCTTCTCTCCTGTGTGGGTCCTCTGATGGGCCCGGACCCCTGCCAGATGGGGAAACCCCCTGCCGCAAAATCCACAGGAATATGGCCTTTCACCGGTGTGAATGCGCCTGTGGATCTTCAGAGCCCCTGACTGGCTAAAACTCTTCCCGCAGTCAGAGCAGGTGTACGGCCGGGCACCGGTGTGCACATTGAGATGGATGCGGAGGTTGCTGTGCGAGTTGAAGGCCCTGCCGCACTCTGTGCAGAGGAAGCCGGATGGTTTTTGGGCGTGCTCAGAGCGCTGGTGCTGCAGCAACTGGGACGGTCTGGGAAAAGATGCGGAGCAGTGCATACAGGGATGAAGAGACAACATGGTCGTAGCCGCCCTGCCTCTTTCCGCTTGCTGCTGAGTGTGTGTTTGTCTGTGCTGGTGGTGGCAGACCTGAGTACAGGGAGGAAAGGAGCCCTGGCAGGGCAAGCAGGGAAAAGGGCCAGAGAACTGTGGGGCATGAGAGCGGGCTAGCTGAGGGCAGGGTAAACAAGAGGTTATGGGACAGTGGTGGTGATGAAAAGGATGGTGGGCGTGAGAAAACAGGGAGTCTGCGCCTTCCTGGTTGCTCAGTATCTGGGTGCAGGTCTGCAGGCTGCGATGGCAACACAAGCAGGGAAACATGGAGAGGTGGGAGAAGGAGCCCGAGGACGCTCTGGAAGGAGGAGTCTGCTCTGCAGTCCCTCTGTCTTCATCCTTCTGCGGCCGACTGGACGCCCTGGGCTCTAGCTCAGATGTGGTGCTGCTTGGTTCGGGGGTGTCTGGTAAGCACAAGTCGAGGCTCATTGAAGCAGTACTGCTGAGGTCTTTGGGATGGCACAACCCATCTGAGTGAGCGGGTGCGCGCAAAAACTGCCTTGGTTTTAAAGTCTCAAAGGAAGTTGCAGAAGTGGCGGAAGGGCAGCCAGGGCAGGTGCAGGCATTACGCACATCTAGACATAAAATTAAATATGAATTACATTGAAGTTAATGCAAGAAAATGATCACTCCAACATTTGTTTTGGCGCTCTAACCTTGTCTCTTGTCTCTGGCCTCTCCCTTCCTCTGTGATGTCCCAGGCTCCGACCTGTCCCGGACCGGTTGTAGTTGTTGCTGCAGAGGTTCGTGTGATGCACCTTTGAACCGTAGAGCCTCAACACCACCGCCGCCGCCAGCCACGCCCCATGCTGCGTTCAGCACATCTGGCTGATCCTGCAAGGCGTTTCCAGATGTGATAAGGTCACCAATGAACTGATGCACCTCCATCCAGGAGCACTGAGCACGCTGCAAAAAAGTACAAGGCACAGTTGCAGTCTGAATGCATTTCGTGTAGGTGTAGCAAAAGCCCATGTTCCTATGCGTCGACAGTTAATCAAACGAGCATGGCTTTAGCTGAAAACATTGGTTCCTCTCAAAATCGACGGAATGAAAATAACGGGGTCGCCTACTTACAACGTCGCTGCACTTCTCTTTGTCCATGAATGTAAACGCGCTGGTGCTGTCGTCGGATCGACGGCTCGGCTTCAGATGCAGGAGTTCAATATGTCAGACCAAACAATGACAGCAACAAGAAAATGCACGTTCTTTATTACATGTCTACTGTAGCCTACTACCGTTCACCTCGCACACGAAGTAGTTCCGGGTCATCCACTCATGTGACACGTTGTAGTCTTTTTTTTTTTTTTTTTTTTTTCTTCTTTACACTTAAAACAATATTCACTACGAGACATAAAAAAACGAAACATACACACTATATATATGTATATATATATATATATATATATATTTAATATACATATATATGCATACACACGTACACATAGCTCTAAATCAGTATGAGAAGATAAGATAAATGGTTGAAAAGTATTTCAGGTTGTAGGTGAGTCTCTTAATCATTGTAGATCTTTTCCAATTAAAAACAACTAATTTCATAAAATGAATCTTTATATTTTAAAGGAGGCTATGCAGTTTACGCATCACAGTTGGACCATTATCTCAATAACTAAACTCACCAATGTAATGCAGGCCTGCTACACAGTAAATCTCCATGAGAGCTTTGTTTCTAACATTGTGCATAATGGTAACGACCTGCTAAATATGATGGGATATCTCAGTGAATGCTGGATATTAGACATTATAAAATTAAGTGTCAATTTGTATTATTATCTTTCTCTAGCTTGACTAAAAAAAATAATTAAAGTCATCAGTGAACTCTAGTTTTCAGTAAAATACTTACCTGACTGTGTGGATGTATCGCTGTGTTTCTGTTTAAGGAGAGACACAAGGCAATGTTTTGGACTGATAACATAAAAACAACAAAAGATGTTAACTGATTTTGCATCAAGGATAACTGTTTATTTGCCTTTTACAAAAACAACATCAAAAGATACCTGCAGAGTGTAACGATTCAGCAAATCACGAGGTGACAGAATGTCATATTGTTGATCAGTACCGCTATTTGCATTCATTAAATACTTTAAAAAAGTACTAAAGGTAAAGTGTCTTTAAACAGAAAATCATTTCAAGTTCTCAGCTGAATACAAAAAAAAAAAATCCAGTGTTTTCATTCAACTTAATACACCATAATAAACCTAAAGAATTTAATTTCCCCACACGAGCGCGTAACGGTAGGAATCAGGAAAACGTTTTAATCCTGCATGACTTTGCATAGGCTTCATGACAGTCACAGCGCCCTTCCTGCTCCGGTGACCCGTGCTTTACCCAAAATGGAAATAAAATGATAAGCAATAACTTGGAATGTTTTGTTCAAATTACAGAGGAAACAATAATATTTTCTTATTCTAAACCAAAGGCCATGCTGCTGCAAATACACTCGATTTCTTCAAGTCTATTCGTAATCGTGGAAAAAGAAGAAAGAAATCTGCTTTGTCATACAAGGGCACGATGGTAGATACAATGAGAGAGAAACATACACAATATTGAATAGTATATTGCTCTAGCTGTAGAATAACACTTCTATGTTTATGTGGCTACAGGTACAGCCGTGGGTGTGTCCTTATACACAACCTCCACTAAGGAATGTGACTATTGACGAAATTATTTTTCTTTCTTTTTTCCGTCACTGCAAATGTTTTTGTTCATTTTTCTTCAGCAATGTCAACCTCCATCTTAATTTCTTTCTCTGTCAGTGGGCAACATCTGGAGGACCTGTGATCAAAACCAGCAGACGGAGGCTCTTTCTTCAGATCTACAATCCGTCCAGAGGAGGCGGTATTACCTTTAGAACTGGAGAGATCCATGGGAACCACTTTAAGCTGCTTCCATTCAGTATTTGCATCTGTCTCTCCAAGATCCTTTTTAACAAACACTTTTCTATTGATGTTTTTAAATTCTGGTCTATCAGTGCTGTTAGCCTCTCCTGGGATTTCTAATTCCCTTGGCTCACGTTTAATAGGAAAAAGAGGAATGTTGCCGAGAGTTGACTTAGATGAGTTACACTTACTGGACAAATCCAGAGGTGCTTCGCACTCTGGATTCTGTTTGCTCCCACCTACCAAATTCAGGGGCCCATTTCGCATCGCTCCAAGAGCAGCATTCACTCCCAATTGTTCATGTGAAACAGGCGGTGGAGCCTCTTTCGGCGGGCCCTGCACAGCTGGACGCGTCGGAGAGATTGCAGATGTGGGTGTCGGGCTGTCAGTCTGAGTTGCACTGACAGGAAGAAACACAACAAGGTTGACCCCTGGGGGCGGCTGTTGGTCGAGGGTTAGCTGCCATAATCCGTCTGATTGACCAGAGCCTGCAGACACCCCCCCTGTCACAAGTTCTGGACCACGAGAATCCTTCACTGGTGCAGCAGGGTTGTTTAAAACAGCAGTGGGCATGGCAGCTGTATTTGTTGGAAGCGCCGATTCTGGTTTTGCGTTCTTTGTCTCAGATGAGGAGCTCTTCGAGGCCAGGCGTTTCTTGGAAGCACTCTACAATTCGAAACACAACAAACAAACAAAATCCACTCAAAGAATTATTCACAACACTAATGTGACATGATAATAATATGGCAATGTAATGAAGCTGGGGAGACCTATAACTTGATTGAGGAAGTTTTCAAGAAACAGCAACACAATGCAACAAGAAGTGGCTTCCAATCTCTTCACCTGGTGGGTTATGGAAGCTCCAACATCCCCCTCCACTTACACATGTTTTTCTTGTCGTTGCTTCACTTGGGTGTTTGCAGAATGATGCATGTGCAGAGTTCGACATTAGAAGGCTGTTTCCACGTTCATCTGCTAAAAGGAAAAGGTTTCTCTGTGCTGACCTTCTCCACCGTCTTTCAGTTTGATTCGAGAAAAGCAGGCTTTTGTGACATCACAACTTGTTCGGAGGCCAGTTTACATTGAGACGTAGGTGATGTCTTGTGTCCAGCAGTTAAACCTTTGAAATATTTGCTTATTCACAGCTAATTTAATGAGACTCTTTTGTGATAAAACCGCAAACACAGCTTATTAACCTTTAGATGTCTTAATACATGACTGGAGGGGATCAGTCAGTGATGCTGGGTGTGGTCAGAGGTGAAACGGATTTGAAGCTGAAATACAACAATTACATGATTTGAATTTAATGGACAGACAAAAAAATAAAATAATAAATACTCACCGAAGGCTTGGGTTTTTGTCCACAGGTCTTAAGGTGGCTGTCATAGTTCTGCTGGTGGGGAAAGCCCAGTCCACAGCTCTGACAGAGGCAGGGCGAGTTGCCGGCATGACCCCCCATGTGGGACATTAACAGCAAGGCCGACCGGAAACCCTTCCCACACTCGGCACACTTCAGCACCCTCTGGTGAGCCCCGGCGTGTTTCTTCAGCTCTTCAGAAGTGTCAAATCTCTCTCCACACTCCAAACATCTGATCTCATCCCCTTTAGGCTCCTGATTGCCCCAGCAGCCGGTGTCCTTTTTGTGCCGCTGGAAGTCCTTCTGGCTGAGAAACTCTCTGAGACACGCCACACAGTGAATGCGCTCGGGTTCACACTTGTGTTTGCGGTACAGCTTGGCCAGGCGGTAGTGGCAGCGGCAGCGTACACAGGTGTAAGGCAGCAAACCGAGATGGGAGAAGCTGTGTTTCAGGAGAGCATTCTTCTTAGTGAAGGTCTTTGTGCAGTCTGTGCATTTAAAATTGCGAAGGCACGTCATCTTCCGGTGGCGCGCCAGAGATTTTAGAGAGCAGAAATTGCGGCCACATACCTCACAAACCACCTCCAGCCTACATTTCTTCACGTGATATTCACACGCCGTGAGGCAAGTGAAAACACGTTTGCACAGGTCACACTCGTAGAACTCCTTCTCTAAGTGAGTTCTAGACAGGTGGACTTTCAAATCTCGCTGCGACTTAAAGCTCTTCAGACATACACGGCACCGGAAAAAAACCACTTCGGTCTGGGCGTGCGTGCGCAGGTGGACACGGTAGTTGTAGGTCTGGCAGAAGCGCTTCCCACATTCAGCACAGGAGTAAGGGCGCGCTCCAGTGTGCAGATTCATATGGTCCTGGAGCTTGAATTTGGAGGGCAGCTGCAGATCACAGACACTGCAGCGGTAGTCGCCCCCTGTGTGCCGATGGACAAAAGTTAGATTAGAAGGAGTAAGATATGGACTGACATATGAGGGTGCATCTGGTACCACCTTATAGCCGTTTTAAGAAAAGGTATGGCTGGCGATATTCTATATTTTTCTCATTGTAAACAAATCCCACTAAAATACCAAAACACATACGGTGCTCTAGTGCGTATTTTCGGCAGCAGGACGGTGTGTGTGGTAAGTAGACTACAACACCCAGATCCGTTGTAATGAAGGACCATGTCACCCCGGTGCACCCAAAAAAATTAAGCAAAGACAAACTGTATCAAGCTTTAACTTCACAGACAACACTTGTTACAAGGAGGAAGAAAAAATCCGATTGGATCGTAATTTATGGCAATTCGACTAAAAACTTCTGTGTTTCAGACAAACTGTAAACAACACACTACAACCTGCTTATGAGGGTATAAGTGAATGAGTCATACCATCGTTTAGTCCCTCCTCCTCATCATCGTCGTCTTCGTCGACCTCTTCTTCCTCATACATGTCTGAAACCTCACTGTTGTCGGACTCGTCCTCCACATACTGCATCTCCGTTGATTCCTCCAGCGCAGCGTCTCCATCATCAACACCTTTCTTGCCGTCATCCTCTTCAGCTATTAGCAGTGGAAGGTCTGTGGCTTCTGGCCCTTGTGCGGGATGTTGTGTAGTGCGAGTGTCTGACAGCGGAGCCGTGGTTTGTTCAGCATGCGAGGTCTGTTTTGCAGCACCTGCTTCTTTACCAGCTTTTACCAGTCTTTGTACGTGTGTGGTTGAAAGTGAACTGGGTGTGCGACTGGGTGGGAATGAGTCATCAGGAGAGGTGGAGCTATAGGGTGTCTCCCTAAATGAGGTCTGTAGGATATCCGGGTATCCCAACTCTGTCAGCTGGATGTCAATGGTGTATTCAATGGACATGACTGCTGGCTGAGGAGTCACAAAGGGGGCTGTGAAACACAGAGATGCATCAACACACAGAGTTATGGGTTACATGTTAAAGGCACAGAATGTATGTTTATTAATAAATCAAACAAGTACTGTTGTCACATTTCGCCTTACCTGACGAGCGACTACATATGTGACTATTCCTCTGGATCTTTCTTCTTTGTTTTATTTTCTATCGAGCTCGCAAAACTACTTTGCGTGGGAATGAATTTATGACGCACCTTCACGCGCTGCTGGGCACCTCGCTCACCTGGTAGCGTCAGCAGGAAGGGGTGATGGCACGGCGTGGCTTCAGAACAATTACAAAACAAGCCTCCCCCCCTTCGGTGTTAGCCTTCTGTCCTAAAGCAAATCTACACGGGGGGACAAACACCGAAAAGATTCGCCTTCAACGATGTGAAAATAGCATCCGATTAGCTTGCTACAAACCTCACTCAACCCATGATGACCAGAGCTCGATCAGATCATAAATGGGAGCTCAAAATGAGGAAAACAAATGAAGCACCACAAGGAGAGGGAACGAGTGAGGGCGCTCGAGCACACCTTGTGTTTCGGGGTGGTATTACATCTCAGTATAGAGACATAACTAAATGAATTAGTTACAGTAATAATATAGTTGAACAGGTGCTTTAATGCCTAATGATGAAATATTGCATGAAACTTACTTTTATACTGTTACTATTACACTATAGTTTAAAACTACTTTAATTGTCTAAAGTAAAAGTACTCCCTGTATTATGACACTGGATTATTTGATTATTACTACAGCTTACTATTGTTATTACTGTGGTTTGTCAATGTGGAGCCAGTTCTAATGGCTTTATACTGTCTAAAACTGGTAAGTCCACCACATTTTCTAAACTGGTGGTTGGTTAAAATATGTATCTGCAAAGTAACTACAGCTTTAAAAAGAAATGTGGTTTAGAAAAGTACTTGACTTTATGATCCACACATAGTTCATGGATGGTTAACTTTGGCCATTTAGTTGATGCTACAGCAGAGACACTAATTATCAGCATGTCCTGAACTACAAAAGGAAGGACACAGTAAGACCAGCGTGCTCGGACAAAATGTTGGATATTAAAACCGTTCGATTAGTTCAGCCGCCCGGTGGAAAAGGTAAACATCAATTAAGTCAGTTTCTCGTTGAGCAAGCAGCCAACATCTGAATCTTGTGTTCCTGCATTAGAAGTGAGACAAAGACGAAAGGTTATTTCTTCAGCAGCCTCCCTAGGGATAGCATGTTTTATTACACATTGCAGTGGCGAGAGAAACAATCCAATCAGTGAAAAACACATGATATACAGTTTCCTTTGGGACTCTAAGGCATTTAAGAGTCACGAGTTCCATTTAAGAAATGTCCAAGACATGAAACATTATTCTAACAAGTGAAAAATTAAAAGGAGTATTTTTTTTTTTTACTATAGACAAGCAGGATTATAGTGGATCATTCCTGCCCACATTAAATCTGGAACTCTAAGCCAGTCATTTTTTAGCAGATATACATAATCCTGTAATTTTAAAATTCTTTCTCAATGAGACTTAATTTAGAAAGGAACATAATCAAAATATTTTGTTTTTTAAATGCACAATATCAACCAGAAGCTGTACATAAAACATTTCTCTTGACAAACTGTCTGAACATTCAAACATAGTATCTCTACTAGGCATCTAATTTGCTTCAAAATAGGTACATGCCCAATTTGTGTTGGAATAAAACAAGAGGAAATCAAAAAAAAAAATTTTTATTTTTTTTTTTTTTTTTAAAACCAGTGAGTTGAACTCGAGACTCAAAGAAATAAAATCAAAACACACACATTTCAAGCATTAAAAAAAAAAAACATTTAAAAAGTTAATCAAAATCAGTTTTTTTTTTTTACAAATAAACTATGTTTTGTGGCAATGGGTGCAACAGATGGATTTAATATTTGGTTAGTCAATTTAGGAGATGTGTCTGCATGTCCAAAATCTCAACAGCTCATAATCAAAACTCAAATCCAAAACTTGCTAAAACGTCATTCTCAAAACCATTCCAAACTCTGAACTACCATCAGGAGGATCAGATCTCCAATGTTAAAAGAAAAGGACAATGCCTGACTAAAATCTTCAGAAACCATACACTTTCTGCGAGGTCCCCGCGGCTCAATTATCTCTTTGCACTTGGGTTTTCCAGCTGTTCCTCCGGGTGGCTTTTCTGGTGAGCTTGCAAGGTGCGCTCACGGCCAAAGCTCTTCCCACAGACTGGACAGGCGAGGCGGCCGACAGCGTGAGCCCGTGACATGTGGGCGTCCAGCTGCTCCGGACGGCCAAAGCTCTCTTCACATTCTTCGCAGGGATGAGCTTTCCGCGGGGCGTGTTTCACCTTCTTGTGAGCACGGAGCTGAATTAAGCCGGAGAATGTGAGGTCACATTCGGGACATGGGTGCTGACGGGCCGGAGGAGCAGCAGCAGCAGCAGCATCTGCTTTAGGTTTCTTCTCCTTTGCTGGAGCTTGACTGTCGTCCTCAGGACTCTTCGTATCTTCAGTTTCTGATTTGGTTGCTGCTTTAGAGGGACGCCCACGCTTCGCCCCACTTGCTTTTCCCTTTTCCTCGGCAGGGGGTGCAGCTGACTCTGCTGTGCTGCTGGCCTTCACCGCCTCCTCGGGCACTTCTGCCTCATCTTTCTTTTTCCGCTTCCCCTTTTTCTCTGCAGCTGCCGGATCTTCCGCTTTGGAAGGCCGTCCTCGTTTCTTGACGGCTGAAGCGCTGCCATTGCATTGCTGACCGTCGGGGTACTTCTCCTGGTGTTCTATCAGCTCCGGTTCCGTTTCAAAGCCCTGACCACACTTCTTACAGCGGTGGGTTTTCGTGGGGTCTTCCGGCTGTTCTGCGGTCTCTATCTCTGGGCGGAGATGCTGGGTCAGGCGATGATTACGCAACAGTCCAGCGCTCCGGAAGGTTTCATTGCAATCTTTACATACCAACTGTTTCTCTGGACACACCTGTCTTCTGTGGGCTGTTAGCTACGAAGGTGAGAAGTGAAATAAAAAATAAAAACACTGGGTGAGTTTCATACTTGTTCGGCATTCATGGTGGTTTTTAGCTTTAACAATGCCAAGGACATTTATTTATAAGGGTAATCATTATACTCACTTCAGAGAATGTTTTAAAGCTCTCCTTGCAGTGCACACATTTGAAGGGCTTGTCATCCTTGCTGTGTGTTGGCTGGTGCTGTGTCAGTTCCTCAGAGGACAGAAATGATCGGTCACACACATAGCATGTGAACAATGTGTTTCCCTGTGAAGAAATGGGGGGGGGGAAAGGGGAAAAAATTTAAAATAATTCAAGACCAAGAACTACATTGTACCCAAGTTTATCAGATTAACTTTATTCGCCATGTCTGGGTGATCTTGGTTTACCGATAACACAGTAACATTGTATAAGCTGAATAAACAGTGTGCATTCTCCTGCTTACACTAAATCTCAATATATATTTAAGTAAATATACATCTCAATTTAACTAAGTAACTTACTCAAACACTAACTGATCCACATTGAGAGAATTGGATTTACCTTGAATGATAAACTTCAGAATTTTTTATTTTTTTTTTTTAAATATGGTTACCATTTATTTTTTTCAAATACTTTCAATACATTATATTATAAACAAAAGCCATAATCTTCATAAAAACTTATAGACAAACTGTTACTCTCAATGTTATTCAATGCACTGATATTGTGACGCTTATACATGTATTATTATTACCTGCTGAAGCTGTTGCTTGTACTCTTCCCGGTGGCTCTTCTTCATATGCCTTTCCTTGGCTTTGGCACTGCAGAAGGTGATGAAGCACTGGAAACACTGCAGATTTTCATGCTGGTCTGGAAAGATAAATTGAGATTAGAGAAATCATGCAACAGACACAGTTAATCTTTAAGGGGCTCTCAGCAAAACGCATTTAAAGCTGTGACCATAACACCACTTACAGGGCTGAACGGAGGCCGCAAGAGGTCCATTCAAAATGATGGGTCTTTGTGGTACTGCTGGTTTTTCAGGGGGAGCTGCAGGAGGTGGATCTGGCAGTCCCCGACCCATCACTATCTCTTCTATGTTCAAAATATCCGAGTCCATCCTGGTGTACTGGCGGGTCTCAACAGACACACACACACACACACACAGAACAATTGTCCTGAATGCTATTAAAAGAACAAGGACACATATGAAAGTACGGTTACTTATCACATGGAAACAACAGCAGTTTGGTTGACAGCGGGAAAATAACACTGTGATAACTAATCACACGTTATGCTCAACAGATGACAATGAACAAATAATTTACTAACTTATTTAGGGCGAGGCTACAGTAAAACAGCGGCTGATATAAACCACAACGTGTATATCAATATTAGTCCAGCTATTCCATAACAAACACTTAAGTTTCAGCTAATCTTGGCCAACGTTACCGCTACGTTACTACCGTTAAGGCCGCTGGCTAAGCTAACTAGCGCCATGAGAACCTACGAGCATCCCGCTACCAATTCACTTATTAAAATGCCTTACTGGGTGTATCTGGTAAACTGTAACCGTTTACAGATTATGTAACTGCTTTGGTTTCATGCGTGTGCCCGTAGCTGACGTTTATAATAAAGTAGTAGCCTATTGAGCGGGCTAACACTAGCTAGCTAGCTAGCTACTGGTTAGCGCTAACAACACTGGCTGCCATTCAAAGAGCACAGGAGACTTTTCGTGCCTTTTCACATATCACGTTTTAACTCTGTTGGGCGCTTGCATATGCCTGACATAGCTCATTAAAATGCACGTTCATAAATACACCTAAATCTTGTAAAATATTACATTTTAAATGGAGTAGACGTTTACGTTACCTCTAGCCGCTCTTTGACGATAGTTTGACTGAAAGAGTTGACCCTACAGAAGTACAACGGATAGATCGGACACTTCCTGGTGTGTGACAGATAGCCATTGGTACAACTAAGATGGCTGCCATGCAGTCTTTGGTACTATGTTTTTATTGTCATTTGGTGATGCTTTGACAAAAATTCAAATGTAAAAAAAATGGACCAGTCGGGTTTTTCTGCCACTGATACAGAGCTGCACTTTGCATCGTAGTGAGTGTAGCTTGAAACACAAACCTTTCTTGGAAAGGACGCACAGTATTACGGTATAATGATAAAAGACTCTCATTCAAAATACCACCACGTCGGTTAATATAATGTATTTATCTTAAGACAATCATTTAGGAACACACAATAAGACAGCTAGCGTTATAGCGTTATGAACATGGATGAATTTTAATTTATCTCCCCTTCTATTCAGTCTGATTCTATGGTTGATCTCCGTCACGTGACCAAGAACAACTTCGTTAAAAGTACTTTGTTTTCATTCACTGTAATAATTAGCCTCGTTTATAATACAAGGACTGCAAACAAACGTACACAAGAAGATGTACGTTCAATCAACCGTCTAAATTGTAATTCACTTTCACTTAGTCAAATTCTCTCAACGTTTTGAAGTCCATTTCTAACTCTTCAAACCATCTGTTTGTACTACAATGCTCTCTAAAATGATATCAGTCGTATTTGTTAACTCATATCCCTGTAGTACAATATATCTCTCTATAAGAGTATGTGTATACATTCAATTTTCAGTTACTTCTACTCAAACTATCTCTGTGATTTCCGCCACAAATGCAGAGGATCACTACATTGGAGAGTATGATAAATGCATGAAAGTTACCTAATGTCAGTTGAATCTTAGTGTCACTGTCACAGCTTACTGGGACCCTTGAATAGAACAAAGACATACTTAATGTTATCAGAAACAATTCAAAATGTCTTGTGAAAAAGGTGTATGGTGCCAACATTTCTCGACAGTCTTACAAAAACAAAAAAGCAACAATGCATGTATTTTTTCCATCTGTCTTTTATTGTTTTCTGAAATAAATAAATTAAATTCATAGATCTAAAAGAAAGCTCATTATGGAATGAAAATTCAGTTAGGTTAAAATAAATAGTAAAAAAAAAATCATGGTAATTGAAATATTAAAATCATACTTTGTGCTTCTTCTGCAGCACAAAGTGTATGGCTATGCATATTTTTTTACATTTCCTTCTGAAGGCAAAATCATTTTACACTTGCTCGATGCCATAATAAGCCACATCACAAAGCATTTGTTTTTTAAACTGCAGTACAAATAATCCTTCACAATGTGTGCCACTGCCAGTGAAAGGCATCATGGAAAAGTTGTCAGGACAGAGGAGATAACGTATTTTTTGATAAGCTGGGTTTTCATACACCAAAAGCACAGTTACATTCCAACTCAGAGAGCAAAATGTTGAAAAATATAAGGGAAATTCTGTAGTGGACACTACACTTTTTCCAAACTCCCTTGATTATGGAAATTCAAAAAGCAGTTGTGGTTGCGTGAGATACAAAGAAAGACACAGCACCTAAGGCATAGCACACGGGATGTTCTTTGACAGTCCCCAAAGCGACACCTGCCCCCTTCTCCCTCTCCGAGCTGCTCCGGCCAGTGGCCTGAACCATCGTACCGTGTGGCTGCATCTGGCATAGGACTCTCCTCCACCAGGCTGGGATTGGGGGTTTCGTTTGTAGCATGAGGGTTGTCTTTGGGGGGGTGAGGGGGAACCGAGTCCTGGGTATCAGAGCCGCTACAGAGGATCAAAGCCTTCGACACCTCCAGTCTGAAGGACATGAGAGTCAAAGGTGCAGACACTGCCCTGTGATCCTGTCGGTATAGGAGCCAGGAGTTGACCAAAGCTAGATCTGTGAGGTACCAGAGCACCGCTTGAGGCCAGCAGGTCGGGGCTGAGGCAGTGAGGGGGATGGAGTAAAGATTCTGCAAATCTCGGTTGAGATGAGCCAACATCTGGGCCTTCTCAAAGTTGTCAATGAGTGAAGCCATGTTCCTCTGGCCATTTCCTGCGGTCGAAAGTATGAAGCCACAGTGCGACCTGCGTAACATCAGCTTCCCATCTGAGCTTACGAACTCATCTCCGATCTGTCCTCTGGCTCCTCCAACCCTTCCTGCACCATGAACCCCTGCAACTAACAGGCGCTCTAGCATCGCAGGGGTGGAGAGTTCCTGTTTGCAAAGAAACACCATACTACCTTTGGGGGCCATTTCTTCCACAGCATCTTCTTGGCCGGAAAGACCCAACTTGAGATCCACGTGCAAGAGCAAACCACCAAATCCAATTAATGTTGTACAGTTTAGAGACAGCTTCTTATTGTGCATCTTCCCAGGCAAAGCAAGTGGATATTGGTCAACTGCATAGTCCCCCTCTCTTCTCAGCAACTGGCATCCTGCTTTGAAACGGCACAATAATGGCCGAGCCTTCCACAGCGGGTCGGTCTGCGTTTTCAAACTGTTCAGGTCATTTGGCGCCTCCCTTTGTCTTTGCCCGTTACTATGCTGACAAATTTTACTTTGCCTGCTTGAGGGAGTTTTACCTTGCAGTGCATTTTGAAAGTCACCATCATGTCTTCCTTCCTGAACATTACTGTTGACTGGATCTTTCGCAGGAGAGGCGAGTTTCAACATGCGAGACAGCTCGAGGAAACGGGAAAGTGGCACGGCCTCAGCAATCAAGGGCACCTTAGTCAAGTCCTCCCAATAGAGCCTTGGACTAGGAAACTGAAAAATAGCAAAAGACCAAATAAACCTTTAGCGGTCTTCCGTCTAATTAACAGAGACAAGTAAAGATGAAAAAAACCAGTGCACAAACCTTTAAAGTTCCCATTGCTATGTGGATCCCGACAAACTGTGCAACCTCTCTGGCTGTGACAAATTTGGTCATGTTGGAGAGTTTATTTGTGCAGTTGGCAATTTCTACCCAGGTATCCCAACCAAAATAACTGGAGAAGTAGTCAATGGGCTCTCTGGTCCTGTTTTCCTCTCCGAGTGCTTGGAACTGGCTCGTTGTAGTTGGCAAACTAAGGGAGAAAAATATAGTTAAAAGTTCAAATGAAACATTATTTCTGCACAGTATGACAAAACTATTAGTAGAGAATATAATTTTTTGGCAGTGCTCTGTTAAGGTTGTATACTGTACTTTTGTGACAGCTCATCTGGCCGTTGTGTGCCGTTTGTTTGATTCTTGTAGAAATAGGCCATTACTTCTGCTTCTGAGTCAAGCTGTGGATCAGAAAATTCAAAACCGCCCACGTCCTCTTCATCAGAACTTTGGAGGAGAAAGTCCCGGAGGTCTGGTGGATGCTGACACTCAGTGTCTGCCACAGCTGAAAGATCAGATCATAAATGGACGAGTTATCTAAAGTTTGATCGACGATCGAAGTAGCTTAAGTACGTTTATCAGGTACCAACAAGTAGACGTAACTTCTAACAGAAAACAAACCATGTCCATCTGCAAAGTCACAGACCCCTGGTTCCGACAATAGTCTTCTCTCTCTTATTTCCTGGTAGTCTAGTACAGAATGGCTCCCTTTAGCTGTTAATAGATTGCGCATGAAAATCTTCCGATAATCTTGGGTAAAAGAAGAATATCACTGGAAAGGGCAATGACTCACTTGAATTACTATCGGTTTCTTGATGTTCTGTCTGCTGGGCTTCACTGGATGCTTCCGTTGTTAAATTCTCAGCGTTGGTCTGAACAGCTCCAAGTAGAACCTCCCTCTCCTCCTCCTTCACTGGGTAGAAGATACACTGGTTGGTGTTGAACTCTGGGGTGATGCAGCCCTCGTCCCTCGTTGTCTCTCCACTCTCCATTACTGAAAGCAAAAAGCCGAAAATATCCAACTCTTACAGCGTCAATTCAGTAAACAAGGTAGATTTACAAACACACACATTGGCTTATTTAATCATCGCCTGTCAAAGCTAGAGCTAGGAGATTGTTAGCTAAACTGAAAAATAGTTAACAGCTACATCCGGTACAATACATCTCTTCACTTAGTATTAGAATAATGTTTTTTGTACATGTTCCCTGACAAATTTAATAAACTTGACTAATCTCCCAGTCTTAATGCTAAACTAAGCTAAGCTAATCACCTCCTGGCTGCAGCTCCATTGACTTGTGAGAGGTATCAGTCTTCTTATATGTACACGTATCTTCTAATGTTGAACTATTACTTCAACATATACCTACAGTATGGCCTAATACTCACATGGACTGGAGGAGTTTTCAATGTCGACCTGCTCCACATTCCATCGGATGCGTCTGCTGCCTTGCGTCGCCTCATGCAGCACGAGGCTGCTCTCCTCCTTCACCAGAACGGTCCTTATATCAGGATGGTGCTGTGGCTGCACACTTGCACTCTGTCTGTTTTGACAGGTGAGTGCAACCAGCGGTGGATCTGAGATATTCTCTTCAACCTTGATCTCCTGGCTCCCGAGGGCCGCAATGCTGTCCAAACCCTGGAACCGCAACAGATGTAAGTTTGCAATGTTTCATTTATTATTCATTGATGATGAATGGTAGTTGTTGATACAACTGGCGTCTCACCTGTCTGTGACTGTTGCTCGCCGTCATCTGGCACGTCTCCTTGTCAGCAGTCGCTCTCTGTCTAGAGGTGAGGACCTTCTCAAGTATGATGCCTGGAGACTGGTCAGACCCATTGTTGTGTTCCTCTCCTCCCTGCAGTCCTCTTAGATGCCTTACCTCCTCAACACTAGTGGTAACGGACTCCAGCTCAAACACAACTTTCTCTTTAGGCAAAGATGCAGTTGGAGCAGTGGCTTGGTTGGCCTCAGTACTGGTCTCTGTCTGTGAAGTCTTTGTGCCAGTCTCACCTTCGTCATTCACTTCTGAATCAGAGCTAATGTGACATTCTTCGTAAACTACCTGACACTCATCCTGTTCTTTCACCGATTCCGTTCCTCTGATAGTATCTCCGACTGAAGCTCTCTTAGATATCACATCTCGTTTTAAACGCCCTGTTCCTCTTCTCCTACCACTTGTAGCATTCATCGGAACAGCTCCTTTCCCTCCTTCTTTTTTCTTCTGGACTAACAGTTCTTCCTCCTCTTCTTCTTTGATCTCCACATGATGAGTGGAGCATGACACAGTCTGCGAAGTTAAACTTTTTCCAGTTGTTGTTTCGATACCAACTTGCCCAGGAAGCTTGTCAGTGCTTTCACTCACAGAATTGCAAATTCCACTTGATTTATTTTGGGGAACAATGTCTTCATGAGAGGTTGGTTCATCTCTCTCATTCTGCTCCCCAACAGTGACTAAATCTACCTCGAGAAGTAAATCCTCCTTAATGTCTTCATCCGTGGTAAACTGACCTTGAGATTCTGAGCTGGGATTTCTCGGAGTACCGTCTTCTTGCTTGTCCGCATCTGACGCCGAAGGTTCTCCCATTTCTGAACTCTTTGTCTGAGTAGAGGTACTTAAAGGGGGTTCAGATGTGAAATTTGGAGGGGTCTCACTGTTTTTCCCTTGATCAGATGGCGAATGAACTTCAGCGGAGGTATGAGATTGATAATCTGCTTCCCTTTTACCTTCAGCCTTATTGTCATATGCACTCACTTCAACATCTGAAGAAGGAATGGGTAAAGATGGGGATGGAATCAAAGCCGGAAAGGAGACACTTTGCTCTCTGCCCTCTAATGCCATCTCTGCAAGCTCAGGCTCAGTGTCCCAGTCTGAAGCAGCATTCATCACTCCAACAACCTTCTCGTTCCGTTTTGGAAGCTGGTAAAGATCCAACCTGGAGACGCCTTCAAAGATGTTGCCATTGGTGTAAGTGAGACCGGGACTCTCCACGATGTGAACCGCCTTGTGCTTCTGTAGGGACGAGACGTCGCTAAATCTTTGCCCACACTCCTTACACTCCAAGGCACGCTTAGAATTAGAAGTTATCACTCCTTCAGTCTCCACTTTGGAAGAGGCTTTACGTTTCCTGGTGGTCTTTGGTTTGGTGGGCAGCGTCTCAGGCGTTTGACGGGAAACTTGTAATGAGGACAACAAGGAAAGAGCTTTCTGGTTCTTTTTGGGTCTTCCTCCTTTTTTCTTCCCGTCCGCTGTAAGATTATTTGTAGACTCACTTGTTGAATGTTTACCTTTACTCTCTTGGGAGGTTGTTTGGGCATCATGAGGTGAAGCCTCCTGTGTCTGGCCTGATGCTTTTGAAGGGTCTAACTTGTAAACTTTCAGTTGAGGCTGTTTATGTCCTTTCAGTAGAAGTAGAGCGTCTTGCGTTATCTGTGGTGCAGGGAAGTCTGCTGAAGCTGTGCTGGTTTTTGTGTTGACTTTTTCCTGTTTTGACATGTTTTTCTTTCGCTTCACATCCTTTGCTTTCTTGGGCTGATCTTTTTGCATTCTTTTTGTTTGTCTTTTCTTTTTAAATACAGACAAGGCTACAGTTTTGTGCTCACTTGTGAGCGTAACCCCCTCCCTGGCCACTTCTTTTTGCTTTTTCATTTTATTCCCTTTGATTTGTTGCACTTGTGGGTCCTTGGTTGATGACGGTGATTTTATTTCAGAATTACATACCAAATGTCCCAATTTCTTGTCCCTTTTCCCCTTTCTTCCCTTCTTCTGTGACGCTACCTCTTTCTCTGAGAGATTTGTTGGTGGCGTTTTACCTCTTACTCCTTCTTCCTGCGTTGGCTGATGCTGCTGTGATGTCTTCTTCTGTTTGTTTTTCTTCTCTTTGCTTTGTGGACCAAATTTAACAACAAGGCGAGACTTTTTAGTTTTTTGCCGTTTGGCAGGTGTGGCATCGATTTGGAAATCATCCTTGCTAATGGATCCGACCAGTTCTTGCATATATCCTTGACAGATAACAGCCCTGGTTGGCTTTCTTTTCCGCACTTTAACCAGTTCTTGTGCCGACATTATATTTACTGGTAACTCTGACATCTGTGGCACCTGCTTGGTCTCCAAGTGTGATGGAACCTCTTCTTCAGCAGGTGGATCCTCTACTTCCGACTTGTTCTCCACCGGCTCCCGACTCTCCTCGCTATCTACCAGCAATTTCTTAGATGGTTCTTGTTCAGCTTTTTCTTCTGGCTCTTGTGGTGCATCTCCATCCACCACAGGGTGGCCCTGATCTAGACTTACTGTTTGCATCTGTGAATCAATCTCTTTGTTGAGATTAGTTTCAGATTCACTTGTAGTTTGTGTGACCGTGTCTGGTGGAACAAAAGGGCAAGAAGCAGGGCCCTGTTGCTCCGCTTGTAAAGGTGTCAGCTCCAGCTCAACTGTAGTCATAAGTAGTGGAGCTGACAGGCTGGTCTCCTGCTCCTCCAATACAGTCTGATCTGCAGTCTTTTCCAGGTCAGTGGTTGGTACCAGACAGGAAGACGGGATTTCATTATATGGCATGGTTTGGGATTGTTCTAGCTCCACAGTTGGTATAAGTTCTAATATGACTGTTTGCTCAAGGTTTTGCTCTACCTCGCTCTGACAAATAATTTCCTCCACAGGATCAGACTGAATTGCACCAATATCGGGCTGTTGAAGGATCTGATGAATACCCTCGTCCTCGGGTCTCTCTGCATGTTCAGTCTGAACGAGCGTTAGCTCTATATTTTCACCTACTACGATGTGGGAACCTAGGTCTGAGAAAGATGGGTTTTCCAACTGCCCATCTGGCGTAATAGGTTCCAGTATAATTGTTTGCTCCATTAAATCAATTGAGTTGTTTGAAGGGTCCATTTCAACTATCTTAGATTCCGTTTGTTGCAGTCCTATAAAATCGATGTGCGGTGGGTAGAGATTCAAATTCGTTGTTTCTGCCAGTTGTAATATCTGCTGCACTTCCAGTGGTGGGGCATTAGGTGGCACCTGCCCCAATATTACAACTTGGTTTACTTTCTGCACATTTCCTAAGGACTCAATAAGTCTGCGAATCTGCTCCGTGTCAATGTTGGCATCCACTTTTTGCAGAGGTCCATGTGGCCCCACCTGTAGTAGTGCTGGTTGGCAAATAGATATTGGAGTTATGATGGGCATATTTAGTTTCACTTGCTGCCCAGCTGAGAGGGCTTTACCGGCTGCAGCAGGCAGCCCGTTGTGCTTGGTTTTCATGTGATGTAGCCGTGTCTTGGTACTCTTGAAAGTGGCCTTGCATACAGAACAAGGATACTTTATGTTAGAAGCACCTAAAGATAAGAAATGAAGACAGCTGTGATGCATTGGGGTATATCATGTAAAGCACAACACGTCCTGCTACCTGACAGATAGTTTGTTTTCTAGAATTTTATCATTTTTAAAAAGGCAATAATTCAGGAGGCCAAACATATCACATTAATTATGTGTTTTTTGTTTATCATTTAAGTTTATTTTCTAATACAACCGCAATATTTAGAAAGCTTTCACCATCCCGAGAATAAAGAATAACTTAATAATAACCATAGTTTACTTTTCTGTGTATATGTAGACCAATTAATCTCTTTTTGATAGACATGTATCGGCTACAAAAACATTAATATAAATTCACATACTACACATTGTACGAACTAAGCTAAGCCCTTGACTCCACTGTTTAGAAAGGCTGCCAGGGCCTCTAATATATTGTGCATCCCTAATAATTCTATTACTTTGGATCAAAGTAAAATGTGACTCAGACTGAGAGTCTGCAGCAATCCTGACAGCTCTGTGAGGCCGTGCATCGTCACAGCAGGGCTTAAAACTAAAGTCAAAAGTTTCCCTTCTTAATTTAGCATGCTAACATTAGCTAATTAGCACTAAATGCAACAAGTCCAGCTGAGACTAACTCAAATGTGGTCAGTTGTGCTAAGCAGTAATATTAGACATAAACCAAAGTATTGGGCAAATTTCAATTTTTGAGTTTTGAGAACAACAACATGATTACAATCCATTTCATAGTTGTCAAGACATTTCCCTCAAAACCACAAAAGTCAACCTCATGGTGGTGCTTGAGGAGAAGTCATTAAGATTCACCCTTTGAGAACCATGTATGTCTGTACAAACCTTCATGGATATTTCAGTCTGGACCAAAGCGGTGCACCAACAAACTAACATTGTCATCCCTCGAGCCGTGTTGCTAGCATAGCTGAAAAGAATGTGAACATCTTCATGTGTAAACTGATAATAATGGACATTTTCCTTACCATCATCTTTCTTCAGTTTTGCTTTCGCTGTGGTGTCGACGCCATCTCCTTCAGCTCCCTCTGGCAAGTGTGAGACCGCATGTTTCTGCAGAGCTTTGGACATTGTGAACCTCTTTCCACACTCCTTGCAAACATACGGCCTCTCTCCAGTGTGTGTGCGGCGGTGATACTTCAGCAATGTCATCGTTTTGCAAGGTTTGCCACAGTCGGTGCAGGCATAACCGTCCTGGCCATAATGGATTTTTTTATGAAGGGTGAGCTCTGATGACTTGTTGAAGGCAATGCCACAGATTGGACACTTGAAGGGTTTCTTCTCTGTGTGGGCTTTCTGGTGGACCATGAGCTCTGTGGAGTTTGTGAACTGGCGGTCGCATACGTAGCAGGCGAACATGGCGTTCCTCAGTATGCACTCTTCGTATTCTGCTGGGTGGCTCAACTTCAGGTGGCGCTCTTTGCTCTTGTGATCGCTGAAGATTATGTGGCACTCGATGCACTGCAGGGAGAGCTGAGAGGCTGGAGGGAATCAGGGCAGGAGGGGTAGAAAGTTTATATGTAACATACAGTTCATCCATATCCTTAGGATAAGGACAAGTACTCTTAAAAAGTATTAAGTCCTGCAAAAAGAAAAAGATGTGGCTCTGGAGGCTCCTTCATATGCACATTGGAGCTTTATAGTACGACCAATACTGTAATGTTTAGGCAGATTCCAATACAAGTATAAGAGTTTAATAAATATGATTATGATATACTAGCCAATTGTTTTCATAAATGCATAATGCAAACAAAAGTTTTGATGAGAATCCTTTCAAATTGTTTACTTTCAGGCCACAATATATATATTCAGCAGTGCACTTGTCAGTGCTCGTGGAAAAACACATAACTGCATACCAATATCTATGCAATAAGCTAATAATAATAAACATAACATAATAATAAACAAATACAAGTTAAAATACTCACACGTGAGAGGCATAAGCAGTGGTTTGGACATGTCCATCTTTAGAGGATCTACCATGGCCTTCTTGGAAGGAACGTATTTCCTACCATCACATACACCTTTATCCGGTTTCTTTGCCTTTTTACCATCGCACCCAGGACTCGCATTCGTGTCAGGTGTCGGTTCTGCAGGGACACTGAGCTTTGAAGCAGAGTCCGTCTCCATCCCCGCAGTGTGAACTGAGGGCTCCGTCAGTGGCCCTGCAGCAGGCTCCTTCTCCACTACGTGTGTGACTGCCATACTTGGTGCTTCTGCTGGTTGCACCCCTGTCCCATTCTCCTGTGGCGTGTCTACTCTTTCAGTCCCAGCAGTAGCAGCTGATGTGTTCCCCTCTTCCTGTGCATCCGGTTGACCCGGTGCCGGCTGAGCTCCAGTCTCAGTGTCCAGTGGTTGCACTGTGGCGGCAGTGGTCACAGGGTCTGCTCCGCCGCTGTTGGACTGGGTCGGACTCTGCATGGCTCCCTGCCTCTTGGCTTCTCAAATGCACTTGTTCATGTGTTTCTATGAAAGCAGGTCACACACAGAAACACAGAATGGCTGTAAACCAACACATACATGAACACAAGGTACCAAGGAAACAATCATTCAAACTGCTTTATATAAAAAAGGGGCGTTTCACAATTTTGTATTTTTTAACGCAGTTAACAGCATCTTTGTTATCTATGGCGACAGCTGGGGGACTGGTGAATGAATGGGTTTAAAACATTTGAATTACAAAAGAAGACTGACGGATGGGGGGCAGCCGTTCGAGGCTGATGTATAACCCAAACGCAACACTTTAATTGGTATACATAGTGTATGAATAGAGCACTTTAACATGATAATATATTTGAACAAACCCTCCATAACAACCACAGACACACGGATTATAGCAGCCCAGTTAGCTTAAAATTCACTGATTTGCGGTTAATATCCGCTAGCGATTGTTAGCATTCCCAGCATTCCCATCGCGTTAAAGCGCTCAAATATGCAAAATATGCATTCACTTTAACTACGTCCCCGTTTTTACACCCTTATAGCCGTGTGGATGCAGGAGGAAGCGGTTTTAAGGTTACCTCGGCTGTCTTGTCCACCCCAAACATCTCCGCGTCGTTCCTCACAAAGCCAGCACAGAGGCGCTGCAGACAACACGTGACTTCACGTCTGACCAGAGCCGCAAGGGAGTCATGGGAATTGTGGTTTCTCCCACAATCAGCCCCCTACTCATGTGCTGTTTACTCTGCTAAAAGACTACAACACGGCGTGTTATCGGTACCAATTAGCACACTTAACCTATATTTAGAATACGTTTAAAGGTGAATAATTGTATTGCCATAGTCCAACTATTTATATCCTCAAACCCGTTATATTGAACAGGGTCTTTTGTGATATACATTTAACAGTATGTATGTTTGCCTTCAGCTCTATACTCTTCAGTATGTTTAACAGCGTTAAGAAGCGCAGCTTTAGTTTAAGCTTGATTTAAAAGGCTTAAAATCTACTTTGGTAAGAGTTGAGGTAATTTTATATACCAGATAAGTATAGATTATATAAATGTTTACCACCATTCAGCAAAAGAAGGTCCTGGCAACAGCAATGCAACTACTACTACTTGTTGAGCAAATTAAATAACACCTTTATAGCACAATGCTGGGAGTATCGTGCTTAGGACTCAATTGAATAAGGCTGAATAAAGTTTACAGTAGTGCATCTCCTGGCAAAAGTACAAAGTAAAACAGCCAGTTGGTGGTGCTATTGCAGCATGTGATGCAGGGTCTTCTTCACTGTAAATTCCAATTATTGCAGTCCCTGGAAACCTCTATAAACCAATAACAAAAAAGTCCATTAGCGCAGTATTCTGCACCATTATTGCTACCACAGTTAATATCTATTATTTTAATCAATATTTACATATTTAACGAGATACTGTATTGCTTAAATATGATCAACCATGCATAAACTCATGGTGATAGGATTTAGAATTAATGGGATTGTGTAGAAGTCTCTTGAGCTCCATTAGATCTCACTGTATTAATAAGTCAGCCATTACTTACTGTAAAAACTCCATTAGAACTTTAAACTGCCGATTGTGGCAGAGTGATCCAACTATAACGTATATGAGCTATTAAATGTACAGAGGAGTATGAGCACTTTCAAATATCTTAGTTCTTATATCTTAAACATGCGTCAGCCCCTTCAGCCCACTTTCATAACATGCAAGATTGTCTGTTTCAATACATTCTTGGCACTTTTGGTAAGGTTGTTTTACAGATGTTATACAGATTCCAGAAGTTATTTGTATATTGCTTTCAAGAATAACTAAAACAAATCATAAAACATTTAACAAAATACTACTTTTATGAGTATTTCAATAAACCCATAGCATAAATTACGTTGGTAATACATGCTGGAAAAATGCGGTGCTCAAGAGCATTCTGAATTTAAACTCTGCTCAAAATATTCCAGTCCAAACACACATTTTTCTTCAACATATTTCCCTTCAGTTTAAACAGTAATGATGTTAATAGTCCACATTGTGTAAAACACATTATTTCCCCCGTGTACATAAAGACAAACACTAACATTTTTTTTTGAATGCATTCAATTTTATTTGGTTATACAAGTAGAACATGTGAAAGTGAAGCTAAGCTACCTCCCTCTGAGTTTCTTTCCCCTCATGACGATGTTTCTACATCAAAAAATATACATTTAATACCTGTAGTTTAATCTCATAGCATGAACTGTTGTACTCTGATGTAGATACTCATTATCAATCTCCCCTGGACTATTATACTTCATGTAGTGTAACAGTGGGTGAAAGTTCAAGTTTAAAAATTCTGAGCACACTAGATATAAAGAATTGTTTTTACAAGTTCATCAGCAGTTATCTCTTTGTTTCTTAGCTCCAACGGTGTATTTTTAACAGTAAGAAATGTAAAAAATAACATAAAGGCTACGGTCAACAAAGGCACCAGTATGAGAAAAATAAATGCGTCCGTGAGCCTTCAACCCTCAATATCATCCTGTGGCATCGGAATCTCACCAGTAGCATGTTTTATATAATGCGAATGCAGCTCTGCCACTTCATCAAAGCCCATGTCGCATTCGACACACTCCCACTGCCAATACTTGTGCTCTCTCCACATGTTTGTTTCCTGTGGCTCCCCCTCGTCCATCCCCTGGCCCGTTGGTGGCTGTACGGTTTCTGATTTAAACTCATCGGGCGGAACAGATCCGGCCGAGCCGGGTGGTTTTGAAATCTTAAAGTGATGCTCGGCCTCTTCCCAATCCGACACTTCGGGGTTTGCATGGTGCCCGAACACAAAATCCTCACATGGCTCTTCCGTTTCATTTTTCCTCACGCCTTCTTCCGTTCTTGGCAGCTCGTCCATGCTTGTATCCGTTTCTCGCTCCTCTTTGACACTAGCGAGAAGTCGGCTCTTTCTAATCTCTTGCTTCTTTGCAATGTTTGCGTAGTTCTTGACCCCCAGAGGCCTCCCGCTGGACTTGACGTAAACTCTAAGATGCCTTTTTAGGTGTGAATTTAGATTTCCAGATTGGGAAAAGCGCTTCCCGCAGAATGTGCACGGGTAAGGCCTTGCTCCAGTGTGGGAGTTGTGGTGGACCCTGAGCTGTTTAGCTGTGCAGAATTTCTTGGGGCAAACATTGCACCTATAGTTCCTCAGATCGTGACTCTGCATGTGTTTATCTAGCAGCGCTTCATCTTTGAAGCCTCTGGCACAACTTAAACACCAAAATGGTTTTCGTTTATGAAGGTCGATGTGAGCCATCCACGTATTCACAGAAATGAAGTCTTTGTTACAGCGATCGCACCGGGGAGGTTTTGAATTAACTGACCTGTGAACTTTCAGGTGACCAAGTAGCCGTGCTCGCCTGATAAATGACAACCCACAGTCTGGACACTGATATTTGGTCAAATTCGGAACACCGGACTCTGGACCATTAGATGACTGTTTTTCATGCAGCCTTTGGTGTTTTCGGAATGAAACCAAGTATGTATAAACCTTCCCACAGACCAAGCAAGCATGCATCTTCCCAGGTAGCTTGCTGGTCTCGGGTGTGGCACCTTCAACACCTTGTGCTAAGCCTGAGGGGTTTGTCTGCAATGAACGGCTCATGTCACCCCCATGTGCATCACCACCCGGACCCCCACCTGTGTTTTCTCCATCGTCTACTCTCAGTTCTGCTGCAGGACTCATGTTGTGCCCCATCTGAGCCTCCTCCTCCTCCTCCTCCTCCTCTTCCCTCTCCTCCTCTTCCAGGGCATGTTGGTGCAGGTGAGTCTTGAAGACGTCCCAGTGTGTAAACCTCAGTCCACAATCCTTGCACGCAATGCTGTACTGGTCGACTAGAAAAGGAGGGAAAAAAAAAAGACCAAATTAGAATTTTTACAAGTACAGACTTCATGCACAACAATTTGAACTTATACAAGTTATTATACAGTATATAAAATAAACTAGCATGTATCTTCTGATTTTATGAATGAACTATTTTTTTCTATGATGTTCGAGTTGAATTTTTGCAGATTCAGAAAGAGCCTGGTCGTTAAAGTTACCAATGTTTCATTTTAGCAGGTAAAACTTACAAGACTGAGTTGGGTTTCTTCTCTTCGTTCACAGATGAAGTGTTGAGTCGGGTGTTAACTACTAAAATCATTTCAATCTCAAAGCTTTGCGCATTAAATAATTATCTTTTAAGCCACTTAAAAAAGGACATTTAAAATATTACAGCAGGAAACTTGAGATAATTTAGGATCAGAGGACAAATTAGTAGCCCAAATCTTTTTAGGATTAAATTTGTATTCCCATTTTAAAATTTAATTATTAACTTAAAGACAGAATAAGTAAATAGCATCATCGATTGGCTAATTCAATGTTGTTTTTTTACTTTGGAGGTTTATAATGCATCAATTAACTTCAATGTAAAGACGGATATTTTGTCGTGATAAATGAACAAAACTAAAACTTCTCCATGAAGCCATTTTCCAAGTATTTCATGCAACTTTAGTCATAAGATGACTTTCTAATCAATCATTATATCTTTAAACGCAATTCTGATGAAATCAATATTTATACTCCTCTGATCCTGCTAGTTTGCAAAGCTACTTTTAAAAGGTCGTATAAACTAGATGCCCTGTTTTTGTTCCTGTTTTGATGGATTTCAGGTGAAAAACAAACCTTTTGGCCAATTCTGGTATTTGTTTAGTATGTTTACTATGTGTTTTGATTTGTTCTGTCTTCTCTAATAAACTAAACACGACTTGTCAATAACCCAATACACGCACAGTACATATTTTTTAACAACAAACCAGACTAATACGTCCACCACAAACATGCAGATCGACTAAATAGAGGTTAAAATGAGTCACACAACACAGTTATTACGCAGAAATGGATCAATTTATTTCACTTTTTATTCTTTGTTTTAGAAACAGCATGTTAAACGAGTAGTCAAAGGGTATATTGGTCATCTCGGGGGAAATAACAGCTTTTCATAAATTAATATAGCAAAGTAACATCTCTCGTACAAGACAAATAAAGTAAACTAACAACTATCCTATACGAATGAAAACACTATTTTAGTTAAAGCAATGAATATTTTTTCACAACTTTGAAATATAACACTGAAAAGGAAAGAACATGGGAGCTTATACAATCAATCAATGCTAAATGTATTGTGTGTTACATACTATTTGATTGTTAAATTTGTTTTATGGTAGTAAATACCAGCAATGTTGGCTTTTTTTTTTTTAACCAATTCACATAAGCAGTGCACATGGTTGAGTTCGATATATTTTGTCTTCTATCTGCCAAACCGTAGGCTTTTAAAATGGCACAAGCTAAATTAGTATATATTAGCTGTGCAGAATCGTTCGTTGTCTTCAGAAACGTTAAAATAAGTAGTGTGTCAGCAATGCTATTCATTTTGAGGACAAACATGGACATGCATAAATGTTTCCAAATATTTTTTTCCGATATATCTAGATATGAACTACCATAAATCGGCCAGTAACTCAGAGAGATTAACTCATGATGGGTCTATTCAAATCAAATAGTGTCTCTAAACTATCATTGTGACATTTCAACATTAGTTCATAAAAGGTGTTGTTCTTAAACATTTCTACATTAATCCTGTGTAAAGGAAAATAATAAAGAATCTCAAACAATCCAGAAACAACAAGGGAAAGCATGTTTCTAATCAACCTAAACACATTTCTAAAAAAGGAATTTTGTAGCTTAACATATTTACGTAGTTTTGCAACCTCCAGAAGAACCCCCGCCCCTCTCCAAAAAAAAAAAAATACACAACCTACAGTGTCTTCACTTCAGTCCTCTCCAGGTTGTATGATCAGATATCCTCCTTGGGCATGTTCAATATAGTGCTGGTGCAAATCAGTTTCTTGACAAAAAGTAGTTCCACATTCAAGGCAAGTAAGGCCATCGGTATCTCCTGAGGAGACAGCACTCTGCCCTTTGTTGTCGCCGACACACTCCTGGTGGTGATCGATGAGGTCCTGTATCTCACTGAAGGTCCTGGGGCAGATGGAGCAGTGATACGAGTCATGGTTACAGTGCTGGGTTTCATGTTTTTGTAACGCAGTCGGTGACAGAAAGGCTTTGCCACAATGTTGGCACTTATGGCTACTTTGTGACGGGCTGTCTGAGTTAGGCATGGAGGACGGAGAGGACGTCCTACTGGTGTCAGCAGAGGGGACGCTGGGTTTTAAAGGCTTTGAGGTCATGGCGGCGCTGAGCCTTAAGCGGACCTCGTTGGGGAGACGACAGCGGACTTCGTCGTGCCAGGCGAGGTGCTGCTGCAGCTGGTTCTCCGTCCAAAAGCCGTGGCAGCACAGGGCGCAGCAATAATGCCGGCTCTTTGCCTTGGTCTTGTGGGCCCCCAGTTGTCCCTCGGTTTGGAAAGCTTTGCCGCACTTATCGCACTTGAAGAGGCATTTGGCCGTGTGCTCCGACAGGCGGCTAAGAGGTTGGAAAAGCTCAGCCGTGCTTTCAGGATTCTGGATCTCCCGTTTAGACTCGTGCTTCATCTCCAGGCACACTTTCTTATGGTCGAGGAGGACGCCTGGAGAGCTGCACTGCTTCCCACAGTCGAGGCATGAGATACATTTCACAAATGGGGAGTCTGATCGGACTTTCTTCTTTCCTCTGCCAACAGGGGCGTTGTTCCCCGGCACTGTAGTGTTGCCTTCCGTCTGTGTAACCTCACCGCTTGAGGTAACGGACTCCGTTTTAATCCTCAAAAGAGCCTTGTTTTTACCTTTCGTCCTCTTCGAGTGGGCCTGCCATTTGTGGGCACGCAGACCTCTTGCTTTAGCAAAGGTCATAGAGCAGAGGGGGCACTGGTGGGCTCTCTGCTTCAACGTCGACGACGTGGGCTCACTCCCATTCGAGCCGACATCCAGCTGTTCTGGGACTTGGTGATCTGCAGCGTTTATATGCTTGTTTACATAATGGGCAGCGAGAAGCGAACCTTGCTCAAAGGTTTGGTTACATTCTGGACATGAAAACTCGCTCTCAACATTTATCTTTGAATCAGTGTGCGGCACAGTTTTGGTTTGACACCGAGGATTAAATATCTGGTGACGTTGGAGAACAAGACGGTTGAAAAACTGTTTGCCACATTTGTGGCACTGGAAAGGTCCGTCTTCTGTCATGTGGCTGACGGATTTCAAATCATCATCTTTTAGCGTGGACAGCGGAAATTTCTTTTCTTTGTGCCATCTTTTGTGGGAGCCGAGAGCCGCGTTGGTCATAAATCGACGGCCACATTCTGAGCAGTGAAATAGTCCGTTGCTCGGCTCTTCCCGTTTAGGTTTCTTAAGCATGGCCAGTTTCCCTTTTGCTACAGATTTGTGACCCTCAGCGTGAACTCTTTTATGGAAATTCAAAGCCCCGACCACTGAAAAGCTTCTGTCGCACTTTTTGCATTTGTATTTCAAATTGGTTATACTTGGGTTGTTTAAGTTACCTTCATGCGTTTGAATTTCCATCTTCAGCTCCCTGCTGTCCATTTCATTCTTCATTTCAGTGTGTACTGCTATTTCCTGTGTGACATTCAAGCTATTTTTGTGCAATGTTGGCACGTCGTTATTTTCTACGGGTTCTGTCTTACAAACTACCCGACGGTCTCTTTTAATGCAAAGCTTTTGATGGGCCCTCAAAGAGGCCTTGTTGTTGAAATGTGCGAGGCACGTAGCACACTGCAGATCCTCCAGCGCGACGGCAGACCTCGGCGATGGCGGCGAGTGCCCGGTCTCGTACCCGTGGCTTTTCATGTGAAACTGAAGCGCTTTGGCCCGTGAGAACAGCTTCCCGCAGTCGGGACAGCTGTACGTGTTCTTCTTCAACTGCTCCACCTGATGCTGGAAAGACTTGATGGGCGGCGGGAGCAACTGGTCGCTGTGCACGACCTGGTGTCTCAGGAGGCTCGAGAAAAGACGAAACGACCTGTCGCAGAGCTCACATTTGTGATCTCCGTTTTCGTGTTTTCGCATGTGCAACGCCATGATGCCCTTGTGACGGAACTTTCTACCGCACACGGGACACGGGACCTTGAAGCGTGGGCGTCTATTAACGGAGTGCAAAGATCCAGCGGCACCTTTGCTGAGCCTCAAATCTGGACACGGAGTCTGACTTTGCTTGTGGTGAGAGTAAGCTCCGAGAGACCAGAAACCCTTCCCACACTGCTCGCAATGATAAATCTTTGGGCCTAGAAGGGTTTTCTTTGGATTGTATTCTTTCTTAATGACAGAAATATTCTCCTTTTTCTGTGCGGAGCAGTTTCTCATATGGTTAAACAAGCTAGCTGCGTGCGAATAAGACATTATGCAATCTGGGCACTGGAATTGTTTTCTTTTGGGGTGATGCAGCTGATGGGAGACTAAAGCAGACAACCGTGTGAAGCGCTTACCGCACTCATTACACGCCAGATTTTTCTTCTCTAATCCCTCTGCCTCATCATCCTCATCACTTGTGTTGTGAGTGTTGTGCTGTTGAATGTGACTGCAGTGTGCCGCGTAGCTATTGGCCTCGTGGCCACATGTGTCGCACGTGTGAACTGCCACCGACTGACCTTGAGTCTGCCGTTTTCTCTTACGAACGCCATGCCACATTCTGTGAACGCGCAGCGATGAAGCGCTAGAAAACCAGCGGTAACACTCCGGACAATCGAATCTCTCCTCCGCCGTTTCGTTCACGGCTTCGCTCGCCATCAGAGCGCACTGCTCGTCAGTTTGCTCAAAGTCAATTTCCACTATTTTCAAATCCATCTCTGCTTTAGAAACAAGACGACTGGTGGAAAACCCAGTGTCGCCGTCGTCTCTTACTTCCTGATCCGATTCACACAGCAGCTCCAGATCAGGATTCAGGTCTTGGACGGGCTCATCCTCCGATTCACTTGCACTGATCACCTGCACATTGAAGTCCCCAGGGTCATAACTGTCCACGTCTTCTTCTTCTTCTTCGGCCATACTGGTAGGAAGCACATTCTCTGATTCAACCGTCTCCTGCTCAGCCTCTTTTCTCACGCTTTCCAAAGTCTCCGGTTGAGGTAGCAGAGAGCTCTGCGTCTGAGCCTCCTTCTCCGTTTCTCTGAAAACATCCGTGTGATGAAGCTGATGGGAGTGAAGCGCCGAGGCCCTGGAGAACTTCAGCCCACAATCTTTACATTCAAACGCCTTCTTCTGCAGCTGACACACTTGATGAAGAAACGACTTGGCCGCGGTCTCGTCGCTGTGCGCCATGCGCTGATGCCTGAAGTAGAACGTTTGAGTCCTAAACACTTTTCCACACTCCTCACACGGGAACCTGTTTGCAGGATCATTTGAGGGATTAGTGTGCCACCGCTGATGGTTGAAGAGGGCAATGTGGCCGCTGAAAGACTTTTTACACTCGCTACAGTAAAACTCACTGCAGCTTTTCTTTGGTTTGTCTTTCCTCTCTTCTAGAGAGCATTGACTGTTGCGGCTAAATCGTTGATGCGTTTTAAGGCGCATCAGAGCGGTAAAAGCTTTACCACACAAACACTTGAAAGTCTTTTCGGGAGTATCGACTGTCTGGTTTTCGCCGGGATTGGCTTCAACACTCGACTCCTCCGTGTGGATTGCATCGCCTGAACTTTTGTTTCGCGATTTAACCAACTTTTCCTCATGACAACGACGGTGTGCATCAAGAGCTGAAGCACGAGAATAATTCCGCCCGCAAGACTCGCACTGGAACGACTTCTTTTTCAAATGTTCGAGGTCATGAAAAACGGATTTTAAGGCTTGTCTGTGTGAGCGCTGATGGTTGAGGAAGTGTCCAAACACACCGTAACATTTCCCACATTCTGGACATTCATAGGTGTGTTGCTTTGTTATCCCGGAATTTATTTGAAGACTAGGCTCCTTTTGAGAGGTTTGACCGTGGTTCTTCTCCATATGCGACAAAAATTCACTCGGTTCAACAAACGATAGTGAACACCGAGTGCAGAAATTATTTGGTTCATTGTCCTTTTCCGCATCGTGTAAACCATCCGATTGGTTGTCTAAATACGTGCTTTCTTGCGGGTGCTGATGCTGATGCTCCAAGTATGCTGCCTCCTCCCTGAAGCCTTCTCCACAAGCACGGCAGCAGAAAACCCCTAAAAATAGAAAGGGGAAAATAGGAGGTCAAAGCCACTCCTGCTGCCAGAGAACGAAAAGACAGAAAAGAAAATAAGAAAAGAAAATCACAAAAACACAGGTGCAAATCATATCTTTATTTTAAAAAGGTGATTAGAGTTTACAATATAATCTGGAAGAGACAATGTTGTTCTGGATATATAACAACATCCATAAAATACTATTACAGAGGGGCTAATAGATACAGCGCTTTAGCCAAATGACGTCTGTGAAGTTAATTACTCGTTATTTGATAGGATTGCATTCTTAAAAAGTCAAATGTTACCAAAGCCTCACATTGGAATACATTGTGCTTCACCAGAGGGCTGTGAAGGAAAAACATTAAGTTTCTTCACTGCAAACCTGATGCTACTTCCACAATCAAATCTCATGGCATACACCAGCCCTACTTACAGAATTATTAAAAAAGGAATAGTGATGGACCGCAGATCTACGTTGAACCTTTAGTCTGGGATCACACCACTGAAGTAGGAGAGGACACAGCAACATTCAACATATTGTGCCACTGCCTTCAAGTGGCATTTGACAGTCACATCTTAGACAGAGAACACAATATGCAGTTAAAGTAGCGAGAACACTGTTGTCTGTTGCCCAACAACAAAAATAGATGCCACAAAACTATTATTGTTATTATTACATTGTTATTGTTCTCTTTTCAAAAACAGGAAATGCATTTTTTTGTTTTTTCATTGCCACAAAAAATTGCATGCAATGAAAAAACGTCCTCCCCCCGGTTTCATTATTGTTTAGAATGCCACTGTGCAACAATCAGAATACTATAGTTTGTTCATTTCTCAAACATCTGTGGGTTGTCCATGTGCACTATTCCCACAGAGTGTTTATAAGACTCAGGGTTAACACAACCCCATTTGGAAGCTTTATGCACAATCAAGACTCAGTGTCGTTATGAGCCCAGCTTAATCTAATCAAAACATCATATGACAGTATTTAGGTAATGTTGGCCGGCCAGGAGTTATACAACCGTGTCTTACAACAAACAGACAAATACTTCAGTTACCACTGTTCATCATTTGAAATAAAAAGGGTCTTTAATAAACACTATGGTGTTTATTGACACCATTTGTACCTTCCATTACCATTCAAAATGTGATCTAAAGGGCATGTTAATTTAGCATACACAGGAACTGCCTGAGTACAGTATAAGCTACATCAACAAGGAATTAAGAGTTTGCTTCTGCCAGTCATTGTAGGTAGCAGCTCATGAAGCTAAACTTACAAATAAAGAGTATTTGAATCAGAAACTCAAGGTGAACATTGTTGGGAAAGCATGAGCAGGATAGGTCAGAGTGAACGTGCATCCTCCTACATGTAGAGCATACCCTCTATGACTGAACTACAGCATGTGTGGAGGTTACGAAATGTATAAGAAAGCCCAATGATGCAGTGCGTTACTGCCAACACGCCTCAAACCCACTACAGGTTTCAGCATCAGCTTGGGCTGTTGCTGGGTTAATTCAATACACAGGACTCTCCATCCATGCACATGAAATAGTCAAAAGGGCCAGGGGTGGATAACTATGCAAGTTACTGCAACGCGTTATGCATTTCCCGAAAAAAAAAGCATTTATTTAGCATTATATTGTCCTGTGCCTGCGGTGAAGTTGGTGTAGGAGGTCACCACGCCTGCTACATACTGCTGGTGTGTTGCTAGTGCTAACGACGTTCACGTTTATCTAAGTGACCACTACTGGATACTTACGATCAGCGGTGTCATCGGCAGACTGAAACACGTTGTTTCCAGATGCTGTGTCTCCATCGTCGGGTTTGTTTGTCGCTCCGTCCTCTTTGATCGCCGAGGCAGCAGCTCCGTCCATCTTGGAGTGTCTCTTGTTTGTATAATGCTAGCTTACTCTAGCTAGTGTTCGTTAGCATCACAGCGCCACGGTTTGCTCGGCCTGAGTTTGTCTTGTAAGCAGTAAACCAGGTGAGAACGGAGGATGAACAACGAGAGTGTCAATCTAGTCCGTTTCCACAGAACAAGACCGCATCGTGTAATGTTTTTAGCAACGCGAGTGATGATGACCACAGCTAGCTGTTACACACACATGATGCAGCGCTGTGTGGTTGCGCGTGCATCCCTTGGCCGGAAGTGGATTCTTCTTCTTCTGTTTGTTTCCTTGAAGAAAGACGATGGCCCTGCAGCGAATCCAGCATGGAGTCCACTCACTAAACAAAGTCTGAATGTGAAATATCTGATTGTCAATTAGGAAATAAACAGACTGAGCTTCTAACGTGCTCCATGCAAAGTTAACAATTAATATTATTACACACATTTTCGTGTCTTTCTTTTGTCGATACTGACCCCACCGAAACATCAAATATATAGTATAGTAAATTATTTATATTAAAAACTTTCTGATGAGGGTCCTTCAGACAGTCCTTTTGGGCACCTTAGGTTGTTATGTAAATAAAATACAGAAAGTAAATTAACTGTTATAGTTACAGAATAGTTTTCCACAAGAGTAAAATACACTTAATTCATTTTATATTTGGTGCTATGAGGATTGTGTAGTCATGTTATGAATAATTAGGATTCGGTATGAGGGATTCCAGTCCCAATTTACCAGATTAATGAAAGTGACGCTGCAGAGCATTTGTGTTCTTCCTCCAGACAAGCTAAATTTCATAGAGAAAATGCCAAATTAATCACAATTTTCCTACATCGATCTTGATTCATACTTTCTGCATTTTTCCTACTTGATAACAGTACTGTCACTCCTCTTTACGTCCATTCTCTTCACAAACCAAATGTAGAAGATAAAACATTTAAAATATAAAAACTTTCCAATCCAGGATTTAATCCTTTTGTTTGTAGTTTCTTTTTGCATGAATGAGTGCTCTATAATACAGATGTTAAAATGTTGAAGCTTAACCCTGAACTTCCCTAACAAGTACTGCTCAACACAATGTTGTAATCAAAGGCAAGTTTTATTCAATCCAATATGTAGACATCATGGGGAAATTTCTATTTCTTTCCATGCTAAAACAGTGGATAGAGGTAGAAGGGCACGTTTTTTTTTTTTTAACTTAAGACGCTGAATGTTAAGACACACAGGGACGGTTCTTTTTTTTGTACAAATGGACCGCGTGTTTATTTTACAGTAGTAATGTAGTAATAGTGATTTTCAGTCAATTATTGGGCCCCCAAAGCTACTCCGATGGCCATTATCATAACAGACGAGATGGGATTCTGTACTAAATCTACAGTTATGAAATGAAATCATTCAGTATTCACAAAAGATACATTGCACTCAAAAGTGTACTTCGCTTTATAAATATGGGTACATTCCAATCTGAAATAGTCATTCTGGAAAGAGATACACATTACATGGTACTCATCGGTTTACAGTAGGTGCTAAGTACTGCCACCCAGAATCTGTTTAAAATCATCAGTTCCTCTCGTCAATTTGATAAATATTACTGACAAATCTTCACATAAATGCAAGTTTAATTTATTCCAAAATTCACTATTATATATTATATATATATATATATATATAACAGTGTTGTCAATCATTTTGTAACGACACTTTCTCCCCGTTATCAATAATCACTGTTCAATTAACAGAGAACTCTTACTGTGAAATGACCTTTACATGTAACAGTCACATTTTGTTTCCACTTACTATCGCTTTGGCGAAATTGACCATGTTGAGAACTTTACTTGTGAAATATTCGGACCCGGCCAATAGCGTTGTGACTACAGGTACTTCCCAACATGTAGTCAGCCGTGGACTGTTATGTTCTGACACCCCCCATCCTCTCCTCCTCAAAAGCAAACACTTAACTTTCTTTAAGGTATCTTAGAAAGAGTTGCTCTGTGTTTTGGGAGTGAGGTCACATGGTTGAGTCTACCTTAAGCACAAACTAGGCCTAGAATACCAAGACAGCAGACATGCAGACTGTACTCATAAAAGGCACACAGTATACTGTACATGAAGAAACACAGTTAAAATGGTTCAGGACATATGAACAGAACTATAAAAGTACTAATATGCAAATCTAAATGCCGTCGGCAATAAATGAAACAGAGCGTAGAACCCCATGAACCAGTTATTTGGATAACTTATATGCATTTAAAAAGAAGGTGAAACTAATGTAATGGCATGTGTATACACCATTTACAACAAGCCCCCTGTGTAGTCTAATTTGGAGCTGAACAACTTCAAATGTGATTTAAGTGTGCAGACTAAATCATTTTTACTTCTTTTTTTTTATCCACTTGTGTCAAACTGCACAAGTAAGGGGCAAATAAATGAGGTTCCACTCAGTAAAAATTATTTAAAAAAAAAACACAACCAAGTCTTGGTGCTAGTGTAGAAATGTCATATTTCTCCTTGTGCATGTTGCAAATAATGCATTTGTAGATCTAGCTCCCGGGGAAGAGAACACCCACATATCATGCACTGGAGAAGCCGTTCTGGTCCGAAAGGCAAACGGGGTCCGAGTTTGTGAGGTTCTGTCCGAGGGGGGAGCTGAGGTAGGGGCAGGGTCTGTGTTACGTGTGGCCTTTCGCTCATCACCGCCTGTGGTGTGAAAAAAATATTTGGGGGCGGGGGTCTTGAAAGTGTGACCGAGTGAAGAGGGTGCGGGCCGGGCAAAGCGAGAGGAGGGAGCGGGGAAAGTGGAGGTGTGAAAAAAGGAGGCGGCCGATTGATGATTATTTGAGCGCCTGTTACCATCGGCTGTTGCTGCAGCTCCTGTCCATTCCCGGGCTTGAGTTGCCCAGCGAGCAGCGTTCGGTTACTTTGGAAGCCCCATACTGGTGTTCCCAACCCGTGGCCAAAACGATGAGGCTCGTATTGAATGGAGATGGGAACCTTCTGTGCCGTGGCGTGACTCTGTACATTGGCCCAGGCGGATGACACCTGCTTTTGCTGCAGCTGAAAATCTTGAGTCCTTACTAATTTCTCAGGGTTTATAGTCTTTGGATTTCCCAGTGGTGTCGGTATGTCCCACAAGGTGCTACCGACCCCGTGAGAAACGGGAGTTGAAATTGACATAGCACCGCTTTGGTCTATTTGAGCTGAGGTGGACACACCCGCTAGGCCTGAAACCCACTGCTTCTGCAGCTCACAGCCGTTCCACGGCTTCTCTGGCTGGCTAACAGTCAACGGCATTACTTGAGGATTGCTAATGTCCCACCCTCCAGCGTCCTCTTTCTTAGGAGGTGTGGATGGCTCCCTTTGTATCGACACTGGGGCAACTGCCCATCTTGGCAGCTGAAGCTCTTGACCAAGCTTATTCAGAGAGCTCTGTGAATTTGCAAGCAGAGACGGTCTGATGCTCCACAAAGCTGCCCCATCTATGTAAGAAGGAATAGAAAAATCGTGAGGCAAACAGCTGGCGGAAGCGAGCACCGTGGACGCGTGTGTGTTGCCCCAAGTAACAGGCTTGTGCTGCCTATGCTGCTCCATCTCACTCACTGTCGACGTGCTGGATTTGTTGTTGGGCACGGCTGTCACGAGGGAGCTGACAATAGCAGCTGCACTCTCTTTCATGTGCAATGACTCTGAGCTCTGAGCAGACGTGGGGCCCGACTGAGTTATCAAAGGGCTATCCGCCCAGCCCGGACCCCTCTGATGGTGCTGCTGCAGGACGGGCTGCGGTGAGCCGTCAAACTGGGTCTGCTGTGGAGCCGCATGCTGCGACGACGGGACGGGCATCACCTCTCCGCCGTCCACCTTCCACTGCACCGGCTGAGGCTGGAGCTCCGACAGCCACGGCTCCTTCGGCTGTCTGCCTTGCACGTCCATGCGAGGCGCGAGCACGGGAGGCTGCACCGCCCTCCTGTGCAACTCGGCGTCTCTCAGTGCAGAAACTGGATATGGAGACTGCTGAGGGCTGACCATCCCAGAACTTCCCAAAGGTCGAGACCAGCCCCACATGAGCCTCCCCCCTCTCCTCCCCCTGCTGCCTCTGCCTCTCATCCTAGCACCCAGCAGGGAAGAATTATACTGGCTGAAACCCTGCCGCTTGCGAGTGTGGATCTTCTGGTGCACGAGCAGGCTGCTGAACCAAGAAAAGCTCTTGTGACACTCGTCGCAGCAATGCGGTCGGTCCCCTGTGTGTGTGTTCATGTGATCCCGGAGCAGGTAGGCCAACCCGAAGCTCTTGTCGCACAGGTCGCACTTATGCGGCTTGTCACCGTTGTGCGACAACATGTGGTGCTGCAGTTGGGTCTCGTCGCTGTAGCCTTTGCGGCAGCTGGTGCAGCGGAACGGTTTCTCCTGATGCAGCTTTTGATGCGTTTTCATGTTCTGCAGGAAGGCAAAGTCCTTCCCGCAGTCGGGACATTTGTACGGCTTCTTGCCTGTGTGGATGATGAGATGTTGCTGCAAGTAGCTACCGAATCTAAAGCCCTTTCCGCACACTTTGCACTGGTACGGCTTGTCCTTGGAATGTATGCGCATATGCAGCTCTAACACTGAGCGGTGGCGGAAGGTTTTTCCGCACTCGGAGCACTTGTACGACTTAGCACTGATGCCATCGCTTCTCCATCTCCCCTGTACATTCTCACTGCTTAACGGAGTGAATTGAATTTTAGGTAGCGTTGCCACCTTTTCTAAATGTTGTGCTACAGACTTGTGGACACTCAACAGGTGCATATTTAAACTAGATTCATCACGATAGACAGACGGGCAGTGGGGACAGGTGTGTCCTTTATCCCAGTCCTTGTTATTGTCCTTTGGGGGTTTGGGTGTCCTCTCCAGCGTCTCATACTCTGCCTCGTGAACAAGCATGTGGGCCCTCAGGTTAGCCGGTAACAAGTAGGTCTGGGGACAAAGGGGGCAGTTGAAAGTGCGTTTCGGCTCATCGCTCTGGTGTGCGTTCTCTTTTCCCGGCCCTCTGACCGCCTCATGTGCCGACGTCGGGGCTGCCTTGCCGGGCTGCTCGGCGGAGGGGTTGTTTTTGCTCAGTCTGTGCTGGCGGCAGTGAGCCTTCATGTTCTGGGCGAAGGCAAACTTTTTACCACATTCGGGGCAGCGGAAGGGCTTCTGGCCGGTGTGCAGGTACTGATGCTGATGGAGGAGGCTGCTGTACTTGAAGGTCTTCCCGCAGATGTTGCACAGGTGAGAGCGCATGTTGTCAGTGTGCTTGCGCCGGTGGTCCTCCATGACGGAGTAGTGTTTGAAAACCAAGCCGCACTCGGGGCATTCGTAGGGTTTCAGGGCGGCGTGACATCGCTGGTGGTAGCGCAGGGCCAAGCTGTTGGGGAACGCTTGACTGCACTCTTGGCATGTAAAGATGCTCTCCTGGGAGTGGAGCATCATGTGCTTCGTGACGGACACCTTAAACTGGAACTCTTGGCGGCACAGCGGGCAGTGGTAAGGCTTGTCTACGACATTGCAGCAGTTGTGGTCCCTCAGCTTGTCCACTGTGGAGAAGACCAGCTCACATTCTGCACATTTAAAGCGACCCTCCGCCTTCGTTTGCATCTCCTTCTTCGGGGTAAGGAGCAGCTCCTCCTTCTCTTTATGTTCATTTCTGTGTTTGATGAGGCTGCTGCGGTGCTGAAAGGTAAGGCCGCATTCTTTACAGGTGAGGGGCATGAGCTCGTCACCTTGCGAGTGAAAGTGCCGGTGGAGGTTGAACGTCTCACGGCGGGTGAACCTCTGGCCGCACTCCTTGCACACCAAACGGCACTTTTTGGGCTTAGCTGTCGAAGTGGTGTCCTCTTGTCTGTCTCCCTGCTCCTCATCCTCCACCACGTCGACTTCTCCCACCGGCCCCGTCTCTGCGCTCCTCTCACCGGGATGCGATGTTTCCTTCTTATCGATCTCCTCCGCGTTAACGATCATTTTATCGTCAACGTGCGTGTCCCGCTGCGTCCCTCCAGCGCTCTCTGTGGCATCACTGGGGTCTGGAAGAGAAACGCACATCACAATAATAACTTAGCGAACAGATATTAAACAGTATGCAAACCCATCCAGGTAACTGCACGCGACGCGCACAGCTTCCCACGTTAGGTATGGATCACAGCCCGAGGGCGGGAAGCTAGCCGACATTGTTATGTTGATAACATTTAGCAGAGTTGACTCCTGTACCGGTAGTGAGCGCTACAGCTCAGGTTAGCCCGGAGGCTAAAGCTAACTGTAAAAAAAAAAACATTAACAACGTTAGCATACCGTACTCATCATTTCCCCCCGTGTGTGTTTTCGCCTCCTGGTCGTCGTCTTCGGTTTCGGACCAGTCGAAAGCCCGTCGGTCGCTGCCACGAGCCTCGGCCATTTTTTCAGCCGTTGTTAAGTCCTCCAGTGAATTGCATGTCGTTTTTTCGGCTCCGGCACCGGACTCGACACTAACCTCAGAATGGCTGGCAACACAAGAGCCGTCGTTACCCACACTCTGCTCATCGGCGGGGCTCCTCGCGGGTTTATTATGTGTTGCCTCGTCTGTCTGATTTAAGCCGCATCCTGACTCCACCGCATCGGTCTTCTCCCCAGATGTTTCCACCTCCTCCGCAGGGGATTTCTGTCGTTTTGGAGACTCCAACGGGTCTACGGCGGCCATGTTTCCCCCATGCACCCCCTTGTCCAGAACACACAAGGATCATGCTAGCCTAGCCCAGCCCGAACAAGGAATGTTTCCGGTCAACTCTTTCAAAATAAAACAACTTTTACTGACAACTACATTTGGTTCACGTCTGAAATTTCTACTGCTGCTCTGGTTTTGTTTCTACACACCAAACGCTCTCTTCACAACATAAGTGAATCTAAAACATAACCATTGCATTCACTTTTTTATGCTATGTGACAAATCCACAAGTGATCGGGTGAATATATTTGCAGTCCACGTCTGACTTTTATTAAAGTTTAGTTACATTTCATCGGAACAGTCGCTATCTACAAAATATAGATTGTGCAAAACTACGTAGATGATGGCCATATGTTGTTTCTTTGCAACTATCTACAAACACATTCATCATACTGCATGCAAGATTCCAATAAATAGCCCCTACATACTTATGTATGCTTTTAAATTTCAGAAATGCATGAATTGAAGTCTGATGCCTACTGTGATGTTTATGTCGGAAGGTTTTACTTTTTTTCATCAAAAACTGTCAAGACTTTAAAATGTAACACGGCTGTCTTAAAACACACTGAACAGAACACAGTCTAACTTTATTGTCCAACCAAAACAGGAGAAGACTTTCTCATGAAATTGTTAAAGCACAAGCATACATTAGCAGGTAAGTACAATAGCTGTATAACTACCATATATGGTAACAACTGCAGATAATGAGTACTTTATGACAATGTAGTTAATTGGGAGAATTGAGACAGTACTGAACTAGTAAGAGCATCATGAGCTTTGCAGTTCGACTGCATGGCATGGACAGTGACATGCATATTAAACATCAGCACCTACAGTATGTTGTTCTCTGGGTATTAAAGGTCCAGGAGTGAAGTTGTCGCTCCACAAGGCAGGAAGTCTTTTAGCATTTGTCTGAGGAACCAAGCTAATGTTAAGGCCACCCTATTATCTTATGCGTCTAATTTCAACTTCCACTTCAGTCCTCTCCGAAGACAAGCTAACGTGTTCTGAAGTAAAACTCCAAATAACGTTTTTGTTTACAGTAATACTGTCGATAAAAATTTCTTGTCACATTTTGAAACACCAAATATGCACGACGTGCACTTTGAGTTTCTAAGTGCTTTCTCCTCAGCGCCGTCTCCTGCGCCTGTGATCGACAGCTCTCCCCCGCCGAGGCCTCTGCACACTTCCATTTGTGTTGGTGGGCGGTTCAGAGGGACAAGTGCCATGTATGTTCGGGGACGATGGTGCAGGAACCACTGCCACAGCTGACTGATTATTCGAATGCTGTGTGACTTGTGGCTGCTGCTGTATTTGTGTTTCGTGCTGTTGTTGTACTACATGTTGCTGATGCTGATTTTGTGTTTGCAGTGGTGCTTCAATCCTCTGATGTTGCTGCTGCTGCTGCAGTGGTTCTGTGTGTTGTAGCTGCTGCAGTGGTTCTGTGTGTTGTAGCTGCTGAGCTGGCTGTAAGTGCTGTTGAGATGTTTGTGATTGGTGTGCTTGTTGTACACGATGTTGCTGTGGTTGTTGCTGGGCCTCAAGCACTCCCAACAGCCTTTGCAAGAGAACATTGTTTTGTTGTAGACTGGATGCTAATGTCTCTTGCGAAGCGACAAGTGTTCTCATGTCCTGCCTGAAACCGTCTCCAAACTCCTGCAGACTCCTTTCTACTCGGTTTCCCAGTTGAATTGCTGCCTCCCCTAACCCTCGTAGCTCATCTTCAAGCCAGGATGTGCGCACAGGGGCTTCAAGAGGACCCTGGTGTGCTCCAAGTGAAGGCTGAGGACTACTGGGCTGGGGGCTGCCATTGAGGAAAGGAGCACTGTAGAGGGGGGAAGGAGGCAGCCATCGTTCTGATGGAGGGTGTGGTCCTATGCCCAGACCCAGTCCTAATCCCAATTTATCTTCCATGCTGTTCTCTCCGGGTTCACACTCAGATTCTCCCATCTCTCTGTCTTGCTCAGGATTGTCCTCATCTTTCTCGAAACCATCTCTCTCTGATCCTTCCACTCCCACACCTGCAAAAAAATATTGGAAGTGAACAGAAGTAGATATTAGTTGCATGTATAGAATCAACAACAACAAAGAAGGTAATTTATTTAATTTACCTGTATCAGAGTCAGGGAAGCATGGGAAACTGGGCTTTGGTCTGGTGCTTTGCTTTTGCCTGGCCTGTGAAAGTCTGGGGCTAGTCTGGGAAGGACGGCCAAGCATTGAGGCTCCTCTGCTGGACGGCAGGTAACAGCTGCGGTGGCGAGCATCCGCTAGCCTGCCTCCGTTGCGTCTCTTCAAATCGTCCCAGCGCTTTTTTACCTCGCGAAGGGTGCGCGGGACTCTGGACACAGCATTGACTCTCTCTAGGATTCCTGCCCAGATGCGCTCTCTCTCCCGCCGCCGGAGCCTCCCCGCGGGACCAAAAAGCTCTCCTTCACACCGAGTGACTTCTGACACCAACACCTCCAGCTCTGCTCCACTGAAACGACTCTTTCTTTTTCCTGCACTGCTAGCAGCCAGCGCAGCTGACATAGCTCTGTCTGTAGAGAGAGAGAGAGAGAGGTGAGAGAACAGCCCAAAAGGGAAATAAAAAACACCAAGTGAAGCTAAATGGCACAGAGCATTAAAAGCTAAAAGCATAATTTATCTCAGTCTTCCTTGATTGATACTGGAGCTAAATGTTTCTTTTGGTAAAACAAAACACTGTAGCTGTTTGCAGATTTGCACAGATAAAATGTGTCAATGCGTATTAAATAAGTATATGTGTACTGTTGCCATTAGGAGACACATGCTCTGCAGCCCAGTTTCCCATAATGGTCTTCATCTCATTCAGGCTTACTTTGTTCAATGGACAAGAGTTCATCCGAGGACATGCCGGGTGCCATGATGTTGGGATGCACCACTACCACGTTGAAGGGGAGTCCCCCAGGTAATCCACTGCTCTGGTCACAGCTACCCTCCGAGTCATCATCCTCCCTGGGGAAGCCGTTTTCTGAGGCTCCCCCTCCAAAGGGTCCCTCCGGAGACTCCACTTTGATGTGCATGGGAGGTGATTGCTCGTACAGCAGCCCCCCTTCCTCGTAGTACTCAGTCATGGGTCAGACCTGATTTACAGCAGAACTGACTGGTGGGCCAATTCTGATACTGGCAGCGGCTGCCCCATTAACACGAGTTCAAGGTGTAACTGAACCTCCTGCTAGAGACATTACAACTCTTCAGTATACTGTATGCGATGATTATGAACCTACTTTGACTACAGCTGCCACCCACACGGATTTATGAGGAAATATGGAGTTACAGCACCCTTAAATACTGATTTTTACCAGTAATATTCAATTGAATCAAGACATTGTTGCTGCTTAGTGAGAGATACTACCATATTGTCTAAGTAGAGCATAAAGTCCATAGACCTTTATGGCTAGCTACAGCCACTTAAATCCATTTCTATCACTTTCATTTATTCTAATATGTTAGTGAAAACATAAATACACGGTGTAAGAACACCTGGAGCAGACTAAGAGCTACATCGAAACGTCCAGTTGTCATACAGTGAGATGCACCTTCAAGGCGGAGAACCGCCTCGAGAGCTGAAATAAAACAACAAAACATAACACTGTTTACAACTGTGTAGCATTTTATAACAGTCTGTCCGTTTTTATTACTGTCGATGACTGCTGTATTCTGTCGCATCGATGCGCATTTTTTTCTGCACCACATCCGCAACGGTTGCGCATTCCGCATACATTAGGCGCTGATCTTCTAACTAGCTGTTAGCTAACAGGCTACCACAGTTTGGGGTAAAGCTGCCTTTTGAACTGCCAACGATAGCTGAGCGGACAGGATCAAAAAAAAAAAGAAAAAAAGCCAACGCATTTGTATGTCTTACCTCATAATAACTGCACATGGGAGACAAAACAAAACCAAAACACAATTGGTGCAGCTGTTAGCTCAGCAGCCGATACACAAACCGAAGACAGTCGCATGCTATTGACGTCACTGAGGGGGTCTGTTCAGGACCAATCAACGTTTGGACATGTTAGCCAATGTATCCGAGTTTGTACACGTCCTATAGTTTCCTCACATTTCTGAGAAGTCTTATCAGTAAATTGAGAGGAAGATACGAGTCATTTTGTCCTGACAAGGAAATAGAGACAGCAATAATGTTTCTACCCCTCAAATCAATTATTAATTGGTCATTATTAAGTCATTGGACAGCAGAGCAGACATTTGTTTAGAGGCAATTCAACATGTAGAATGAATAGACGAATTAATATTTGATTGGCTTTAAATAAATGTATCTGGTAATCAACAATAAACTCAATACAACAAAGAAAAGTCAAATGTCCCCTATAATCAGACTTTCTGACAAGTGTCTAGGAAATTATCAGGAGTTCACTTAAGATTGAAGTAGTAAATCATTTGAGTTAGTGACAATAATAATTACTGACAATGCAATGGCTAGTAGATTTGCATAGTGCAACATGCCTTATAATGACATGTTTTTGTCTAACAGCACTGCATTAATTAAAATTCATACAATTATAATCAAGAGTATAAAAAAACACTATAATATAACCTTGGCCTGTCTTCGTGTTTATATTTTCTATTCAGTAATTAGTGCAATATACTATTACTATTTAATAATACATTCATAAAATAAATGTATCAAGATTGATAGCTGCATATGTATCTGTATCTGTATCGATCCGCTAAAAAATGAAAGACTCATGGAAATCCACATGTTCTCTTGGAACATGCTGCTGTTTCCCAGGTGGGATAATGTTTAATCTTTGTGCAAGGTGCATGGAAAAGTCCTTGAGAGAGAATTAGATAAAGAATGGTCTGCCTGTATATAAACCCATCGCATCTGCTCCTGTTGTGTGTAGATTCTGTCAGTGCATCATGAAGTACTTCATTATTCTGGCCCTGGTTGCTGCAGCCTGTAAGTTCTTCTATTTGTGGTGATACAATCTAAATGTATTTTTCCATGGTTTCCAGGGGCAGTATTAAAGCTTTTAAAAATAACTCACTGTTTGTGTTACAGATGCTGCTCCCATCGAGGATGACAAGATTGTTGGAGGCTACGAGTGCAGAAAGAACTCTTTGCCCTACCAGGTCTCTCTGAGCTCTGGCTACCACTTCTGTGGAGGCTCCCTGATCTCCAGCACCTGGGTGCTGTCTGCTGCTCACTGCTACAAGTCGTAAGCAGAGACGTTTGATTTTGCATACACACATTAGGTTCACAGTCATACTAAAATCATTGTTCGTGGTTTAAAATTGGCGTAATTTTCTTTCAAAATAAAATACAATCTGAGATACTGACTGCCCCAATTACATGTGCAACGTGAAATTACTTACATGTAGTTTAAGCCTCGTGTCTCTCTCTCTCTGCAGCCGCGTGCAGGTGCGTCTTGGTGAGCACAACATCGCTGTCAATGAGGGCACAGAGCAGTTCATCAACTCTGCTAAGGTCATCCGTCACCCCAGCTACAACAGCCGCAACCTGGACAATGACATCATGCTGATCAAGCTGAGCAAGCCCGCCTCCCTGAACAGCTACGTCCGCGCCGTGTCCCTGCCCTCCAGCTGCTCCGGCTCTGGCACCCGCTGCCTGATCTCTGGATGGGGCAACCTCAGCAGCTCTGGAAGTCAGTAACACACTGCAGTCATAGGTGGAAAATAGCTTTAGTACATAGTGGGGTATGCACATTTACATGTATTGTCTATCTTCCTCTCTAGGCAACTACCCTGATCGTCTGATGTGCCTGGATGCCCCCATCCTGAGCGACAGCAGCTGCAGGTCTGCCTACCCTGGACAGACCACCTCCAACATGTTCTGTGCTGGATTCCTCGAAGGAGGCAAGGACTCCTGCCAGGTACGAGCTAAAGTCATCATCGCTGTTTCTTAGTGCAACAGACTTTTGAACACTTCAGCTTACACCTTGTCCTTTCTATCTGCGTCCCATCAGGGTGACTCTGGTGGCCCCTTGGTGTGCAACGGTCAGCTGCAGGGTGTGGTGTCCTGGGGTTATGGCTGCGCCCAGAGGAACAAGCCTGGAGTCTACGCCAAGGTCTGCAACTACAACACCTGGATTCGCAACACCATGGGCTCCAACTAAAGTCACCTCAGTCCTTTGTTAAAAGAAAGAAAACTGCAAATGCCTTCAATAAAAAGAAAGATCAAATACATCTCATCTAATTGATTTCTTGGCAGAGCAAAACATACTGTACTTAAACTTATAAATTTGGACTTTTAAAATATGATGCCACAGCTCCTTTATCGACTGTGACAGAAACAACTCCCAACTCCAGATGTTTAAGACTACAGGTAATAACTGTAAGCTACTGTATTTGCCGCTCATTATGTTGATTCACAAGTTACTTCTCTTATCAAGCAATATTAAAAGGATATTGGTGACACAACCGTCTTAACGTAAAATGTATGATTCAAGGATCTCATGAATGTAGATTAAAAATGACAGACAATCATATATCAATACAAAAATGGCCTTTATTGGTATTAAGACAAACTTAACAAAATCAAGGCTGATGCTGAAGCATGAAACAGTATTTTTCAAAGGCAGTGAGAAAGTGTGGGTGTTCAACGTTGCACTTTGTATTTCAGGTGTGGAGTGTGTATTTGTTAGTGTATTTTCAAGAGAAATGTAACATCACTTATTTCAGCCATTATATTACAAAGTCCACAAAAGAGCAAAGTCTTTGACAAACATGTGCACAAGTCAAGCCGATACTTACTTTGAATGTAAATACAAAATGCTGATGCATGTCCTTGTTGGAGACCAGAACAAAACGAATTTGAAATGAGTACACATCACTTCCTCTGAAACATCATGATTAACAGTTCACTTGCGGAAGACGAGACCTGCATGATTTGAAATGCACACATTTGAAATTAAATTCACATTGGTCATGAAGCCAATGCATGTTTTAAGAGGTGTTTGTAATCTGTAGAACTATACAGCTACACGGCGTGTTATAACATATAGAGGAAACAAGGTCTTTGTCAGGTCTGCAAAACAAAACTTTCACAGCAATAAGGGCGAATAAATTAACTCAGTGTGACGTCTGCCGCTCTGATCAGTGCAGTTATAAAATAAAGATACCAGGAGGAAAAATGAAGGCTCCACATGTTTCAGTGGTTATTACAGTTTTAAACAAACTTATTTTCCATAATAAGCCATTAATAAACAGCACAGTTTCTGTTTCCAAATGCTGATTTTGTTGAAGCTGATATTATCCCAGGGCTGACTCTAGCTGGCTCTAATGCACTGAATGTACAAAATATTTGGAGCATCTTTTTTTGACACGTTCTGCATCTCTAGTTTGTTTTTTTTGATGGACAGAAATGTAATTACAGAAACTAACGACAGGTTCGTGGCTTCTACCTGAGGCTGCTTGATGAACGACATGAAAACAGAAAGTGTCCCTATCATTTTGTACATTCACGTGTGTATATATTCAAAAACGGTCAGGCATGACAGGTCGAATACACGATTGTAAACAAATCTTCCACATATGTTCTGATGCATTTCATTTCCCATAACCTCACCAGGTGTAAACTGACAGTGGTTGCACAGTTCTTATTCCAGGACTACAGGGTCCTCTGTGTTAAACTTGATGAACACAGAAGGGGTAGTAACGTATCTGCATTTAGGTCTTTACAACTGGCCTCTAGCATGCTGCAAATAATGGTGATAAAGGTCGGAGATGACGGGATATGCATCGCCACACACGGCACACTTAACGCCGTCTGCCGACGCCTCATTTGATACGCCGTCATTTCGGCTAACGTGTCTTTTCACAGTTCTCAAAGGATGAATTGGTTTTCCAAGTGCGTTTTCATCTATTCCGTCACGACCGGTTCCTCTATCTTGGACCGAACGTGTGCTGCTGGGACGCTGAGGAGCTTTACACAAATCAAGACCTTTACTTTTGACAAAGGGAATCGTGGGAGCTCGAGGCGACTCTTGCATCGCTAGGTCTGGACATTTGGATAAGGGGCCCAGAGGACAGTTGTAGTTTTCCTCAGGATCTGGATGTAATGCAGCCATGTGGTTATTTGCGGGAGGGAAAAACATTTTCTTGTTGGACTGTGTATGATCGTCTATGGATAAATCGAAATCGGAGACCTTGTGCGTTGAGGAATGGCAAAGCTGGTGACTGAACAGCAGATCTAGAGTATTAAAGCTGCACCTGCACTGCTCGCACTGATAAGGCAGAAACACCTTCTTGGGCCTGACCTGAATCCACTGGAACTCCGGGTGCTCGCTCATGTGTTTTTCATACGAATGCACAAACCGAAACCCTTGCCCGCACTGAGGACAAGTGAAGCGCCCGCGTCTCTGTCGATGGATTCTCTGATGACGCCACAGTTTCTTCCAGTTTTCCAGAGTCTTGCCGCAACAGGAACACGTGTAACTTTGACCCGAGGCGTGGGTGAGCATGTGGGCTCGGAGTCGGCCCATGTGTCTGAACAGTCGCCCGCAGCTCGGACACAAATATTTCTTGGGGTCCGAGCGGTTATCTAGTTTGTTCAACTTTGACACGAGGTGCGAGAGATGGTGAGCCGGTACGACCGTCGACTGGAATGGTTTCTTTAAGTTAGCCAAGCGTTTCTTGGCACTGATCCGTGACGTCATCTTCTGTGTTTCACGGTTTGCACCTGTGAGGGAGGAGGCTGAATTGCGTCCCGGTGAACACCGGAGCGCAGGCACCGTGTACTGTATCAATGACATCGTCTCTTCCTCCTTCATCGCAGAGCTGGAGGCGTTTCTCTCTCCTCTGCACTGACTGCGATGGGCACTAAATTCAGACAGCACACCAAACAGCTTGTCACAATACAAGCAGCGATAAAGCTTGGCGCCGGTGTGGGCTCTCATGTGGCCGTTGAACTCCTGCAGATGGTCAAAAACATTCTTGCAGATGTGGCACGTGTACGTTAGTCCAGGCTTTGCGCGCCTGTTTTCTTGCGAATCGTCACTGCTTGCTGGAGGTCTACAGGAGTGATTTTTTGCGTTGCTATAATGAGTGAATGCTTTCTCGCAGCGTGTGCAGTTGTACCGCTTCACGGACCAGTGTGTGAGCTCGTGGACACGGAGGAAATAGGCCTGACCGAAAGCTTTGCCACATATATCACATTTATAAGGCTTCTCTCCCGTGTGGACACGCACGTGTCTTATGAGTGCCGACTGAAACGGGAACGTTTTACCGCAGTACTGGCACACTTTTTGTTCCCTCTTTTCTTGTGGAACGGGTCTACGAAGCCCCTCGCCGTTTTCGTGGTCTTCCCCTCGGCTGTGTTTCTCAGATTTGTTGTTCTCGGAGTCCTGGTCCAGCATTCGTGCGTGCATCTTCATATGGGAGGAATACTCAGAGCAGGAGAATTTGATCTTGCAAAATGGACATTTTTGATATATGTTGCTCTTTTTGTGCGTCTTGAGATGAAGATTTAAGTTCGAATTTTTGCTGAAACCTTTGTCACATTCGGGGCATTTGAAAGGCCGTTCTCCTGTATGAATGCGTTGGTGTATGATGAACTGAGAGAGAAATTTAAAGGTCTGACTACAGTAACCACATTTTAAAAGAGTTTTCGCCCCCTTTTTTATGTAGCTGACCTTAGAGCCGGCTTCCTTACACTCGTCACCATAGTCTGTATTTTGTTGCGCGTCATCGCTGCTTTTATGAGCCTCTACAAGCTGCTCTCTCTGTAACAAAACACTCCGTATTCTCCTCCTCCTCTTGCCGCCTCTCTTGCGCCTGAAGGCCCTGTTTGGACCCTGAGCTTTAACTGTGGTGTTGGCATTGCACTGTAAAGATTTCGGACTATTTGACTCTGAGATAGGATTTAAATGACCCAGCTCTACCTCCACATTCTCGGCTTTCACAGCAGGTGGGACTCTGACAGCTTTAGCTGGTTGCTCAGAGGATGTTACAAAATCTGTGCTGGAGGACTGTGCATTCGGCGAGTTTTTTGGGGATCCGAGACCGCTTTTTGATTGTGACTCCTCGCTGCCATTCACGTCGGCAGACTGTTTCATGTTCACAGGGTCGTCGCTCTGAGTCGGGTTTACCACCTTTAGACTATTCAAACCCTCTGACGAAATAACTTCAGGCTCAGCTGCTGGCTGGGAACTCAGTTTTCTTTGCGGTGATGTGACTTCCTTTAATTCTGTCTGCTGCTCTTGCCCTTCTTGCTGGTACAGTTGACCGCTTTTTCCATCCGTATCAGTCTCTTGTTTGTCAGTGTTTAGTTCCACCTGCTTATCAGTCTCTGCTCTCTCCCCACAGCCGGTGTCGTTGGTCGGCAGTGACGAGGCCTCCTGGGAAACATCCAGCCGGCACACTTTAGCTGGAACTTGCTGATCAGCCAGTTTAGATCTTCTTCTTTTAACACCTTGAAAGATCGATGAATTACTACTTTCTGTAGGCATCCCCTCAGTTGGTTTGGGGTCTACGTTGCTTGCTGATTCCGGCTTTCCTTTCTGTGTCGAAGCGTGTTGCTCACCTCTACTCCTCAGTCGCCGTGCAGGACCACTAACACTATTAACAGAAGCAGCAGCAGCCCCAACAACCATAGTTTTAAAAGCTGCCATCTCTGATTTTCTGGGTCTGCCTCTTTTTCGTTTTGGCAGCACGGGGACATCTTGTACTTCACCATCAGACACAGTATGAAGAGCAGACATCTCATTATCAGGTGAATTACTGATTAAGGGAACGACTCTTGGCAAAGGTAGTGTTGTGCTTATCTCCTTATGTTGAACTGCATCATAACCAGTCGAACCTGGATCTTTTTTGCCTTTAGTCAACAGCGGTTTGATTTTACGCGGGCGGCCACGTTTCTTGTGGACCTCCACAGGCTGTCCACGGCTGTCTGTAGTAGAGCTGCACACAATTGCGGGCGTCTGAGACTTTGCTTCCATCTTTGCCTGTGAAGATGTGTGCTTGCTGTGTTGACAATTTGTTCCGCCTGCTGTTTCAGAGTTAAGTCGGCCTTCAGACTCCACCTGCCCCGATGAGTGGGATTCAGGTGCAGGTTGAGTCACTTCCGCTGCTTTCATCTCCTCTCCCCACTTAGAGTCCACGTCTTCCTCGCTGCCTCTCTTGTCTTCAGGCATCTGTGAGAAAGAAAGAAAAAAACAAACTGCATTAGTCACAAATGTAGAAAAGGTATAAGTTTTCTAAAATGCTGTAAATATAAAGACGTCCAAAAAAACATGCATCTACACAAGTGTTAAGGCTGTCATAATTAGTTCTGTGGTGTTAACGTCTATATGTATGTAAACCCTGAAACTATCAGGAGTACAGTAGAAGACCACATGCTCATGAATATGCATGGCAAATTAGAAAACTACATATATTAACAAACAAATGTATCTCTCAAAATACAATGAAAGTGTATAATTAAATCTTAATGTATGTTTATTTAGGAACTGTCCTCCCTTCATCTGGATGTCGTAAACATAACAAAATGATTCACTGCACACTTAAATAGTCTAAATGTGATATAATCAAAAACAATATATAAAAAAGAAACAACATAGTCCTTAAAGAGCCCTCAAGTTTAAAAGTGTTTATTACATAAAAATGCATCAATGTTCCAATCGTAGGTTAATCCAGAAAGTGGGCTGTAACCTGTAATAGACAGCATAACGTTTGTCTCTCTCACTAACTACCTGCTTGCAGTCCAAAGGCGCATGAATGGAATTGCGAGGATGCGACGGCGCGGAGGTTAACTCAGAGACTGTATCTTGGTCACTGCTTCCTCTGCTGAAGGACATTTTACTCCCCATGTCAAGAGTCTGTGAATTAAACAGTGACAAGGAGGCTGTAACTCGTAAAAACAGGAATGTGTACACAAATCACGACACAATACCTTTAACAGACTAGCTCTCCTATTATTATTATTATTATTATTACTGCTGGCTTGAATACACTGCATGCATCGGCCATTTGTCGCTATAACTTAGGAGTGGATGGCTGCATTACGAGTGTTCAAAGCTAATACAGCTGATCAACTCCTTCAGGAGAGTTAAGTCGGTTTATGTGACAAACTGACAAATCAGAGATTCAAGCAGCGGCGTCTACAGAAAGAAGCCTGCTGTAAGCAATCACCGGGCAGATTTATTCTGGATTAGTATGCGTTGCTTTGCCAGACTTCAGTTTCCCCACGAATAAAAACAACAGAAATTGTTAGTTACTGCCAAATGAGACATCTGTCCAGAGAGATAGCCACGTAGCAGATTGGTGACTCATTCTACGGGGAACTGTGGCGTTGGGAAAGTCTTTCCTATCCGACATAACCGGTGGTAGAAAAAACATTTACTCAAGAACTAAACTTAAATACAATACTGAGGTGGTTGGTACTTTATTTTGAGTAATACCACTTCAGGGTTATCAAACACTTCACTACATTTCAGAGAGGAATATTGTACTTGCCTCCATTACTTTTACATGAGTTACTGTTACACATTTTTATAAATGATGACGTATCAATACAGAATAATCTGCCCAGATATTTATTCATTAACTATATGCTATATTAAAAATGTTAAGGCATCGGAAATAACAATCCAATAATATAATGGAACAACAATGACAATATATTAAAGTAAAACAGCAAAACAATGAATCCTTTAACATTATCTATATACTTCTGTACTTTAACTTCAGTAATAATCTTCATGCAGGAGTTTAGCTCGTCGTGGAAATGTTTCACATTGTAATATTGCTTCTTTTACTCAAGTGAAATATGTAAACACGTTCTCTTTCTCCATTATAACACACCACAAAAGTTACATAGACTTAAGCTGGTGCACCACTTGACTGAATGAATGCAGTACACCGGTGTGTCTAGATAGAGAGTGGCTGCTGATGTCTGCAGTCTCATCTCGTGGAGTCTTTCTGATGCACTGAGCAAATGGCTGTTGATTGCCAACACTCACTGAGATGTAAACGTGCCCCCAACGGATCACTTAACGTGTATTTCAATCACATATGATTGAACAGACAGCATAATTAATTACTAATTATTATACAAAGCTACTAAGAGCATGCATGTAGGCGTTATCTGTTGGGAGGCCACATTGCTAGCTCCATTTAATTAACGTCACAGGCCACACGAACCTCACCGTTAACTACGATGTCAGCTCATAATACCTTCTTTATAGCTAACATATGTATATGTGGGATACCTCTCAACAGCGGTCACCAGATGCGACGGTTGGTAACGTTAGTAAACACAAAGTGCTTGCCTGAGTGGGAGAGTCAAGGTTGGTCTCTGCGTAGCCATTCACTGGCCGCTGATCAATTAGCTAGCATTGGCTAGCTCAAAGCTAACGTCTGCGCTGTCGTTTGCGTGGCTGTTAGGCACTTCTTTCTTTTGACAATCGTGCACTTGTCTGGGAGCTGATCTGTTAATTTGGACCTTGGCTTTCTCTTCTTTTTTCAGAGCAGTTTGCAGCAGTGAGCCACTCGAGATCCGAGCACAAAGCAACCCGAACGTGTCAAATCACGGAGTGGATGCTTCAGGTGGCGTGGGACATTTGGGAATTATGATTTGTTCTGTAGAAGGAAGGAGCAATACACAACGTGAAAATGTGATATGTGAGATATAACGTTTGAGGACAGGAAGCATGAAAGTAAAAAAAAAATAAAAATGGATTCACATCGCAATCATTAATTCGGCTAGTAGACAAACTACCACCTGTCACATCTCAAAGTTCGAACATCAACCACCCAAATGTGTTTATGCGCCGTTGTTTTCTGCCACACACACACACACACACACACGGTTTCTAGATTACAGGCACACAAACAGCACACGAACGCCGCATCCACGTTTTGGATATTTACCTCATCATAAATGGACTCACAGCGCCTTGTTGTTACTTTGAAATGGCCCCATGGATGTATTGAGTGTGGCCCCCTCTGCTGGAGATTAGGGCCGCAAGACAGACAACAAGCATGCGATAGACCACTACATCACTGAGGAAAAGGAGCTTCCGGTATCAGAAGCTGAGACTAGAGAAGAAATAGAAAAATAAAAAAGAGGGGGCGAATATATATTTCTTATTTTTAGGATTCTATATTATCACTTACCTTACTGACACGTGTCATATTCTTACTGACACTGTACTAAAAGTATTACATATCAAACTGCCAAAATAAGTACTTGCACTGCAGGCGAGGTCAGATTTATGCACTCAGTCCATTCACCATGAGAATAACCTTGTTGATAACATCACATGCTACTTTATCCCATAAACACACACTGAAATTAAAAATATAGTTTAATAAAACATAATGTACTGCATTCGTGAAGTCTGACAAAGCTGGTAAAAACACAAGGTATTTTGGTCAATTCCGCACAGCCTCACATCACATTTCTGAGCATACTAAAAACATATAAAAAAAAATAAAAAAAACAGTACCTGGTTATCCCACCAAACATGGGTAAATCAAGCACATAGGTTTTGATGATTAACTTTATGGATTTACATTATCTATAACAATTTCATGGGGACCATTATTGGACCGTTTACAGTATTGACAAAAGAAATCCAGCTTAATTAAGATGCATGTTTGTTGTCACTAGTAATCCTACACTACTTTATCTTCAAAAGCCAGAAAGCATTTTGTTCCTGTACAGTGACGCTAAACAAGTAGATGCTCTTCAAACAGGACTGCCTTTATGCTCTTGGTCCATCATGAACATAAAATGTGACATGCAAATTGGATTTTGCCTCTCTAGTTGTGTCAAGTCTTAATAGGGACCGAGGAGGTTACTTGGTATATCATCTCAGCAGATTTGTCTGGTCCGCTTTCCACTATGTAACAATCATCGTCCATATTCACTCCTGTTTTCCCGTTCAGAGGAACCGCCCCTTGCCCTTTGTCCAGACCGACAGCCAGGACTTGGTTTTTCTTGATGTTACCAGAAACTGGAACCCCGAGTTTTCTCTCCCCATTCATCTGCGCCGCATTGGGACTTGTCACCGGCATCACCCTCTTTAGTCTGTAATGTTTGCCAGCTCGCACGTGCTTTGCCATAAACTCATGGGCTTTGGCACATTTGTGCCTCTGTAGCAGCTGCGCAGTTTCAAAAGGAAGATGACAGACTCGACACGGGAACCCATTTAATGCAGAGGACGTCTGCATTAGTTTGCTTGGTACACCCGATGCAGATTGTGTGGGCCTCTTCAGCTGCACAGAGGGAGGGGCAGCGAGCCCTTGGCTACTTCTATTGAATGCACTGGGACTCTGACTCATCGACGGAAGGGGGGCAGTGATATAAGGCCTGGGTTTCTGCTTGCTTTTATTGTATGTACCGATTTTCTTATTTTCCAACTGCAGGGTGGAAGTCATAAGAGGCGATCGACTGCCTTTACCGGCGGTGCTGGGACTCTGGCCTTTCGACTGTAGATAGGAAGTGGCCCAAGGCCCATGAGCACTCAGACTCCTGTTTGTACTGGCTACAGATGCCGTCTTCAAATCCAGCGGTCTCGCGGTGATGATTCTGAATTTGGTAGTGGGGGTGTTGGGTGCTTTACAAACATGGAAGCGAGGCACTAACTTCTTGCTGGAGAGCAGCAGCCCACATCCTATACAGCCAGCAACTTTATCTGTGACATGAGAGCTGTGGTGGGAGATGAGGGAAGCCCGTGTTACAAAACACTGCCCGCATTTAGCGCATATGTAAGGCTGTGTCTTGTTAAATTTGCGCATTGTTTGCAGCAACACAATAGGCTGGTAAAGTGTCCAAAGATCCACTGTAGGTGCACCTACACCTGCAAAAATGTTCTGCATATCTTTTTCATGGGGATTTGGGGGCAAAGACGCTTGTGACACAGAGTGCTGCAATTGAGGCACTTGTGAGATCTGCGTAGACTGCGTGGGAACTTGTGGCATAGCAGCTGATGTAAAGGACAACTTGGGCTTCACCGGCACCTTCCAGACCACCTCACCGGTCTGCAGTCGCTTCAGCTGCTGCTCCTCCAGTATGCGCTTCTCAATTCTGCGCTTCTTTATTGTTCCGTGATCAAGCACTTGGTGACCCGGTTCATGTGTAGCGCTGTGGTCCACCATGTCTCTGTATTCAACAAACTCGGTTCCACAGGAGCAGATGTGACTCGCAGCAGAACAAAAGTGTTCCTCGAGGCATTTCCGATTTGCAAATATCTGCTCACAGCTGAAGCAAAACCGTCCGGCGTCCATCAAGTCTCTGCCCAAGCCGTCCTCCAGGACACTTCCTCTCGCCATCATCAGGCTAAGTCTGTTCACCGTTTGAATGGAGCCCTCTGGAGCAGCTTTGCTGTCGGATATAAACAAAAATATATTTCAAAAAAACATGGAAAAATATGTGATTCAGTTGTGACGTTACCTCATCGTTTAATGGTGACTGATACTATCTGAATAAGGAGCTAGCTATGCTAACCGCTACACACAACGGCATGCTAAGCTAAGGAGAGATGACTGGAACTTTCAACATCACTTACAGTTTCCTCCGAACATTTGCTCGACTCTAAAAGAGAGTTGAAACTTAGGAGACGAACAAATAAAAGTCTTAAACTCATTAACGTTAACCAGATTATTTCTATATCATACACCCATAGGTTGTGAAATACATACCGTAGAGTCATCCATCCAATTACTAGGGTGGCATATTTACTGTACTATTATTCCATACTGCTTAATATCTGGAAAAAATACGTTAGCTAGACACGTTTTACAATTTATACCGTAATTTAGTTTAACGCGCCCTTGCCTCGCTTAAAACCTAGCATGCTAACGTTAGCCTCAACTAGCTCACGAACAATAACGTTAGCTTACCTTCACATAAATGTCGAAGTGTCGGCGTGTTAATATTATGGTTTGTCCTTGCAACAAAACCGCACAAAGCTTGTCGATTGTCGTTTCGTGGGACACTCACATTCGGGCTAAACTTACCGGTATTTAGACCGAGTAGGTGGCAGTTAGCCCACTAGCCACACAAAAAAACAAGTGGAAAGAGCCCACTCTTCTTCTACGGATGGCGCGCTTCTACAGCAACACGTCCGGGTTCTGCATCGTTACATTGACACCTGTCGACCGGAGGTGCTGATTCACCTCTGATGTTATTAGTGCAGTAGTTCTGCTGGGTGATTTTAGTCTGCGTTACACAAAGCAATATAAATAATATTACTATGAGGCTGGCAGGTCATTCCTGACGTTGGACACAGCCCTAGACAATACGGTCAGATTTCCCTACCAGTGTAGTTTTTCTACAGTCCGCTTAGTTTTGTTTTCCCCCAGTGAAAATAAGCAGTGACTATCACAGTTTTCATTTTTAGAGTACTTATTTTATGTATCCCATTTCAGAGGCATTGAGAGAGCTGTAGATGGATTACATAAACGCGTTGAATATAAATTAGGATCAAATTAAAGTTAACAGAATTTAGATTATATAAACCTTGTGTGCAAGCATTTGTGATCCCATCCCCAAGGAGGGAAAACTCATTTTCCTACCTTTTGTTTGGATTTTCCTTTAAATTATATTGATAAAAACAATTATCAGGCTTCTGCTGAAGTGGGAGATGGTAATTCAGTTCAATCAACACTTGTGAGAAGACAAAAAATATGGTTTTATTACTCGAGTACTATTGTAAGAGTAGTTTGTTTAAAAACCTTACATTTAATTAAACATATGGCCAGATTAACCTGCTAGCTGTGATAAAGCCCACTGGAATACTGATGAGCAACAGATATGCTGTGTGGTTTGATTAAAGTACATTATGTCAAATGAATCAAACTAAAATTTGACAAAGATGGTCCTCAAAACTGTCGGAAGATCCAGAAATAAAGTATGAGACACCTTAAGGTACACCCTGTACCATGTCAGCTGATGCTATGCTTTAATTGTGTTGTACAGACTTGTGAATATTCAAAGTCAAAGTAAACCTGGAGCTTTTAGGGGCCCTTGGGATGTTGGTCATTCAGCCGGGACAGAGACACTATACGCCATTTATTTGTTTGCATACATAATGTAAAGGCATATGTATCAAATTAACTTTAAAATGCAAACCATTAATTTATGAAGAAGTATTTCTACATTAAATCCTTCTAGAAGATACTGCACATTAAAATCATGTGAACATAACAAATGACTTGTTCAATAATTTACATCGGGTCTCCCCAATGGGTCATCTAAGAAAAACTAGTCTACAATTTTTTTTTAGGTTTAAAATTGTAATAAAGATCAAAAGATGTTATTGTATAGTTTTCAGATTTCACCATGGATCTTTGCATGCTGCAACTAGCAAAACATACTCCCACACCCTTTTGTCTTGGACTTGTATTAAAACTAGTACTTTATAAAGTATACCACGTTCTTTTGAAAATGTCTGTCTAACAAAAACTATCTGTATAATTTTGATGAGTAAAGGCCAGCACATAAAGAAATGTCTATATGTGTGTAGTTCCAAATAAATCTGTAACATTACTTTGCGCAAAAAAAAAAAAAAAAAAAAGCCAGCACATAAAACAAGGATGGCTGCAACAAGAGTTATTTACTGGCTTGCATTTGAGATATTCGGTCCCATACCACACAAAACGAAAACATGTTTTACAACTGGTATGTTTATTAACACCAGGAACAACAATCAGCTACATCACAAACTCTGAGAGAAAAGTTTGATTACCAAATGTTAAGAAACATTTACAGGCTAATGAAGCTATTTAATAGAAAGAGATTAACTTGACAAAACTAAAAATGTACTGTACACCACGGTTCTTCCCCCACCCCCATTTTTTTCTTTAAGTGACAAACTACAATTACACACTTCATAATAAATCAAAAATACACTCATCTGGTGGCTGTACAGTGTCACAAAAAAATTAACCTAAGTAAACTACAATTGGCACATATGGAAAGAACGAGCCCTAATAAAAAGGGATCTGTTCTTATGTGCACCGCTCCCATGTTCGCGGTCATTACAAAGTCAGCTGTTCTTGTGTTTGGGGCTTCGTGTCTCCAGCCATGATGCGATGAATCCTCCTGCGGTGGTTTTTGAGTGATTTCAGGTTTGGGTAAGTACCCTGACAGACATCACAGCGATACGATTCAGACTGTTTGTGAGTAAGCAGGTGTTTCTGTAATCCGTCCACGGTGCCGAACCAGCGAAGACAAATGGGGCAACGCACGGGCTTGATGGCGGGCTTGCAAGCCCCACTCCTCTGGTGAAACATGAGACTGATGGAGTTTGGGAAGTCAGAGTTGCAGTGGGAACAGTGGTACGCTTTGGGTGGGTTTGTGGGATTTGTGGCCCGCACACCTTTGCACCGATTCCAGGATAAGTGCCTTCGCAGGGAACAGCGAGTGGCGAAAGTGTTGCCGCATCGTGTGCACACAATCCGCTGCTGCTTCTTGGTTGGATTTGAAGCCTGCTCTGTGCGCGGTTGCTTCTGCGGAGGCTGACGCACTGACCGAGATGGCTGCTGCTGCTGCTTAGGCCGCTGCTGCTGAAATCTAAGTAGCAGAGGTTGTGATCGTTGTGGTTGAAGTCCCTTCAGCAGCTGGTGATGAGGGTGCATGTGGATCTGCAGATGAACTTCATAGTCCGCCCAGGAATTAACAGTCTCTCCACAAGTTGGACACGTGTAGGATTCCTGCGCGTGCTTCTGCAGGTGCTCCAGGAGAAGCCTCGGGGATGTAAATCCGACCCCACACTCGCACGTCACCCTCCGTGGAAGCACGGAGGGCAGTGACATGATGCCCCAGTTGCCTCCGTCGTCGTCCTCCTTGGTCTGACAGTCCGTTGCAACGGCCGACACGGTCTGCTGCACGGGCCGTCTGTCCGCCTGTGCAGCATCTTCCATTGTTCGTTGCAACTGACATCTCTTTCTGTGCACCATCATGTTATCTTTGCGGTTAAAGGTCTTACCGCAGACAAAACAAGCAAACATTGGTTTCATATTGTTGCCGGTTAGCAGAGTGGCACCCTGACCGCCACTCTGACCGCCGCTCTGTGCGACGGGTCCACGTGGCCTAAACCCGCACAGCCGTAGATGGCGCCTCAGAGTAGATGGGCGACTGTAGGTTTTCTGACATTTGTTACAAGGGTAACGTTTCACACCGTCTCGGATGAAATAGCGCAGGCTAGAGGTCTCTGCAGACTTCTTCACCGGTGGGTCGTTGCCAGCTTTCTTTGTAAAGCCAAGCACCTCCATTTCATCGTCCAAGGGTATCGTCCACTCTCCTTCATCACTGTCTTGATCATCATCTTCTGCTGCATCCCAGCTGCTGTTTTCTTGTCCTTGCTGGAGCGAGATCCCACACAGAGAGGCCTCTTTTTTCTCCTCGTTCATGGAAGAGTTGGAGCAGAAAGGTGAGAAGCTATTTGCTGGATGAGTCCAGGCCGACTGTGAAACTGCAGACTGCGCGGAATTTGGAGAGTTGGCCTCTACCTTGATACGATCGGTAACCTCAGTGCCCACGGCAACACTCTTGTTGAGTTGAGATCCAGCATCCGTTTTGGCTTCACTGTTTGATCTCAATACTGGCATTTGAATGGAGGGAGTGGCCTGCGGAGAAGGGACCGACCCTGGGCCCTGACACTTGTGCATTTTGAGGTTCCACCTGCGTGCATAGCTGTGCTTGCACGATGGACAATAGAAGACTTTTTTTGAATTGTTTAGACTGTGGAATGGCACTATTTTTTGGGGAAAAGGGGACTTTTTTTTTAAAGAGCTTGACAGCTGTATGGTTGCGTTTCCTAACTGAGGGCATACGTGATTGTCAGGTAGAGGCAGCCGCCCAATGATGAGCTGTTTGCAGCGACGACAACATTTAATTCTCTCTTTTTTGTGCAAGAAATGATGCTCTGTCAGTTTGTCCAAGTCTTGAAACACCCTCCGACAGCGGCCACATTGATATCTCCCATAAGGGCCGTTACTGCCAGGAGCCAGGAGCTTCTGACGGGTTTCAAGAAGCACAACAGGTGATAAAGTCTTTGTCAGAGAGACGACCCTTTTCTTACTGACCTCAAGAATCCTGCTGATGGATGGAGCTTTTGTCTTTATACCAGGTTTTGTGAGCAGCCGCCTCAGCTGTTCAATCGAGAGATCGTTTATCGGGGACACCTCAGGTTTTGCAACTGGCGTAATATCAACAGGGACAACTTCTTGTTTGGGGGTAACTGTGTTATTGTTCTGAGTCGGTGACAGAGGGGGTTGAAATCGCTTCATGTATGCTGATGCAAGCAACTTCATTAGGGAGTTATTTCTGGGCAAACTGTCGTGCTTTTCGCTGCTGGGAACAGAATTTGTTTTGTCTTGCAAACAAATGTCCTCCACAGTCTCTGGTATTTGCTCTGCTGTGGCCGACATGGTCTCAAGCGGTTTCTCCCTCTGATCTTGATGGGGTGTACACTGGCCTTGAGGAGCGGTTACTATGGAAATGCCATCCTCCAGGCTTACATCTGCTTTATGGTCCGTTAATGTGGGTAGTTTGACAGCTGGAAACCTTGAGGTAGAGGGGCAACTCAGAACCAAACCCGGCTGAGTCACAGTTGGAATGAACAGTACATGCGGGGAAGGAAAGACTTTCTCACACCCCGTTCCACTAGAGAGAACACTGTTACTATCCAGAGGTGGCAGAAGCTGTGGCTGAGCGACATGTGATCGCTTGTGCTGCAGCATAAGACTGAAGTCTTGAAACTCCTCTCCACAATCACAAATAAAAAAAGAAGGAGAGTGGCTCTCGGGCAAGAGTGCCGGTGGATTGGGGAGCTCAGTAGACGAGTCCATACTTGCAAACAGTGTTTGACGTGGGCTGATGTTGGGCTGTGAAGGGGCAGGGACCTTGGAGAGTGCACCGGCATGGGTCGCCTGATGTACAAGCAAGGAGGCCAATCCAGTGAAGGTGGCAGAACACGCCACACAACGGTACACTTTGGGGGTCGAAGTACTTCCCTGTAACCCGAGCATCATGGCAGCCAAAACGTATCAGGCAATCCAGGTGTTGTGGTCTGTAAATCACACACAACATACACAAAAACAATGTCATCAAGTGAAAATGGACACACAATCACAATTTGCTAAAATATGTTTTTTAACCTTCTACTAGGATACCTGTATACAAAACAACATATTTTCACATTCGTTTCACAGTTAAACACGGTTTAGACGTGGTGACATCGATGGAAAACAAGCATGACAAAACTATTGTAATATTATTTCATATTTTGTGTTTTTTAAACAAACGTGTCAATTTGCATTGCACTATATGACGAGCAATATAGTTTGTGTAATGAGATATTACAATTTAACATTCCTACAAAACATTTTGAGGCGGGGTTTTAGCAAAAGGGTCCAGCCGGAACAATGCCTGGTCAGATTGAAAGAGCCCTATATTGTAGGCCTGCAAAGATGAACACACCATGCTTAGCCAGTGCTGCCTTGGCCTGCATTTTCATCCAACTCAACAGAGCAACTGAGAGCTGACCTGGATTGCAACAAGAGACACTCCCCCTGCCTGCCCATGGTCAGCAAATCCATCAGGTCTTTCTGCAGAAATGGGATCACATCCCTGCAGATTTAGGCCTCATTTCCACTGGCCTCCAGGTGTATTTCCACACCTGCAGGGAACAACCATGCAGTCATGCATACAGTGATCTTGGCTCTGAGTCTAACCGTGGCAGTCTTAACATAGCCGTGTTGCTGATCAAAAATAATTTGTAGGACAAGTATGCCCATGTAATGCATTCATATTTTTTTAATTTTGAGGAAATAATATCCTGTTTTCTCATCTGTAATCACCCCCAAAATATACACATTAAGTAATATAAAAAGCTCAAATAATGTAAAACGTATTACTACAGACTAATTATTAGAACCAGAATATCCTGTAGAACAGGAAGGACTACATTTTTTACTGCCTAGTGTTCTTTGACTGCTCTGCATGCAAATTACAAGACATGAATCGGAATTGATTATTCTTAAAGTTTTGCTCCTCCTGAAAGACGTTTAGGCATGTTCAGACCTCTCTCTTTACAGATTAGAATATATTGTTGCTTGATTAGGAAAAATACACACACACAAAACAAGAGCACAGCATGAACTTAAACCCGTAGATCTAAATATGAAGATGACATTACCGGGGAGGAGAGCCTCAAACGCGGCTTGAATTATGTGACTAAGCTGAAGCACAGACGAACATAAGGTGGAACTGAACACTCAAAGAACCGCTGCCAAGAAGAAACACGCCAGTTACCTCCAGAATATTGGGGATCTCAAGCCAAGTGTACGTTAGCCTGCTAATGACCACAATGCTAACGAGTATAGGGACGTTGTTTTACCAACAACACACTCTACCATCACATAGTATCGTTTTTACAAGATCTAATATTACGCCAATTAGCTTCTCACACGAGCACTATTCATCTGCTACCGTTTGCTAGCTTGGCATCTGACCCTCTAGCGTACACAACCACCAAGGTCTTGTTGAACATCTTAGAGGGGGTTACTAGTGATAGCTAACCAGGGGGAAGGCCAGAGAAAGGGATAACTAACGCTTACAAGCTAACGTTAGCTACCATGTCATATGGAGCAGCTTTTCCTGCACAATGACCAACCGTTCATTATCTTCACGTAGCCTACTCACCAGCCTCAGGAGCATACGGAGCATTGGGGTTTTTCCTCAAAGTGACTGCGCGGGAGGAGACGAAATGGCCCCGCAGACATCTGTACCCGGCTCTGCTCGCTTCTGTGGTTAACAAATGTGATGCTGTGCCAAGAGGAGGCATCGAGTCGAGAGCTGCAGCTGCGGAAGAGAGCGTCTCGTGGGGTTTATAAAGCGCATGCGCACTTCACTCAAGCGCCGTTTGGAAAAGCGCTGGGCGGCGCGGTGCGCATGGATGGAGGCGGTGCGCCATGGCTGCGCCCATCCAGGGCTGCGCCGCGGTGCGCTGCGGCCACAGTTGCAATTGCGGGCTCCTTCCTGAAGCCCTAAAGGCAAACTTCTCTCACATGCAACTGGAATAATGCACAATGTATACCGAGCATACTACACATTCAGAAAACTTTTTTTTGTTGCATTATCACAAATTTACCCAGATGTCTAACATAAAACCTTTTTTTTCCCAGGGCGGCGCTGAAGCATACCTTAGTCAATTACCAATATTTGATGTAATATCGTCTTTGAGACACATATTCAGGCACAAATGAAGATAATGAATATAAATCCAATCTCAGAACCCATCCACTATCAGCCTGACTTTCCGAAAGATATGGTCTCTAACATGAGAGACAAAATCCTGGACATCGTGGCTGACCACCCCACGGTGAAAAACATCATTGTGCATACAGGAAGCTGTGATATTGTGAAACAACAGTCTGAAGTTCTGAAGCAAGACTTTATTGATCTGTTAAACACAGTCAGCTCTGTCAAGGCTGAGGTGTTTATCAGTGGCCCTCTTCCACCAGTCAGAGGAGATGAAGGATTCAGCAGGCTGTTTGCACTGAACAAACGGCTGTCAACTGCATGTACTGACCATTCAGTACATTTTCTCAACAATTTCTACCTTTTCTGGGAGCGCATACATCTTTTTAAGGCACATGGAGTTTGCCTGAACAAGTCAGGGGTAAAACTGTTTACCTCTAACCTATTTTCTTCCTGCGTCATCCGTCTGTTCCCACTGCCAAGGACACGAGACGAGAGGAGTCTAAACAAGAGATAAAGAGCCAAGAGGAGGGGTCTCCAACCTCATCATCAGGGACCGCCTCTGATCTCCCACTTTCTCCACCCTTCCGAGAGGAGGAGTCTTTACCTCCCTCACCAGCACCTACTTGCACCCCCCAGACTCCATCCAGGTCCCCCTCCTTTCTACTCATACTCTCCCCATCCTCCCCCCACCTGGAGTTCACTGACCACATGAAAGAGCTGGTCATTGCTGGAACCAAACCCACTCCTCGCCACACTCCTCGACGTACAGCCCCACCCCCCGCCACTGGCTCAAAGTCCTCAGCCAGTTTTGACACAATCGGCGAAGTTAATTAAAGTGCCCTGCCCGTCCCCCACCTCCACTACGGCTCCACAACCATCCTGTCTCCCCTACCTGATTAAGGCAATCATTGATATCTTCTGGGTCCAAGCTACAAGGAAAAATGTGTCCATGCATTTATCTTCAGTAGACTCGACTAGCTACTGTAACGGTGTGTTTACAGGTCTCTGTAAAAAGTCAATCAGAAAGCTGCAGCTGATTCAGAACGCTGCAGCTCGAGTCCTCACTAAGATCAAGATTGAAGACTTTTCTGTTTGCTGCTGCTTTTAATTGAACCAGATTCAAGGATATTAATCAATTTCCTGCATTTCTGCATTTTAATGCTGTATTTTATTTCTTACACTGGTTTTTAAAGTTTCAATCAATGTTCTTAATTGTTTTTAAATCTCCTTTTCTTTTGCCTTATGTTTTGATGTTTTTAATGTTTTTATGTGAAGCACTTTTAATTGCCTTGTTAAAATGTGCTATACAAATAAACTTGCCTTGCCTTGACGATGGATAAGATTGGAAAACATGTACGGCTGGATTGTTTATCAAGCAACCAGTTTACAAGCTAATTTAAACAACAGGTTCCGAGATTGTACTTCAGCCAATGAGATCCGCCTACTTTGCTCTGTTTACCTGCAATTTAATCAAAGACTGCTCATATGTGATTGGTAAATATACTATGATGAAAAAATCATGTGATTGGTAAATATACTATGATGACAAAATCATGTGCCGTTACCAACAGATTTACATGTGAACGCAGAATCTGTTTACAGATGTAGATGTGCAACAAATGTAACAATTTCTAAATCAAAAAATGTATTCTCATGTGAACTACTATGTTTTAATAATATAGTATACAATACATTATATTATATACTTTGTATTTCCTTTTATATTGCCTATCTTTTATATTACTCTATTTAATTATATTTGTTATCTGTTAATCACATTTCATATATGGATGTTCCTTTTTGTTTCTATTTATGTAAAGTACACCAAATTGCCGCTGTGTATGAAATGTGCTAGAATTAAACGTCCTATTGCTTAATATAGATTAGTACAAATCTCAAAACACAAATAGCCCCAGACTACTGTTCATTTTGACCTGTCCATTAGGCTAGCATTACATCCTAACACTTATAAGGATATGATGGCCTGATTAACCAACTTGGGGAGCCCAGAGCAAAAAACATCTGTAGGCCCTCGGGGTTTCCCTGTGAAATAGGTGTGTCACCTCCAGGCTCCTATAATTTCATTTCATAATATGCTTTAGTGGTGCACACAGTGACAAAACAAATTTAAATTACCACAGACCAACTGCCAACCGGGAGCCTCCGAGCCCCTTTGGGGTCTGGGGCATTGGGCCACTTGTCCAATTGATTCAGACTTGACAACCTTAGCCAATCTCAAGCAATTCAATTCAATCCCTTCACCAGCACAAGTAATGGCCAGAAAGCTTTGTCCGCTAGAATGGCCAGGCCTTTGTCGTGGTATCCCGTGGGAAATAAGGACATTGGTCTGCTTCACCAACCTGAGGGACAGTAGGTCCACATACATCCGGTAACCACATTGTCTCCAGCTACTGTAGTTCTTTAGCATTGGGAACAGTGGGTTTCTAACAGTACACATGTGATAAATGTCAAACTGCTTCCTATTCTGCAAACTGGGCACATTGCCACACTGCCTTCCTCAACCTCTTGAATAAAGCAAGTGCTACTGGAATGAAAGAAGACTGCAATTACTGGCTGCTCTCTCTCTCTCTCTGAAATGTGGATCTAGTGCATCACAGAACTTTCTGAGCTTGATAAGATAAATCTGAGCCACTTTCCCAAGAATGTGTGCTCTCATATTGCTATATGTTATACTCGAAGCACCTCAGCCAGGATGAACATGAACTATATCTTCTTTTTCAGGATATGGATATTACATGTTCTTGAATTTCCCAAACTATTCCCACATCTCATGCAGCTCCTCAAGGGCTCCACTGATCTGGCAGTAAGAGGGTTAAAGTTAAAGACTATATTCCTGCCAAGTGTTTTCAGAGACACTTACTCACTCTTGGTGGTGTGATGTCACGTAAGTCAATCCCCAACCAATAAAACTTCTCATGAAGGAACCTTTTGCAAAGAAGTCAATATTCATTCAGTAACTGTTCGCTGAGTGGTTACTCCGATTCCCTAAAAAAGTGGGAATATCCTTCGTCCTGCTTGGGAAGGTGACAGGGCATGCTCTCAGCTTCTCTTGCTGGATCAAGTCCAGTGCATCAGTGGCAGGCACTAATGGATCTGTTGAAGGGGCCTTGGATCCTGTAATTACCCTTAAAGTAAAAGAAAAATTCACCAATTTTCAACTTTATCTCTACCTATCCAAGATCATAGCATGCAAAAGGCCTGTAGTTGTTACTGATATTCTCTGTGTCTCTAGGGCACAGCAGCTAAATCTGTTGTTTTTCCGTGTCCCATAGGTACTTTGTATAAGGAAGAAGTACAGAGTATTACTTCAGCTTCTAATACTTCTTCTCATCGCTTGGCATCCCAAAATATGAGTGCAGAGGATGTTATGGATGTTTTTTTTCTCTGTACATTTTACAGTGTTTTGGCTGATTCAGATATTCAACCGCATTCAGCCAGAGAGAGGCTGCTCATGGCTGCAGCGGCAGTGGGGAGGACATGGCCGATGTATAATCCCACAGATGAACTGAGACAACCAAGACCAGCAGACTGATTTTTATCTTTCGAATTTTGCTAATTTAATGGTCTACATCTGAAGAAGTACGAACAGCCTGCTGTGATATTTACACATCTTACCCTATGAATTAAGGATTTATTTCAACCAAACCACAGTTGCTGAACAGTGGAAAAACTAACCAAGATGTGTCGGAATTTTATTTATTATTTTTATTTATTTTATGGTTTCTGTCCGGTTTGAATGAAGTGTGTGTTACGATGAGTTAAACAAAGGAAATTAAGCCTGTCTTAGGTCGACGTAGAAGAGAAACTTCAATTCAGAAGATGCAAGGATGTATCTTTCTGTTAAGGTGTAGCAATATTTCCTTCATTAACATTTTGTTTATTTATCAGATGTAGTTTGTGCGCAATGAATCCTGGTACATGTAGGCACAGCCGGCTATACTCCCCCAGCAGGAGATCAGCTTTCTCGGTCAATATAGCGCGCACTTTATTTGCCGAGTAGGTGCTTCAGTCCGGAGCATCCATCCAGACTGAAGCAGTTTTAGTACCTTCAGTCCTTCATCTCATTATACCATGAGTCTGATATATGTATATTTAGTTTTTGTTTTTTATAATAAAATTAATACAACTTGATACGGTTAGGTATACCTACTCACTTTAAGCTCAGGTGTGAATCAGTGTTAAGATGCAAGAATCTCACATTTTAGATACAGTATGTATTTTAATAAAAGTCTGTTTGTATTGAAACACCAAAATAAAGATAATCTTAGACTCTGGGCATTTCCACCATTACTTTCAAAAGGGTAAGAGTTCAATTAGATAGAAGAAACAAAATAGACCATGACATTTAATAGCATTTTGGAGTGCAGAAAACAAATGGTTTTTGTTTTGCCTTTTCTACAAAAAACAATTCTGTGTTGGTAAACTAAATGTTCAAAGCGCTTTCCTAAATGTTTTTGCTCCAGTATGTGCACAATATTGCACAAAGTATTTACTCTGTTTTGGTTGTGCCAGTAATATCTACTTCATTCCTCATGTGGAGTATATTAATGTAGTGCTCTGTGCGTGTCGACTTGGCTCATATTTGGGTTGGTGGAATGAAGTGCAGCTTTTCATGGCAAGCTTCCTTTCTGTTGGCTTCCCACAAAGTACACAGAAATACAAAGAAAGTACACAGAACTACAAAGAAACAGAGACACAAATTGATTTTCTAGTTGACTTTACTCCTCAATTGAATGCATCAACTCAAATTTCTTAAGAAAGTAACATTCTCAGGTTGTTTTTGTGAAAAGAATATTCAATTAAAATGTATTTTCAATGCATGTACAGTAAACTTGCAAACTAGCAACTTGAAAAAAAATGCAACCCATTATAAATACAGGGAAATGTTGAACTGAAAAATACAAAATCTATAGTACATATAGTACAAAATGCCAATAGATTAAAATGACCAGCGTGAAGTTTATCTTACATATTATCAACAAAACTAAAGTCTATTTCAAAATAATGATCATGTTTGATAAAAACTACAGCCTTTATCCAAGACTTTCCAGAAGCATCTTATCCCATCATGCATCATCTGTATTCATCAGACAGAATGTTTAACAGCTTTACACAAGATTACGAGCCATAGATTTACAAACACTCAAGAAATTATCCGGCTCATTTACTGAATACAAATTTCATATTCGAACAAAAAAATATATTTACACTGTAAATAGAATCGCAGGTGAAGAGGGTCTGTCATAGAGACATGAGCCAAGCTCTTTGTTAGTATGTTACAAGAGTCAAAAATACAAATTGGATCTAAATTGTGATAACAATTGGAGGTACAGTCACATGTAAGGCATGGAAGGGATTTCAAGTTACTATAGCTAGCTATTCAAAAGGAGGATAAGGTAGATGGTTTGCAACAGCCCTTACTGAGAGGACCCAGCATGAGTCTGTTGATGTTCCTCCAGTAGGTGAGGAAAAGCGAAGGCTTTCTCACATTCTGTGCATTCATACACAACTTGGCCGACATGGCTTTCTTGGTGCCGCTTCAGATGAGACCACTTGCCGAATGACTTGTAGCACATATCACAGCGGAACGCTCCGACTTCATTTTCAGCGTGCACTCTCATATGCAAGGACAGATCTTGCACCGTATTGAACTTGGCGTAGCACTGGGTACATTTGAACTTGCTTTCGACCGGGGATTGAGCCGGGGTTTGTTGACGATGCCTTTGCTCGTGCACTCTGAGGTACCGCTTCCTGGCAAACGTTTTTCCACAAAGCTCACAATTGAATGGCTTTTCATTTCGGTGCCGTTTATTTTGATGCTCCAAAAGACCACTCTTTGAGGAGAACTGCATTGAGCAAACGGCGCAATTGTACAAGTCCTCTCCAGTAACGTCGATCTCCTCCTCCTCTCCCGCTGCTTGATAAAAAGTTAGAGCGGATGTCTTAGCTGATGGATTTGAGTATTCAGCCTCTTTCGATGCAGGCTGATGATGGGAACAGTGGTGCTGTTGGAAAGCATCTTTTCCCCAAAATCTCTGGCCACACTGGCATTCAAATTCCACAGCAGATGTCACGTGACAGCGCTCGTGTTCTTCGAGCTTACTTTTAGAGGGAAGTGTCATTTTACAAATTTTGCACTCAAAGGTACCATCAGGATGTGTGGGGAAATGACAAATCAACTCAGTGGCACTGGCAAAACACTGATGGCAAACGGGACATATGAAACCGTGTGATTGAGCCACATCTGTATCTTGAGTGTTTTGTTTCATTTCTGCTGCAGCATCACCATGGCCCTTCAGATGGCAGAGGAAGCGCTGAGAGGTGGCAAAACTATTGTTGCACTGATTGCAGGGATATTCACTATTAGAAAATGATACGTGATGGGTGGTCCTGTGCTTTTTCAGGTGAGACGCATGCAGAAAATATTTATCGCAGTCTGAGCAGGAGTATGGCCGCTCTTTGGATTCCATGCAACCATGCTCCGAGAGCTCCTCTGGGTCTCCGAAACGCTCGCCACAAACACCGCAGCGATATTTAAGTTCTTTCGGGGATACCGATGAGCATTCAGATAGCAGAGCAGACTTCTCATGTTCTTCCCTTGAAATTTGAGGTGGGGGGCCGTCACTTGACTTAGAGTGGCTTTTACGATGCTCAACTCTACTACTCTTGGAGAGAAACACAAGACTGCAGATATCACATGGGAAGTTCTCTTCACGGTGGGTAGACATGTGTTCCGCCAACTGCAACGGCCCTGGGAAACTGAAGTCACACTTGGAACAACGGTAGGGACGGCTCTTTCCATGAGTATGCTTGTGTTTACGTAGCGCAAAGAGCGAGACAAAGCCCCTACCGCACGCCTGACACTGAAATTCAGACTTGTGCATTCGTTGATGCTGCTGCAACTGGGATGCCTGGAAAAAACATCTACCACATTCTGCACATTCGTGTGGTTTTTCACCCAGGTGACAACGCTGGTGGTCCTCGAGACTTTCCGATGTCGGGAATGTCTTTCCACACACGTGGCACGGGAAGTATGGCGCAGAGTCTGAGTCGCTGTCCTCACTGCCGGTATTTTCATCCTCATCGCTTTCACCAGTTGTGCTGACTTGACTGCTGGATGGTTGTTCAGCGGGGCTCTTTTCCTGTACAGTTCTCGCAAGATTCCTCTGCTCATTTCGATGCCATCTTGTATAATGTCTTGCCAGTGATTTTTTGACGGCATAGGCCTTGCTACAGAAACGACAAGAAAACACATCGTCTGGATGCTCTTCTCTGTAATGATTACATAGAGATGGTCTAGACCAAAACCTGTGATTACACAGTTTGCAAGTAAAAGGCCTACTTGGGTCATGACATGTTCGGTGGATTTCAAGATCAGATGGGGTCTCAACAACTTTGGGGCAGTCAGGGCAAGAGTATTTCCCATCGGTTCCATGTATCTTCATGTGTCTTGTAAGATTTCCTTGACTAGCAAACTCCTGCCCACACTCAATACACACATTGCGCTTTTTCGCTTGTTCTTGTCTTCCATGGTCTTCAAGGTGACTAATGAGCATTAAGCCATCTGTGAAGCTCTTATCACATTCTGAACATTGGTACTGCACAGGTTTCTTCTCTTTACTTAAGCTGCTCTGCACCTGTTGTCCTTCTGAATTTTCGGAGGATTTGTCCATTGGCTCATCTTTGCAGGAGAAGCTGGTCTGCAAAACGCCAGTGCCACTTGATTCGGAGGCCTCTTTGAACACTAGAACAGAGTCATTCAGCACAAAATCAATCTCTCCTTTCAAAGGAACTTCCAACTGCTGGGTTGTACTTCTCTCTGAAATGTGCCCAGATCTACATTTCCTTTTGTGGTTACGGAGAAGCCTTTTATTCCAGAAGCCCCTCTTGCATGTTTTACAATTGTAAGGATAGTCCATTGTGTGTACACGCAGGTGACCAGTTAGTCCAGCTTTATTTGTAAAGGACATATTGCACTCTGGGCAGGACAATGGATTGGGGACCGTACTTTCAAGAGCTGTATCTAGTTTACAGATGAATTTAGCACCATCATTGAGCTGTTTGTCACCACTCTCATCCAAAGGCTCTTTTTTGATGTTTGCTATATTTAACAGATGGTGTTGTAAGGGAGCAGAGGATATTGGTGGAACCATTGTTTCCAGCTTGTGTGCATTTAAAAAATGCTCTTGAAGCTGTGAAAATAGCAAGAACCGGGAACTACAGTATGCACAAGAAAAGCCTTTTGGTGGGCTTTTAGTGGTTGACTGTTGGCAAACTGTGGACTTGGATGATATTGGTGTTACAATGCATCGTATTTTGGTGCACTTTGTGGCATGACGAGTCACGTAATCCTTCCTTATAAATCTCTGGCCACAATCTTCACAGGCAAATGGCCGCTCTCCTGTGTGCAGGCGGGTGTGCACGATCAATTGCCAGGTGTGTTGAAAAGCACGGGGGCAATAACTACATGTGTATTTGTGCTTTTTGCTCAAATAAGGCTGGATACGATGTATTATTTTATTTCTCAGCCCTATAGGCGGGTTTGTTGGTGGATTCGTTTCCAGTGGCAGAGAAGCATTTGTTTCTTTGGAGAGAATCCTGCACTTCCTCATTTTCTTGTGCTTTTTCAGAGATTTTTCATGAGCAAATGACGAGCCACAGCGTGTGCACTTGAATAATTTTGTAAGATGGAACATAGTGTTATGTCGGGAAAGCTTAGATTGAGTGGAGAAGCTCCTTGAACAGACTTTGCACTCAAATGTCTCCTGCTTTTGAGCAGCTGCCAGCATACCAAACCTATTTTGCCAACCCTTGCCAACATCATCTAAACTGATTTTGGGAATACGGACCTCCAATCGTGTTTTTTTCCCTCTACAGCGAGTCTGATGTACTTTCAGATGATCATACCTTGAAAAGCAGCTGTCGCAGGCTTTACAGAGATATGGTTTCACTTCATTGTGTGTCAAAATGTGACGTCTCAGGCTTCGTGATTTCATGAAAGTCTTGGTGCAGAATTTGCACTTCAACCCAGCTTCCCCTTCTACTTTGGGCTTTTGTGCCGCCTCACTGAGAGTAGGCGTCTTTGACAAAGGAGTTGCAGCAGAACCGTTGCCTTTCGACTGCCCCTCTTTGTAAACACCATCACAGAAAGCTTCATGCTTCAAACACATCGTCTTCTCTCTATAACTGTGTCCACAGTGCATGCATGCATAGGGGTACACACCAGTGTGTGACGCAAGATGTCTCAACAGTAACGATCTGTACCTGAACCTCTTTGTACAGTGCGGGCATTTAAACTGAAGCATCTCGGTTGCATTGGACTTTGGAGGCATTATGCGGACATCCTGGCTCGTCTGTGAAGTGCTTTTACAAACATCGCCATTGACAGATGATAAGCCATCGTTGAGCTCTGAAGTTCCTGTGCAGTTCCTCCGATGTTGATTCAATTTTGTAAATCCAAAGTACTGCCCACATCCTGAGCATAGAAGCAGAGTGTTTGCCTTGTGGCCACGTTGATGATTTTTCAGGCGGTTTCTCCTAAAAAATCTCCGTGGACAGTAGAAACACCGATGTGGCCCCATCTTACCGTCAGACTCCATTTTGACCAGATGCATGGTTTGAGTAGGCAAACACTTCTCACTGTGAAGTTTAAGATACAAGTCACGGTAAAACTGTTTTCCACAGTTGGTGCAGGAAAAGGGCATGTCTCCAGTATGTTTGAACATGTGGCGCAGCAAATAGCGGCGATTCACGAAATCAGCTTTGCAAAATGGACACTGGTGTGACGAGGACCCAGATATATGTGCAAGACAATGTTTCCTCAATACTTGGGCATCATTAAATACCTCTTTGCATAGAGAACACTGTAGCTGCTTTGGCCCACTCTGCTCTTTTAAGGATTCCAAGGACTCCTGTGGTTTTAATGATGGTCTCTCTCCAAAACGACTTGTCCTCTTTTCTCGGTTTTTGTGGGCGTGGAGGTGCCTAAGGAGATGTGCAGGATACTGGAACTGCAGATCACAGTCTGGGCACCGAAGCATTCCCTTTTTATGATGGGAGCTTCTGTGCTGGATCAGTTCGCCAATAGTTGGAAGAATCTTTCTGCAGACAGTGCACTGTATCCTCCTCTGGTGAACAATTTTATGACCAATCAGATAGGCACGCTTTTTGAATCCTTTGCCACATTCCAGACAGCTGTACGGTCTTTGGCCTCCATGACTGTGCACATGTTTCTTCAGTGACTGTGGTGATTCAAAACATCTTCCACAAAACTTACAGCTCAGGGCAAGACTGCCAGTTGTCTCAGTTGATTTGGAGTTATCCTTATTCTCTCCAGTGTTTGAACTACATAAAGTTGCTGGTTTAGACATTGTGGAGAAAACTGAATTCCTGTACTTGAACATTTTACCAGTGAGTTTAAACACCTCATGTTTCTTCATGTGTCTGTACTTTCCGGAACCATGGCAAAAAACTGCTGGACAAAGACTGCATTTGTAACGTCGTACAGGCTCGAGGGCTGTTAAAGTTGGGGGTGTTCGTTTTATCTGTTCACTTTTCTTTGACGGCGTTTTCTGCTCAATTTCCTTTGTTTTTTTCTGTTCAACCTGTTCCTTTGATGTTGTCTTCTCTTTAGCAAGCCGATTTACACATTCTCTGAGGCAAAATGTTTTAATATGTCTGTAGCGGTTGCTTGATAAAGTGAAGGTAACACGGCACAAGGGACACCGATATTTACCGGAAATCTTTCCCTTCCCATCACATATGGAGTTTCTTACGCAGTCACGCAAATGCCGAGCTCTGTTGTAGGAGTACTTGAAAAGCCGTGGACAGAGAGGACACTTATATTCCCCCTTTGGGGTTTTCTCACCACTGTGATTTGTGGTACACTGACTTGATGAAACTGCCAGACTTTTCCCCTTGTGTACGTTGAAGAAGTGCTTTTTGACCTTGTCTGCAGTTGAGAAGTTTTTACCACATGAACTACACAGATGAGTTGTAGAGATGTCGAAAAGCTTTACATAACATCCAGGTAGATCTGGATATGGTTCGTTCTTTACATGGTCCTTTTGTAGAGGTGTTTTAGTTTCTTTGATATCAGAATCAGCATCAGAATTTGTAACTTCACGGTTTGACCCCTTGCATCTGCCGGGTATTTTCTTGTGCCTTCGCATGCTACTAGACTGTGAAAAGTACGATCCACATTCATTGCACTTATAGGGTGTTTTGCCAGTGTGAGTTCGTATATGGCTGATATATTGAGTTAGTGTTGAAAATAGGAGTCTGCATCGAATGCACCTGTAGCTGCCATGGCGGTTTCTTTTCTTCAGTCGGCTGGAGTCAGAAGAGAACCGAGGGCTATCTTTGGTCACCCTACACACATGTTTCTCTGATTGTTCATTCCTCATCAGGTAGACATTACAAGTCGTGCAAAACTGAAAGTTTTGCACCGAGTGGCAACAATGGTGGTGTTCAATTAGATGATCTACATTGTGGGTTGTGTGTTGGCAATCGGCGCAATGATAAGAGTTACTCGCTCCATTTACTGACTCGGATGTCTTCAATATGACAACAGGTTGCAGGCGTTTTCTCATTTGTATAGAGGATTTGAGTTGACGATTTGAGTTGCTGTCAGGTCTGGCCACAGAAGTGTCGTTATACAGACTGATGTCAAGTTTTGTTTCATCAGCATCACATGACGAATCATCTCCTGACAGTGGTTCACCATAGAGGACGCCAGACAAGGACAGCTCATCTGCAGGTGTGTCCAACTCTTTGAACGACTCTTCTGCATTTTCAGCAACATCTCCATTAAGACTTCCTTGTTCTACAGCCACTGGACTTTGATGTTGGGACTGTTCTGGAGAAGAGGTTACATTTGTATTCTCTGCTGGACTTGTCAATTCCTTTTCTTCACAGGTAGTTATGTCTGTGCTTAAGGTGTTTGACTTTGAACAAGATTGTAAACCGTTCGAAACACTTTGTCTTTTACAGTCGCCAGTCAGAGCAGTGTCACTACAATCTGGCGCTGAGGAGGTTGGTGTTCTCTCTTCTGGTGAGCTTGTCGATTCCGTTTCGAGACATGGATTTATGTCTGTGCTTGAGCCGTTTGGCTGTAAGCAGGATTCGACATTATTAGCAACACCTTGCTTGTTCTTGTCACTTGTATCAATAAGAAGACTAGTGACACCAGGGACACTACAATCTAGATCTGGAGAATTGGTATTTTTATTCTCTGCTGCACTGGTCCATTGTTTTTCTAGACAGGGATTGACATCTGTGCTGGAGCTAGTTGGATGTAAGCAGGGATCTGAATGACTTGCAACACATTGCTCATTCTTGTCACTCGTCACAATTTCTTTTTCCTGACAGTTGGTCTCCATGATTTCATCTCGATCAGTGGAGTTGGGATTTAGGGATGTCTGCTCATCAAAAGTCTCTTTTTTAAATGAACTTGATTCTGTTTCTCTTTTTAGGACTTCACTTTTATCCTGATCATCTGTGGAGTTAGGATTACCATTTTCTTGGTTGAATGATTCCTCAATTTCCATTCTTAGGAATTCTTCGCCTGAAGGATCTTGCACATTGTTCAATGTAGTCATATTTGGCACAGCTGCAGCAATCTGCTCTTCGTCATTGCCATCCGTGTACTGTATTCCATCATCAGTCAACTTTTCATTGCCACTTATTGAGATGTTGGAATTTTTTCCTTGAAGGACATCTCTCTCCACATCCTCCTTTTGTTTCTGACCTGGACAACCACCATAATCATTTCTCTCCTCAACAGTCTTGCGTCCTGTAGTTGTCACCATGTTAGAAGTAGTAGAGGACTGATTGTGTCCTGTGTAAGATGTGACAGTTTTATCTTGACATTCCATCTCGTCTTTAACTATGTTTTCTCCTGCCATCACATTTGAAGTACTTGGCAAAGCTACATTAGTCTCTGACATATTAGGGCACAGACTCTCAGTCGGAACCATCATATTTCCATCATCAGTGAAAAGCCATTCTGATGAGCTGGGTTTGGTAGTAACAGCAGTTTTGGGTTTTCGAACTGAATTGCTTGCCATAAATTTACAAGAGGGCCTTGTTTCACCCACATCTGCATCCGAGCAGCTACTGACATCTGAGTAATCCTCAAGAAGTGATGTAGCTAGCATTCCACAGTCTTGCTTAAGTTCTTGCAAATCTGTCGCAAAAGATGAAGGAAAAGATCCTGATGTCGATAATCCATCTGTGGCCAAATCGGAGATTTCATTATTTCCACATTTTGGCAAGTAATCTTTTCCCATTTGTTCTCCATCAGCTTGCCAGGGGATTTCGTTGCTGTATCTTTGATAAAGGCAGTCTGAACTGGGATTTTCTATACAGGGATTTGAGTAATAGTTTGTGTTGAAGTTTGAGTTTGTTGCAGAGGCTTCATGTGAAGCCTCTGTGCCGGGGAAATCATGATGTCCAATGAAGTTCTCTATATGGTTGGAAAGACTTCCCTGTGACTCTGATGTCCTGGTCAAAGTGCTTGGTTCTGATGATAGAGGTGGAAGGTTGTGAAAGTATGAATCCCACCCATGAGCCATTCTCTGCAAGGATTGGAAGCTATAGCATATTTTGCCCAATCCTGAAAACACAAATAAGCATAGAATTACAAAACAGAAACTACAACCATTATCACTTAAAAAATGTACGCAATACTTGACAAGAAAATTCGGATCTTTTCTTGGACTCACAAGGACTATCCAGGATGATGAGTTACATCTGCATAGAAACCTGGAAAATATATATATGGATTAATATTATTATTGTGAAGATTTTACAAGGCCACTAAAAAGGCGAATGCTGTCAAAATTCAATCCAAAATTAATTTATCATCAGGTAGATTTACAATTTACAGTCTGTGACGAGTTTGGATGGTGAAATGTGGCCTGACACAAGAGGGGTGAACTACACAAATCCCCTCTGTAACCTCCCCCCCCCCCGTTAGTCCCTGGAAGTCTCACAGCTATGTTGTCTGGTGCACCGTTTCTGGTGGGGTCAGCAATGACAAATTTGGTCCCAGGACAAGGGTCCTACCATGAGAGATTTAAGAACCTATTGGTAGGGGTGGGACAACAAAATCCCTGGCATGTGGGCTCAATTCCCAAAAAGCGGGCCACAAGGGTAAATTGCTAGCCAGGCGATGGGCAGTGGTAGTATAGTCACATTAGTGAAGCATAGCACCATGTAAACACCATGTAAGTGTGAAGTAATGTAAGACGGTACTTCGTACCAGTTGTGAAGGTGAAGTAGGCATACCTGGCATTTTCCATATCTCAGGGGAGGTATGGGACTTTTAATCCAAGTGGGCCGTGTTTACATGCTGTATTTCTACTGTTTACGGTAGCTGATAGTTGTCAGCAGCAACATCCAGTCTTTTAGGATCATAGAGTGTTTTGGCATCTCAGACGCCTGTAATTTCCGTGAAATTCAAATTGGACTGACATGATTGTATTTCATGTCTCCCAAGTAACTGAAGCAACACGACCCTCTGCAATGTTTTAACGCAGGGCTGATTTATGCCTGAACATCCGCTTATCTCTCTTTTATGGACAGTTGGACTCAGCCAAGCCTGTTCCACACCAACTGGGAGGAGACCCGAGGCCACACCCAGAACATGCTGGAATGCTTATCCCATCAGGTCTGGGAAAGCACTGGGATGCCACAAAGAGCTGGATGGCATAGCTACGGGTAGAGGGATCTGGTCTACTTTGCTTCAGCATATGACCCTGACTTGGATAAGCCTCAGCCCTCTATGAAAGGGACAGAGTTTGAAGCTGCGCCCATCCCTCTCTCTCTCTCTCTCTCTCTCTCTCTCTCTGGCACAATTAAGCAGTGCGAGTTTGGAAGAGACCAACATCATTTGGCAAAGTTAAGAAAGTACAATCCAAGGAATCAGAAATACATACAAAAAATACCCACCTATTTAGATTAACTCAATGATTACAATGAGTTGGAGTCTTAAAAATATATGCAATGCTTTTTATTAGCTTCTGTGAGTTTACACACTACATGTATTCTTTGTTTACTTGGCTGATTTCTCTTGGATGCAGAAACATTTACAATCAATACAATTAAGTTTGAAGAAGTAGTAAAAACAATAGTAGCAACAATCCTGCACTTCAGATGTTAATTTAATGGAATCCTTCAGATATTTCACGTAAGTAATTTCCTTTAAAACAAGCATTGCTCAAAGACAAAAACAAGCACACACAAACTTAACCAATATTAAAAACCTTGTGTACCTGGTGTTAAACGTCTGCTGTCATCTAATTATTGAAAGACGCCGATCCTGGCGGTCTGTAAAACGGAAAGAAATACAATTATTATTACCATTATAACATGTTTTGCAGCATTTTGTTTTTACATATCAGTATGGGCTCCAATACAACCGCACCAGATACCACTACGGCAACGTGACATTAACCTCTCGTCAGTTGAGCCTGAAAAGCCTCCCAGCTGCAACGACAACCTGATGAACAAACCGGTTAAACGCATCATTTCTTCCCCAACTGCAGTGTAAGCGCACAACAGGCAGTCCCCAGTTCACCCGTTCGGGAGAGTTAGCAGCCACAATGTTACTTGCGCGCCCAGTAAGTCTCCACCGAATCAATTAGTTCAGCTGGGAGGTTGTCAGCAGTGTGTCTGCCTGGCATACTCTTGGCAGGCTTTTCACCAGGGGCTCGCAAGCCCAGCACAACGTTAGCGAACGGTCGGTCAAGAGAAACAACAGGTGAGACTATGCGTGTGAAGTCAGCAGTAACGTTATAGCTGTGAACGCAGCAGTGTAGTGCCTGTACAGTTTATTTGTCGGTGAATGAATGCTGCAGCTCCCCGGGAGACCCAAGTTAAGGTCCTTTGACTTGATTGCCACCTGCTGATTTAAGTGAAGGGGGTTAGCCCAGAGGTTAGCATCAGCTCAGTTGCACCTGAGATGGGCTGACCTTTAAGGAAAACCAGCTACTCTCAGTGCATCCCTAATTAGACCTGTGCAACACGACTACCCATAGACTTAGCTTGGATTACAGCTCTTGACAATCTAACCACAGCCTAACCTGAGAATGAATATGGATGGTAAGACACTGTCAATCCAGGTACTGTGGGTCCCTGACTTTAGACACATTTGAACAAGAGCAATAAGAGCTCATCTGCTAGCTCATGGCTCGTGCCTCAATAAACATATTGCAAAAATGAAAGGCCTACTGTTTGCAGGTTTAATTAATAAGGACATTGGAGGAGGAGGATCGATGGACCTGGTCACTGCCTGTTCCTCTTTGCTCCAAAACAAGTGCTTCACTTATCTCTTCACACTTGGCGAAACAACATTCAAAGGTTTAAACTTCACAATGTACAACTTTCAGAAGCTGCAGGTACAGCAAACTGGTTGGAAAGATAATCTGCTGGCCACAAGCGCATACTTCCATTTGGAGGGACTCAAAACTCTCAACATCCGCAGGGTGGGATCTAATCAGTGTTGCTCATGAAGCTACCAGCCACACCAATAATCTTAAGGCACTGCCCAGGAAATTCTAGCCAGAGCAGGACAATAATTTCACATTATACTGGAACCGCCTTAACATTATTTGATTTACATGACTGCAGTTACGAGCTACAGCAGAGAAGCAGTGGGGGGGGCACTATGTGGGCTCTGAGATACAATGCACCTTCACACCAGACCATCTGCCATAGCTTAAAGTACGGGGAGACTCCTTCACCACACTTGGCAATGCTTGCAAATATGGCCACAGAGTTTGTTTGTGAAACACATTATCACTATTACCAAATGTAATTTTAGCTTAAACTAAAGGCACCCTAGTATTTATACAAGGGTCATAACTGGCAGCATAACTGGATCCCAGTATACTGCGGTATAAAATCATACCGTGCACATTTCCTTATCTACAGTATTGTGTGTGTGAGTTGAAGGTACAGACAGGAGCAGACTGATTGCGCTGGCGATATGGCTGGGTGTCATTACAATGCTAGTACCAATACTAATACCGTTAAAAGGGATACCAATGCCAATAGAGTACTTCATTAAATACCCATCTTGTATATGGAAGCTGTGTGTGTGTGCCCCCTCCCCAGGTTATATCTGTTAGCTCTGTCAGCACAATAAGCATTGTTAGCTGCTAGTCGCTGGCTAAGACGTCTCCCTGTTCAGAAAATAATTCTCAATAAAATAAATCAACTTTCTTTAATGAATATAACTCGTCAGTGTCGTTTGCTGCTGGACCGCCTAGACCTGTACATCCTTTGTGAGCGGCAAGCGGGAGAGCGCAGTGAAAATGTTTCAGAAAGGCTAAACGCCAACAAATGTGGAGTAAAGGAGAATATATTGTTGGATAAAAACATGTTGCGAATGTTGGCAAGTATTACATTTTTTTTTTTCATTAACTGCTGACTTTTGGACTTAACAACGCTCTGGAGTTATTGGAAATGTTGGGATCACACTGTCTGAAACAATCCTAAAACAATCCTATGAAGCCGCTGTGCCCAATACACAAATACATTCAGCGTCGGGATTGTTCAGGCATGCTCTGAAACTCATGGTGTGAGCAGTATCAAAGCGAAATTGGAGCGGGAGTTTTAAAAATCTGCTTCCGCATCCAAAATCCTTCCGTTCATGCTCTACATTCGCTTTGTTTAGTTTGAATTAAATTGTAAGGAGTCGGGTGGAGATGTTATTAAAGAGACAAAAGTGCTATTAGTAATTTACTGCTGCATTTCTTTTAGGTGTTCCAATGCCAGGGTATTGTGCATGCTGGATCCGTGGTATAGCTAATTGGCACACTAAATTGCAACAGAGCTGTCTTTGCATTAATCTTCCACATCTACCTCCAGCTCCTCTTCTGACCAACGCCACAGATCCAAGTCTCGATTTTCAGCTACAAATTTGACAGCACAGCATCAGTTATGGAAAACAGTATGTCTCACCTTATTTTCAGACAACAGATTAAAAATGAAAATACACGGTTTAAGTAATAATACATTCAAAGTGATAATGGGTATTACGACCCCTCAACAATGACAGAAGACATGCTCGGGACTCAGAGAGATGTTTCTTGCTCACTGAAGTCAGAACTGACATTGTGCTCACATGTGCACGGTATAGGATGTCTTTGTAAGGACTGATTTATAAATGCCTGGAAGATCTCCCAAATATTCTGGTAAATCTCTGCTAGCTAAAATGCATCATGCTCCCCACATCCAAGGCATACGCTGCGGTCGAAAAGTCCAGAATTTACCTCCTAGCATCTTTTCCTAACCACTTTTCCTTGACCTCTGTGGAAAACATCCTGGGGTCAAGGAAAGATGTGAAGGAGAATTCATGAGGAGTTAGGAAAAGACAACGTGGTGTTTGGAGTATCCGACTACACTCTCACTAAGCTGCGTAGTCATGATGCGACGGCGGAGATCACTGACGTAGGTCTGCCATGATGAGACTACAAAAAGCGCAACTAAAACATGACCCCATGACGTCCATAACTCAGTTGCATGCAGGGTAATTACAGAGCTTCTTTTGTGAGTGGCTGCTTCACTCGTGGTGTGAAGGAGAGAAACCGGAGCTCCTTCCTTCCTGCTGCTGTCACACTTAACCATCAACACTGCTTCCCATATTCTTTCAGTACACTTACTCCTGTAGTGTAATCAAAATGGATAAACGCAAGTATTTTTAGACAAAGCGGCAGGAATTGTCCTAACACACCAGCTCTCTGTCATTGAGTACAGATGAACGGCTCCTGTTCTCCCTCCATGCCACAGCGCACGTAGCTGATCTCAACTAAAGACACTGGTATCTAAAAACTGTACTGACAGGAGAGGGGCAGAGGAGAGCAGTGGAGGCGGGGCATCAAGGCCACTGTGGTCAGCGGGTGTACAGATTTCAGAAGGGCACCAAGGCCAGACAGAGGCCATGACGGCCACGGCCACCGATTAATATCCCGCCCTTACAGCAGCACCAAAAAGCGAGGTGAAGAATTTTGGGAGAACCTGAATTATGAGCTTATGTACCTGAATGGAAAAGTGCAACCAATATAAAAAGTTAGTCTGGAGCCCTGTAAAATGTTTCAATACTATGAATTAACGCTCGGATTCTGATTGATGTGGACTAAACGCAATGGAATAAAAACTGGTGACGCAACAAGCACGACTGGACAATCTGAGATGGTGAGAAGTATTCTAGAAAAAGGAAACAAAAGCAAAATGAAACAAATCAAATCATACCCTCTAAACTAAAGAAGGGTTTTACCTGAAATCAAACGTGATTACTGAGCTTGTTCACAAGATATGTAGTCAATGCTGATCTACAGAGGAAACCATAAAGTGCATTTTTGGATGGATGAGTCCTCATCAGAAAAAGGACAAGGTATCAAGTGCAACTCGAAACTCCTTAATGTTGTCAAAGTGATGAGCTACATTAAAACTGAGCCCAGAAAACAAAAGATGTGTGAAGACTCCGAGGTCTGAATCAGACAAATCAAAGTGGGTACCTTCCAACATCTTCCAAAAAGTCTAATTTCCTTTTGTTACACCTTTTTCTTGCTCAGCTGCAGTGGACGGGTAGAAACAAGAGGAGGGAATCCTGTTCTATAAAAACACAAGGTGGCATACGACACATACAGGAAAATCAATTTAAGCACAACACCGTAAAACATGCCATTTCAACTGGTCTTGGCGGTGTCGTGTAGATGAAGGGACAGTTGAAAACAGACGAGTTGATCGGGCTCGTCAGCACATGACAACAGCTAGCGGGCCAAGGTGAGGACTGGTTGTCATGCTGGCAGAGCTTCGTCCTCCAGTTAGAAGTGGCACAAGCAATTTACGCATCCCCCACCACTCACTGAGGGCTATCTGCACCTGCAATAGCGACTGAATTGCTTGGCCTTGACAGGAATGGCAGAGGCAGCTACTAAAACAGTGCCCATGACACCTGGCAGTGGTGTCAACAGCAAACAGCAGAATGCAGAAGAATCATGTGAGCCAATAGGATGCATGTAATATTTTGGATCTCCAAGAAGAATGCTTAATTTTGACGATTTACAGTCTTTCTTATGTGAGCCACTATGTTTACATGGTGTACCACACACACACGAGGACAGAAAAGCATTGAGAGCTAATACTCTCTTGCAGAAAACACGATGCCTCACCCAGGCGATCTTCTGGGTAGACACGGACGAGTACTGTATCCTTCTCTGTGCCCTTGCTCGTTGCTGTTGAACTGTGACATGCTATGTTG